AATGGTATTAATAATTAAAAATACTATTTTTTAAAATTTAGTATTTATTTGACCGCACCCCCACCACAAACGTGTGATTTACGTTAAATTATGTTTTCAGAAATTTTTTTCGTCATTCTTCGTTATCATTCTACAACTTTACTAATTCGATATTATTTTTTTCTATAATTCTTCCCTTTCCAACGATATATTATAGGTAAACTTCTGACTGTTATTTCTGAAGATTCATTTTAAACCTGGATAAGAATTTTCTTTTTTTTCTCCAGTTTCAAATATTCATATTCTTTCAAACTTCAAATTTAGCCATTTTTTATAGTTACTGTTAATAAAAGAGATAATATTTTAAAATAAGCCATATTAAATAAGTGGCACTTCTGTTTAGCCGATTTTAAGGAAAACTTTGCTGTAACATCTAAGGCATATACCTATTTTAAATACGTAATATCAGTTACGTACGTCTTTTCGTTTTTGAGCTAGGCTGTTCACATACGCACAGAGAGAGAGACTATTTTGCTGGATTAGGTTATTTGGAATGAGGAGACCTCAAAACGTGTATTCCACTGGAAACTCAGATTAAAAAAATTTCACGATCGCAATACTTGCCCTTACTATATATTACATATATAGGTAAGTGAAAATAATTAGTAAAGGAGGTTATACTAGATTATAGGGTAGTTTAGTTAAATGAATGATCGTAATATTTTTCTTGTAATATGATTTAAATACTATAATACTGATTATATTAGAGAATAATTGCTTTGTAAGACCAGAGCTCAAACCACTGTAAGTGTAGTTATTAATTTGTTTATTAATTACTATGTCATTGTTAAAATAAATGTATTTACCCAGTGAATTTATTTTACCTATTTAAGTTGTGGAATGATAACATACATAGATAAATAGTCGGTTAACGCGATAGTTATCAGTAATTAAATTAGTAAATAATAACCTTAACACAGACTTGATAAAAAAACTGTTTCATCTTTATAAGGTTATTTTAAGTAGATAAGCATGCTTAGAATTTTTTAATTAAATTAAACCAGAACTATAGTTTTCTCGCGATGGAACCACTTTTTTAAGCCCTAACATTACTAGCATTTTAATTAAATATGAAATTACAATTCTTCTTCTTGATCTCGATGTCCTAAAGTACGATGCAAATTTAGTAAAAAGAAAAAAACAGCTCAACCCTTACGAGAATATTAAGAAGAGACCTATCTTGAATCTGTGGAGTCGGAAAGCAAGAAAGTTAAGTTATTACTTGAAGATAGCCAACTAGGTAATGAAACATATAATATTCAGTTAAACGTTTAATAATTCAAAAAATAAAAAACTGGAAAATTCCAAAGGATTCAGTTAAACAAATATTTCAGGTTGAGGAAACAATTACAGCTAATAATTTAGTTCAGTCAACAATCAAACACTATGTTGGTGTAATATTGTTAATTGAAAACTTGAGCCACAGACAAAAGTTCTATGAAAAGTGTTGTAAATCTCATTTTTTGAATAACTGAGATCACATACACATGGTTCTATTACATGCCATCTCTGCAAAATCCGCAAATAGACGAAACACAAGAAAGGATAAATAAATTAATGTTGGTGTAATATTTATTTATAGCCTAAGTTTCGAACTGTGTTCTAGGTCTTCATCAGGGCTAAAAAGAACTATATACAAAAAAGAGTTGATGTTAAATTAGTACAAGATAACAGATATGAGTTAAAATTTTTAACTTAAAAATCTATTTTAGGCGGTGAAAAATTACAAAAAAATTATCGAGTACAATAGAAGGCAACATAGAAATAGCAAACAGTAAACATTGATCTGAGTATTTTTTTTTTTTTTTTTAAACTTTTATTATGTGATATTTACAACTGTATTAGTATGAATACATCAAGTAAATGTGTACAGAGAAATATTATCACATGAAACACGCTAAATTAAAATGAATATTTAAAAAAACAATGATGAAAGACAATAACGAAGGGTAAACAATACAAACGAAAAAAATATTAAAACTGGTACAAATACAATATTATGTGTATTGTTATAGATTAAAAAATGCATCATACTTAAGAAATTTAATGTATTCAAATAATAGAAATGGAATTAATACAAGGAAATTAATAGACATACCAAACAGAAAATTATGATAATAATGTGACAAGTACATAATAAATTATAATGACGGCGTATTTCCATTTATATTGCCTTCTATTTTATTATGTATTCCCAATATATCTTATATTTCACAACATACCTTTTACTAATTTAACATCAATTATTATTTTATTTATATATATATATTTGTTGTACCTATTGACAATTAAAAATAATTTTATCTTGTTCATTTTAGCCTTGAAGAAGACTTACAACGTAGGTCGAAACGTAGGCTAAAAATAAATATCACACTAACATAGCGTGTGATTGCGGAACCCCGAATAAGTATTCCTTAATTTATAACTATGGTACAATCATGACCGTTCCATCATGAATGCACCTAATGGTACCCCATCTACAAGCGAATAGTCAAAGTACAGCTTATTATTCTCAATATTAAAACTTCATTATTTCCTGACTCGTTTACTGTTGTATTAGATCTTCTCTATTCCTCCACGTTGGATAGTTTGAAGGTTGAGGTTTAGAACAGTTCAACTGTCACGATCATCCGCCATGCCTTTGTTATCATTCAGAGAACAACCTTTTCTCTCCAAGGCCAATTGATAGAGTCAGCATTGACCTTTCTCGATCGACCTCGCAGTCGCTTTCGTTTTGATCTGGCCTTCGTCAACCTTTTTAAGGTCAGTTTAATACTGAGCAGTGCCGTGTCGTGACGTGACCTACATCTGTCAGTGATTTCAACATCTTCTGAAAATGTAGAAATTCTAAGAAGCTAACTTGTGGATGATCGGTCTTGTTTTGGATGACCTCCAACGTATTGGCATTAATTGTCAACGGGATTTCGATCTGCTATTCGATTTGCAATTGCGAAACTATTCGATGCTAATTGGAGTTATGCAGAGACCGGGATAAGAGATAGTCGCTTGGAGCTACGTCTGATGAATAGGAAGGGTGAGGCAAAAGGTCCCAGCCAAAGCTTAATAAGTGACCAATAAGTTCTGTGCATATTTTTTTTTCGAATTGATCCATTTCGATCTATTAAATAATGTAGAACCAATTGTTAATATCCGATCATATGTCTAGCATAATCTTCTTTGGATCTGGATTTCAACGTTTTTCAAAAATGGGTCATTTTTATGCCGTTTTAGTAGTAAACCGGATTTCTCGTTGTCAGGTTGACTTAGGTCAGGAAGTGGGCGTCCCGCTTCAATTAAGCCTTGAAAAGTAACGGTGCTTGTGTTAGACACACCTAAGACCATAGCAATCTTGACAGATTGGCTGGGATTTTATCAACAATAGTCTTAACATTGCCCTTTCCAATCTCTTTGGGCGACTAGAACTTGGATCGTTATTAATATGAAAATTTCCTAAACGAAATTCGGCAAGTAAATTTTTATATGAGCGTTCGGTTAAGGGACCATCCTAATAAACACTGAATATATTTTTTAATGAACGTCTGCAGTACACTTGCGTTTTTAAAATATTACAAACCAATATACCAATAATAAATGATATTATAGAAACTTCCATATGCATAGTGCAATAGCAAACACAATATTAATCTTATTTTACAAGAGTTTACAAAAATTTGTTGACACATTACAAATAGAATAAACAAGGAATTCATCCTCGGATAAGTTGGCAGTGACATATGAAAAACATACATAAGGTCTTACTACTTAAACTTGATATAAGGTGAATTTTCCACTCTTTATAGAGTTAATAATACATAGATAATACATTCAAAATTCTATCGAGCAAACTAGAAATGAGCCTAAGAAAGCGAGACAATATACCATAGCTGGGGAAACTTACGGCCTCGAGGACACAATTGCCCTCCGTGAGCTAGCTTTGTTTATTTTTGCGCGATATTCATAAATCCAGTACTAGAATTAATTAACATTTAATTATTTAGGTAACGGAAACTTTAAAATTAATAGAATTAAATTTAATATATGTGTATAGGTGAGTATTTACTTATAAATAAAAATAACAACAGCAAAATCTAAAAATGTGCTACGGCCTCCATTAGCACAGCCTAACCTTACTGCGGCCTCTAACGATAAACAGGTCCCCCACATCCGCACTATACTATCTGAAATTATAACTTCTAAGAGGCATCCCTCTGAGAGAACTGCAGGCAGTTTATTTGAGGGTATCATATTATTTTTAAGGAAACATTTTGTCTTGTCCTCGCAGGCTAAGTATGAGCCTGCCCACAACACTGCTTAGGGTCAATTGATCTTTTATTTTCCTTCTGTCATCCGTTATTCGCTAATTCATAAGAAAATCAATGTCATTATTAGAAAAAGTTGAAATGGGCTGGACACATCGCCAGGATGGGACCTGATGAGGTTCCCAGGAAGTTTCTACAAGAGCAGATCTGACTGAAGAGTTGACAGACCCACACTATGGTGGGCTGATGGTGTAGCAGCCACACAGGATAGAACAGACTGGCGGACCAAGTTGCAAGCGGCCATGACTCTTCGAGAATCGTAGTGCCATTGCGGAAGAAAGGATAAGAAAATAAATGTACGGATGGATTAACAAAAGTAGAGCTTGAAGTTGATATGGAACCACTCACAAGATCCCTAAAAAGTTGATGAAAAAAAGACTAACAGGTGATATGCCCGTTGTATCGTTTGGACTACCGACAGATGTAAGAAAACAGCATTAACTAAAAAACTTGACGTTTGCTGCAATTTTATAATGTTTCTTCTTTAAAAATAAATATTTGCCTAAAATAAACATTTTCTAATTAAGACTGTATAGGTAACTAATGACGTCAGTGCGGTCTTTTCTTTATGTTTAACTTGAAACAGTATTTAAAGTTGAAACGGTATTGTAGCTCTCTGCTTTGTTTCAGTAACCTAGGCAACGGCCAGCTCATAGGAGGCTATCATGTTTTTATGTATTCAATTGATTGTAAATTTAGGATAAACTTTTGAAAAGCCAAAATTTTGGTTAACTTAACAAAAGCCTGGCATGATGAGTTGATAACTTTTTGAAAAATAAATGCCACCTCTAGTCATTTAGTGATAACAATGATGTTCAATTTTGGTTCCATATATTTTTATTTTTATCTACGTGTCAGGGCTTTAGTGAAATGGTTTTTAAGGAAGACGACGAATCTCTGTGAACTACAACGGATTTGCTATGGAAAGCCAGTTGGCTTTGTGAGAACAGACAGTGTAGAGTATTCATTATTATATTCACAAATTCCAGAAATTCAGTTGATGATAAAAACCTTAAACGGTATTGCAGAAAGGAGAAGGTTTTCAGGAAGAAATCAGAAAATTGTTTTGGAACAGTCTGTCAAGACTATATTAATTGTTAAGCAAGTAAAACCAAATATCCATAAACAGTTCATAGTATCCCTAACTCGATGTTTCGAACATATTTGGGGTTACAAACAACTTGTGCATGAAGTTGAAAGTCTTCGACTAACAACTTTTGATTCGTCGAATGAAGACCACGAAGACAAGCTCCAGAGGTTGTGGCAAGCCTTAATGCCAGACATTCCATTGGAAACCAGAATAACTAAGCAATGGCAAGACATAGGATTTCAAGGAGATGATCCAAAGACTGACTTTAGAGGTATGGGAATGTTAGGTTTAGAAAATCTTTTATATTTTGCTGAAGAGTATACTAATGCTGCCCGACATGTTCATCTGCATTCCATACATCCTAAGTATGGTTATGCATTTGCAATTGTTGGAATAAATTTGACGAGTATGGTTTATAATTTGCTGAAAGATGGGTCAGCTAAAACGCACATTTACAACGCTTGTAAAAGTTTACCATCAATAAGGGCTTTTCACCAGTTGTATTCCTGTTTATTTTATGAGTTTGACAAGTTTTGGATTGAATCTAAACCAAAAGATGTCATGGAATTCAGTAATATTAGAAATCAGTTTGAAACTAATATCAGAGATGCCTTAACCAATCCTAGCACGGTTTTTCATATAAATTTTGTAGTTGACACTATATAGTTTTAAATTGAAATTAATATTGGCTCTTTGCTAATAAATGATACACCTAAATATTCGCATAGATTACATTCGATAGTAATGTACTTATATTTAATTTATAAAATTTTTTAGATAATGAAATGTGTTCATTTTTTGTGATATGTATTAAGTGTGTGTTTGTATACATAGATTTATGTAAATTTAATTTATTGAAAAACTATAATTCTTTATAATAAATTATTGAAAACATTTTTGTTTTTTATTGTTATATAAGAAATTTAAATAATGTTTTAATATACATCTAATGCTTTTTATTTCAGAAGTATCGCTGTTCTAAAAATATCTATTAATAGATAGGTTTGGTTTAACAATAACTAGAAATGCTTCTAGTATTTTTTCAAATTCACTGTCATTATTGATTTAATAAAAAGAATAAACTTTAATGTTAAAGGAATATTTTTATTGCTATTAAAAACAAATATTCATGCAAAATAAACTAAATTCATAAACTACAACTACAATCATGCGATAAAATATAATGATTTAATTAGCATTGCAAAAAAAAAGCTTTATAACGACAGAACAAAATGTGTACCTTCTAATGCTGCATATACTAGTGCTGTATTAAAGATGTTTTCAAAAGAATTGACATGTTATTTAATTGAGGTTGAATTAAGCTAGATTTTCTCTCATTGCTACGATACAGTTGCAATTTTTGAGACATCAACAGAATTGCGTATTAGTTCATGTGTCAGTGCCTCATAGTTTCCAACAACAATTAAGCATGTTGGATTAGCTACCTAGAAGAAAAGATAAAATCATTAGAGAAAATAAAAACATATTGAAATTTTTTAAGACCTCGTTCTAAACCTAATTATTGACTTCATGTCAAAGGCAGGCATCTATATTTACCAAAATTTGAAAAAATGTCAATTTTTGTTGTATAACTTTAATTAAAACCAATTCTTTTTTTTTATAGTTCAAATTAAACGTGAAAAAAACTATCACTACAACCCATGAATGGTCTTGCGTTCAGTACTATTTAGAGGAAATACTGTTTCTTGGTCAACGATTGTGCAAGGAGGTGATTTTGACCGAGACCACCCTAAACCACCAACTTTTCTACCATAATTAAGGGTATCCACTCTATAGAGGCTGGGTCGAGAATATATAATTTGTCTGCCAAAAGCCAAGATTTGAACATTGGAAGCTCAACGTCCTACCACTGAGCTACCCGACTCCTGATTCAACTTCTTTTAAAAACATCAGATTTATATAATTTGAAGGTGCATAACAAAAACCACCTTTAATCACATACAGTTATCGTTCCGAATAAAACTCATTCCTCTCCCTCTAAGAACTTGTGGTATTCCTCAGGGTTCTTCGCTCCAACCAACCCTTTTCTCCATCTATATTAATAACCTTCCTGATTCCATCGATCATTCACAATACCACTTATATGCTGACAACAATCTCTCTCAACCATTCCATGCCAAGATGCTTGAGGCAGTCTGAAGGCTATATGAAGATATAGATATTATAAATGCATGGGCAGTAAGCAATGATTTGATGTTAAACGTTGAGAAGACCAAAACCATTCTCATTGGTTCCAACATCTCAATTCCATTCTTTATTACTTGTTTTTTAACTCCATTCCTTACTCCACCTATGTGTATTACTTCTTATATAACTGCTTGCTTTAATAAAAATCTGTATTGTGTGTGCTACATTGTTTTGGAATTTCTTGCTTTCTCCTTAGGCATAACATTATCTTTAATTCATTGAGAAACCAATTATTTTTCAATCCTCTGAATTTATGCAAGAACTATTTTTATTTTATTTTTTATGTTATTGTCATCCTCATTTTATTGTGATTTCACATTTATCTATATTGCTTATCGGTATAAATATGTACACACACTGATATGTATTATCTATATTGCTTATCAGTATAAATATGTACACACACTGATATGTATTTATCTATAATTTAACTTGTGTACTTAAATTTATCCTTCCTTTATTTTAAGGTGGCCTAATTTTTGTAATTTTATCATTTTTGTACTCCCATTTCTTGCCAGACCAAGACACTTCTATTTTTCATTTCAATTATTTTTAGACAACTAAATGTCTCAGATTAAGGTTTATTTTTCTTGTTTAAAAAAATATAAGTCTGCCACTCAAATCTACTATCTAAACTCCCCTTCAAAAGAATTGCAATACTTTGAAATATTTGAATTTTAGCAAAGCATCTGTTTTTTCATTATACAGAAAGGTTCTGAAGTCAATAATGAACATTTTTAAACTGAACAGAAACAAATTTTATTAAAATATATTACAATATTTCTTCTAATAAACAAAAAAGTTAGAAAACTTACTTTTTAAAATTTTCCTTTTTTACAATTTTAACTTTAAAATTTTCAATTTACATTTGATAAGACGTATTGCCTCCTCTTGGTTGAATGATTGCTTCCATTCGTCTTGGCATGTATGTAAAATTTTTTTGAAGAAAATCTTGGGTTATATTATCCCACTCCTCCAATATAGCTGCCTTCAGCATTTCAAGGGTAGTAGGAGGTGAATCTCATGACCGAACCTTTCTTATGAGATAATCCTAAGCATGCTCGATTGGGTTAAGATCAGGACTTCTTGCTGGCCAATCAATGGTATGGATATTTGTGGTGTTCACGTACTCAGAAACACATCTTGCCTTGTCAGGACAAGCATTATCATGCATGAGCAATGATTCAGAGCCTATGAATATGATCTTGAAGAATAATTTCTACATAACTCAAAGCATTCAAGACCCTTCCTTAGATTGGCACTAACTCTGTACGTGGCTCGCAAGATATGCCGCCCCAGAACATGGTAGAACCCTCCCCAAATGGCTGTTTCTATCATGCAGCACTGACTATACCGTTCTCCAAACTCTTTCACGGCCATCTGGTCTGTTAAGGGTCATTCTCGTCTTATCAGTGAATAAAACTTTTTTCCATTCCTCCAAATTCCAAGATTGGTGTTCCCTTGCAAATCTCAATCTCTTTATGCGGTGTCCTGTGGTGAGAATAGGACCTTTCACTCGTCTTCTTGAGCTGAGTTTTGACTCTCTCAGTCTTCTAATGACCATTGATATCCCTCGATCAAGTTTTTAAAGGAAGAAGCTGTAGAATCACGCTTCCGAAGTGCGTGCATTTTAATGAAGTGGTCATCTATGTGATTAGTAATCCTGAGAGGTCCTGACATTGGTCGCCTCGAAAGACTACCAGTCTCCCTGTACCTTTTCATGGTCCTTGAAACAGAAGAGGAGTGAATTCCAAGGCAATTAGCTATGTAACGCAATGATTTATCTTCTTCAGAGAGAGCAATGATTTTGACCGAATCATCGTGGCTTAAACAATTCATTGTGAAATAAAATTAATTGTTATAACTAGACTAAAGAGAAAAGGGAGAACAGACTTGAGGCAAACGAAAGATAAACATGGACTGAAAGGAAATTTGAAATTAATAAACCAAAATTCCATCGTTTTTTTGGTAAACAGTGAATAAAAATGATGTGTCTAATATCTCTCATTTAATAAATCATATTACTATAAATATAAACAAAATATGGATTAAGGTCAAAACCAAAAACATATCGAGAATTATGGGTGTTGCAATACTTTTGACGGTGAGTCTATTTCGAGATTGTTTTCTAATTTTTTTTCCTGTAGAAGATAAATAATAATTAAATTTATGTCCACTTTGCACATGATAATTGAAAATCTTGGATAAAAACTTCTGTTTGCATAATAAAAAAATCTTCTGATTTATTGTTAATATACCATCCTAGGTAATTTTGTAGTAGATGACTTTGAAATAATCTATTGTAATATGAGTGAACAAATTTTGAAAATAAATAAATTTTGTATATTTAAAATTTAAATACTACTTATGAATCTTTTACAAGATCAGGAGTATTTTTTTGGAAATTTAGTCTCTCTGAAAAAATGTGGCAAATATGTTTAACGATAAGTGGGTAGGCGTTAATTGTACTTCATGAACTGACTTGCTAAGAGTTAATTCAGTGTTCACCTTTCAGAAACAAATTATAATTACAAGAGAAACTTCTAGGTATAAGCTACTCCATGTTTTTTACAATATGCAGCAAACGTTACGCTTTGCTGATTAAACTGGTGCTCCTGAAACAACGGATAGACCTTGTTGCAAGTATGTTCCATACTTTGCTAATATAACAGCAGCAATTTACTGAAGAAAACTATATTCATCTATGCAAATTTTAATGAATGTTCATGGCATTAACAGGAAGTCTGACATCGTCAAATTATTGAAAAAAAAAAAAAATTAAAGAGCATTTTTGAAACTGAATAACACTTTTTTTTCAAGCAGTCTTTTTTTTTTTTGTTATTAACTTTGACTTATTATCTATATAGCTTGTAACTTGGTACATTTAATTTATGCAATTTTATTTTTTAGCTTAAAGTAGTTATGCCTGTCAGGTGCCATGTTAAATAATTGTCTTTTAACAGCTTTTTAGAATATTAGCGAAATTATATATATTTAGTGGATCGATTAATTTACTTAGGGTAAAGTACACAATATAGTCTATGACAAATTAATTTTATCATAATTGTACAAACTTATCATACTAACAGATCATGTGATTAAAACATGATCCTACAAATGCCAGAATTTACAAAGAGGGGATATAATTAACAAGATGTCAAACAGAACAATATTGTCCTTATTTTATAATAATAATAATTGTAATCCTTTTTGGTAAACTCTAAGATAAATGTAAAAAAAATAGTAAAAATAAATAATTTAATTTATTTTTATTTTTGTCGAAGTTTCGACCCAAATTTCAGGCCTTCATCAGGACTAAGAAAATAAACAGATAACAATAGGCTCGAGGAAAATATAAATATTCAATAATAAAGAATTAAAAATAAGAAGGTGAAAGGTATAGACTAAAAAATTTAGGTAGAATAAACTTAAAGTAAAATAAAGTTGGTAGAATAATAACAGTGACAGAGAACTCAAAAATAAATAATAATGGCAACGAAGTAAAGTAGGGACTAATGAAATAAACAATCAAAATAAGGTAACTTTTTTTTTATATTTATGATATTTACAACTGTATTAATATAAACACATCAAGTAAATGTATACAGAGGAATATAATCACATGAAAACGCTTGTTGAGAAACTACCCATTGGTAGCACTCTACAGGTAACATAAGAAATGAAAAATGAACTAACAACCAAAAGTAGTGAAGTGTATAAGATAATAAACGTGAGTGTAGATAAAAAAAAATAAATAAATGAGGTGACATAGTTCTTAAAATATGTACACTCTATCTACTTTATTTTACTTTAAGTTTATTCTACCTACATTTTTTACTCTATACTTTTCACCTTTTTATTTTTAATTCTTCATTATTCAATGTTTATATTTTCTCATACCTATTGTTATCTGTTTATTTTCTTGGCCCTGATGAAGGCCTGAACTTTGGGCCGAAACGTCGGCAAAAATAAAGATAATTATTTATTTTTACTATTTTTTTTTGACAGAATAAATAATTAACTGTCACAGGTAGACTCAAACCCTGGATCCTGAGCATAGAGTCACAGTGCCTTGTTTTGCTACCTGATTCCTTCAATATAGTCATATATAGAAATATTGAAGGAAGTTCGTCGACTGTTCTACATATCGAGGGTGATAAATAGTCGGGATGAAGTCATTTTAAGATTTTTTTATTGTTTCAAACAAACCATGGGAGTCAACATCAGGACATGTTACCAGCATTGTAGGTGTTCAAGTACTCAGCACGTATTTGTGTCTACGTTGAAACGTTAGCAGCAATTAAAAATCTTAAAAACGACAATGTCCTGACTATTTATCACCCTTAATATATAAAAATAAAACTATAAGACAAAAAAAATTATTTTTTTTGTATTTCTAAGAGAGAATGGACATGGATTCTTTTGAGCCAATCTTATAGATCCTTTACGAATACAAAATGTGGCTGAGTAGAATTTTATATCAAACAAAAAGTCACTATTAAATTTTTTTTAAGGGTTTTTAATGCATATCATTTTGTATATTCTTTTAATTATTTCTATAGAATGAATTCACTAAAGTAAGCCTGTGTCCATTCACTTTTTTATTATAAAATTGTTTCAATTTTCCTTCTATTAACCAAGTTTAACAAACATTTAATTTCATTTATAATCAAACATAACCCAACTTGTTTAAATAATTTTTCAAAGGCAAGCAGAATTTCCTTATTCACAATTCTGGATCTCCCAACAACATTATCATCAACATAATTCAAGGCAATCTTATTCTCATTGAATAAAGCACCATTGTCTGTTTATATTTGAAGGAAAAACTACTAAATGATTTAAGTAATGTTTCACTTATTGTCGTTTTTAAATTATTAAAGAATAATTTTCAAATTTGTGGAGTATCTGTAGGATTACTGGATGATGTCCTGTTCGAATCTTCACATAGTGTTGAGTATAGTTGAAATTATTAAAAAATAGAAATGAACGTGGGTCTGGTAGAAACTGAAGATTTGTCCAAGTTTAGTTTCCTTAAGAATACAAGTTAATGAGGTTTAATTAAAATAAAATTACACTAGTTTTTGAAAACAGTTTATTCATATATTAAAAAGAAGGATTTAACAATATTCAAAGTTTACAACACAATTAATCAACAATATATAAATAACAATTACTAATAGAAGACTTATAACAATGTATTTCTTTGGTCACAAAAACAAAACAGCTGACCAAAAAGACTCCTAAATTATGTACCTAGAAGAAATAGAAAGAATGCAAGACCAAGGAAAACATGAATGGACCAATGGGAAGAGAAAAAAGATATAAATAAATAAGAACTATTATTAATATACCAAAAACAAAATAAGTGGGAAAAGGTGAGGAAATAGGATAAACTCAGTTTTACTCACTATCAATCAAAGATAGCAGCACGTCTTAGCCAGTATTTATAAGATATAAGGTTTGTATTTTAGTGGATATTGTAACTCACTAGTAAAATATAGGCTTCCATGAAACGGATAAAAAACTTTTATTTTTAAAAAGTTTCTGTATCACTAGAAATTTGACTGTTGATACTTTTTCAGTTTTTTTGGAAATATAACTTTTTCCCTTGTGACTTATCAAACAAAGGGTTTACAGAACTTTTACTTTAAAAAAACGTTTATTAAAAAGTTTTGTTGATTTCACAAAAAAGTCAATCTAAAAATGGCTTTTATTCTTAGCTACTTAAATAAACAACACGTTGAGTAATTTATTTAAGACAAATTGTTACTATAATCTAAGCCCAATTATTGTTTATTTTTCATTTAACAGAACTTTTTTTAATAACTTAAATATATACAAGTTAAACTTTTACCATTAACCATAAACTTAAAAATTTATTTCATGGCTCAGACATTTTGATTGGGGAGGGACGATGTACAAAAAAAAAAAAAAAAAAAATAGTAGTAATTCATATTATGTGCACAAGTTCAACATAATTATTGCCAAGCGAACAAATATAACATTGGATATTTCAAAATATATTTATATATATATATGTTTAGACAGTTGCAGGGTTTTTTTTTAATATGCTTTCGGATATACCTGAAAATATCAGAACAAAACAATTGGATATATTATAATTTGTATACATCAAATATGACAGGAAGAGCGACATCCTCTATAACATACTTACACTTCAAGAACTTTTTCATATAAAAATGAATAATGTTAAAAACTGAAAAATACTTCTGATTTCTTAGTTTGTACAACCTCCAAATAAAAATATAACGTTTTGAAAGTCTGACTGTGTAAAAATGTCTATAAAAACATTCTCTATAAAATATATTTATACTTGTACTTATTAAATATATTTTTTTCAACTTTAAAGCAGAAAATCATGTGAAAATGAACGTGTCCACATGAAACGAGAATGAATCATAAAATCCAAGAATATGTTTCTATATTATAATTCCTGAATATGAATAAAAATTTAAATAATAGGAATATTTAGGTCATGTTAAAATAGTCAAGTACCTAGTTATAGGCCTTAGATTAACCAGCTAGTTGACTTTTCTTAATCAATTTTATTTTACATATTTTATTCATTCATGTAGCTTATTTTTATCATTTTTTTTTTAATTTAAATTATTGGGGGCAAAATGATATTCTTGTCCCCTCAACATTTTTATTAGGAGGGGGACAATCGTCGCCTGAAGTCTATGAGACTAAGTAAAGTTTTTCAACTTCCTTACTAAAATATTCTGAATGTACATATACATACCACAAACTCATAGAAGACCTATTTCTTTTATAATTGTTACGGTTACTGAAAAATGTTAGTGTGGTCAAAATCTCGTAAGGAGGAAAAACGACATGTTATTATGTTATATGTTAATAAAGTACGTTCTTGTTTAATTTGTTTGTTACAATGTTTTAAAATCCCTTGTCTTTTTTGTCATCATCCCCTGTAGCTGAGGTAAGATGACAAAATGACAATTTTTGGGAAAACCCATGTTTGATATATATATTTAAATCATTTTATATAGTGATTTCAAGGAAATGATAATGATATTTTGGACTGAATATTGAAAAATAACTTATTAATGATACATTAACGCCTGAAGGGCAAAAACAATCAAGTATAACGCACTTTATTAAATATTATTCTTCTTATTAAATATTTGGAAAAAATAATTAACTATTTCTGAAGGATGTATCACTCACAAATAGTGATTAATCATTAGTCATTATAATCTAAACTAAAAACGCAACCCAAGCTAGACATTTCCAACTGTCCACTCTTAGACAAGATGGAGAAAGGTCTTTTATCAGACAACCACAGCATAGAGAAGTGCGGAATGAGAATGTTTGATGTGATGTTAAGTTGGAAATAAGCCCTCGACTTAATGCATAAATACATATACACATAATGACAAATAAATATATGCATAAATATCTATAATGATTTATTATTTGAGTCGTTTATTTCCTATATGAGCCCTAATCATTGTTAATGATTTTTTAGGAAACGCAAAAAAAAAAAATCCCTATTCAATTGTAATATCAAAACCAATAGTTTATTAAAAATACATTAAGAAATTCTTTATTTGCAGAACATATTTCTGAAAACCACTGATTATTCCAATAGTAAAAAACATTGAAATTTGAATAGGATCCGTTTTGAAAAGAAATAAACTTTAAGGCCCATTTTCGACCAAAAAAAAATATTGGGATTTCTTTTGCAGAGAAGAAATGGTGTATGATTTGGGAAGAAAAAGTTATAATAATTATACAATAAAAAAATATATATATATATATTTATTTATTTTTATTTTCTTATGCCGAAGTCGTTGGTCATTCGATCATCTGACATCTTGCTGCCCAGTGTAAGTTTGATTTTTTTTATATATTCATATATAAATGGTTTATTTCTTATGTCCGTCAAAGCAGGACAAATATGTCTAGGTGGTCTGTATCCATTTCTTATTTTTTATTTTCAATTGAATAAATCTGTCAAAAAAGATTTTGATGATTTTTTTTTTAATGAATACTAAATAAATGTAAGTTTGATTAAATTCCTTTTAATTACATTGAAAAAAATCAACTGCACGATCAGATTCTTTGGCTGTTGTTACGTAGGAATCTATACTTATCTCAAATACGACAAACAAAAAATGTATTAGGGTTCACTTTAGAAATAAACGACTCATTTATTTATTTGGGTGTAGATATTTTTGACTGCAGATGCAATTAAAGGTGTTGGTTATAAAAAATTAATAACATAAAATATTTTTAATTACTATTTTACCTTATCATTAATGTAGCACTAAAATTCCTGAGCCAATTATATATATTATTATTCCACATCACTTAGCATTATGTCTTACAGGCGTTTTATTTTAGTATAAGTTATATTTTTCTCTCTAAAAGTTTCACAAAAAATTTTATTTTTTAAATTTCAGATATTTATTATACTGTTAGGAATGTATCTACCACAATCAGGCAACATATTCGATAATTTAAAAGAAATTTTTTAAATATTTGTAGGACTATAAAAAGATTTTACACTTATTTTTTTCATTTTGAAATTAATTTAAAAAGTAAATTTGATTTATTGAAGGCCTTATATGAGACTCTTGCTATATTATTTTTTACAATTTGAAGGAATATCCGTTGCTTGAAAATTTGTGAAAATCAATTGTTAACTCATTCAAAGGATTTCAGCCAATTTTCAAGCCACAGAAATATCAGATTGTCATATTTCCATTCAAATTATGAAGAAAAAAGTACAGCACGAAAATTCATATAAGGCCTTCAATATACTCTATTGCAAACAAATTGAATCGATTAAAATGAAACTTTTTTATTCTAATTATATAAAAAAAAATTTAATTTTAAATTATTTAAAGAATTAAATATTGAATGAAGTTAGACGACTGTTCTACATATCATAGGTGATAAATAGTCAAGACGCAATCATTTTTAAGGATTTTATTAGTGCCGACGTTTCAACACAAACATGCGGGTCATCAAGGCTTGTTTCGAGCGCAGAAGGATTCAAATACTCCCACTCATTCAAGTGGAGTATTCAAGTAGTCAGTACTCGAATACCTTCAGTGCTCGACACACACCCTGATGATGACACACATATTTGTATTGAAACGTCGGTACTAATAAAATCCTTAAAAATGACTGCATCTTGACTATTTATCATTTATAAAGAACTAAATACAAAAGAAATCCTTAGTTCTCTATGAGAAAAAACAACAATTTTTTAAATTTTTTTCCTGAAATGTCTTATTAAGATCCTATTCATAAAGAAATTTTGTTGTTGTTTATATCTCAACTTTCAAACAGGATTTATTAATTCTTAAGAGAAAATAAATGTATTAACTTTATTAAATATCCTATTAAATATTTTACTTTTAAGGATATTAAATCTTTGTTAATCATTGGTCCCAAGATTCAACAGAAGGAAGACATTCTATTATTGAATGAAGGAAGAACTATTTACTTTGAATGTTTGTGGTACCCCCTCTCTCCGATGTAATCATCCATTCACAGGTTGTATCACATTAAATGTCAGTTTCGTAAAAAGATGGGCATTCATGCAATTTGTGCTAGATGTTTAATATGGTTTCATACTTTACAGTAAGGAGAATTATGAGAGAATGAAATTGAGCTAGAGTAATATTTTCTAAAGAAAGGATATTTTTAAAGCATTTCACTTAAAATAGCTTTTAAAAACTGGCTTAAAACGATGAATAAAAGTCGTAAACAGTTAAGATGAAAATCTCATACCAACCTATTCAGGGAGTTTTGAATCATTTACAAAATTAGAACAAGTTTTAACAGACCTCAGACCATGCCTAAGTTGAGTCATCAAGAGCTTGTCATATAATTCATAGAAGAGTATTCATGCAATCAGTGTTAAGTATTGTAAACCTTTTTTAACGTGTTAAAGCAAGAAACTTATTTAATATTTGTTCGTTAAATACGACCGCTAGCACATTCAATTTTAACACGGTCTGGATCTGTTCAAACTGATTCTAATTTCTTAAATGCCTATATAAAACATTAGGAGGTTCTCATCTTTTGTTTCCTATGTCCATTTTAAGAGAAATTAAACATAACAAAAGATTGCGGATTGAATCTAGAAAAATTTGGACAAAAGAGGACAAAAATCTTTATCCCATAATAATGGAAAATCCAAAGAAGTTCAAAGAGAATATATTTTTTTTCGATTTCTTATAAAATTTAGGGCTGCCATACTTTGTGAAAGTGACTTCAAATAAGCTTTAGAACACTGAAATCAACAAGTGAAACGAAAGTTATCGTGAATGGAAGTTTCAACTTACAACAGAAATTAACACCTTACTAGATTAGCACAGAGGGGTCATTCACTCAAGATTCATGATAACTGTTAAGCACTATATAACATATTAAGCATTTATCACAAATAACCTGAATACTTCTGTAATATCTGTATAATCTGAATATTAAGCACACGTTACTTGAATATGCTTAGTGACAATTTAATCAATGAAAAAAAAAAGTGATCTTTATCTTATAACTACAATATATAACTATAGCTGTTAAACAAAAGAAACAATATGTACAAAGCTTTTAAGTTAATTTAATAAATTATCGTGTAGAAATAATTCCTCATTTTTTAATATCAATAATACAAAAAATTAGATTTTAGAGGCAATGTTTCAAATAATGCCCACAAACTTCCTGTTACCTGCACTTTTTCAAATTTATAATGGCTTATCTCAATAAAAGTTAAATCCCTTGCCCCAAAATAAATAAAAGATATGCTAACCCATCCCTTTGTCGTAAATCCTTATCAGTTTAAAATTCACTTCAGCACTCCAAAACTGATATATAATGTAATACATTCAAGAATAAAAATTAACGAAACCAAATATACAAAGGGAATCTTAAAGAAAACAATGGAATAATACATAACGTAAATCGCAACAATAATTTAAAAATGAGACTTCCAAGCCATTGTAACTTTAATGAACTCACGATAATAACACAAGATAAACTTTAATAACGAAAATTCAACATTTAAATAAATTATGAGATAGAAAAGAATATTTGTTGGATAATTTAATATTTCATATACCTTTTATTTAATATTTTCCTGAGAGGGTTCACCAGAGCTTTTTAATTTTAAAATTTCAATTATATCATTCTTAATATCTGTGTTTCTGTAGGCAATTATTCCTCCAGAATTGCAACAATTTATTTCTTCTTTTCCTTTATATTTGATTGGACTCAAACTGGTAAAATCTACTATTCCTCCATCGATAGACTCTAAAACTGCATGGCAGGCACAGATGTCCCATAAATATGAAGTTGGTTTACTTAAAACATAAGCGCATACTTGGCCTAAGATTATATTTAATAATTTGAATCCAGCACCAGCTATCTCAATTATTTCATAACCATTTTGTTTTAGAGTTTCTTTTATACCTTCTTTTTCTGATGAACTAACAGCAATAACCTAAAATTAAAAAAAATAACGTATATTTAGCTACTACAGTAGTGCTTTTCAAGGGGTTCTTATATATGGTGTCTTCAAGGAATATATAAGCCCTAATACTTTCAATTTTTTTATTTTACTTCCAATGACATTTCGAGCTGATTAGCTCATTAACAAGTCATCTACTAATAACAATTAACAGAGATAATTTACAACAATGATCATCCCTTATCTAGTCTTATAAAAACTCAGAAATTAAAAAAAAAAAAATTATCTACTAAAATGTATTAGAGTATTATAATTTCATTGAACAACTATTTATAGTACACCAAATACCAAATATAACCATATTCCTTGTCTCCATATTGCTTAAATGATTGGACATTTATTGATGCTTGTCCTTCTACAATACTATACTATCACATACACAAATTATTATTGTGTATACCAAATATCTATGGTATTTAGTATACTATAAATAGTTGTTCAATGAAATTATAATATTGAAATACATTTTAGTAGATACAATTTTTTGGTAAGTTCTCACTTATTATATGACTAGATAATGAGTGATCATTGTTGTAAATTATCTTTGTTAATTGTTATTTGTAGATGACTTGATATTGAGCTAATCGGCTCGAAACATCATTGGAAGTAGAATAAAAAATTTGAAAGTATAAGTGCTTATATATTCCTTGAAGGCACCATATATAAAATAAATAATATTTTAAAGGAAGATTATTAAAATATATTATGCATAAAGGAGATTAAACATATACAAGTGATTCTACCAAAATGAATTTTTTTTAGTAGTTTGAATCTAATTTCTTCAGTAATTGCGTTTTTGCTTCACATTTTATGATCAATCAAAAACTAAATGCACTTCATGAAGAGGTTAAAAAAGATTATTCACTTCCAACATCACTACTTCAGTTTCATAGTAATGTCATGCCTCTGGTTTCAAAATATTTAGCATCCTAGATGAATAAATGGCATTTTATAATAAAATAGCAGGTATATAGAAGAGAACAATATTTTTTAATAAAAAAAAACACTAATAACAAGGTAAAAAGACTCACAAAATTGAATTTAAAAAATAAACATTCACTTTACTGGCTTTCTGTTGCTCCAGAACATAGCCAGAATGACCAATAAAAAAACAAATATATGCTAAACTACTGACAAGCTTCTCTTGATGTCTGTACACGTAATTTTGAAAAACAAATATCCACTTTGTTATATAACTCTGCATGAGTTACATGAAATGAAAATATATTTTATTATTCTGAGACTGTTGTCTCTTTGGAACAAATTATAAGTACAGAATGCATGTTTGTGTGGTCATAAATAAATTAAATATTTACAATAATAGTTAATGAAAAGTAAAAATACAGGCAAACTCACATATTATCTAAGCTCCGATGATATACAAATATTTAAATACATAATTAATTACCTTTGGGTTTAGAAGTTGAGTAGAAGGTTGTGACAATTTAAAACCGTTGTAATTGATTCCAAAGACATGTCTTCCTCTCCATCTATTTACAATTAATTTTTTTTTATTTATGATATTTATAACTGTGTTAAAATAAAAATACATCTTGTAAATGTGACACAAAAAAATATGACATATTAAGACTTGTAGAGAAATTAGCCATTGGTAGCCACTCTATATGTATTTTAAATTTAAGAATAATCAAAAGATAGAAATTTAATCAATATTATTTTAGAGCATTGTAAAAATTCCTTACCCAGAATAAATTTATTTTTAAAATTTAATTACTAATTTATGATGTTAGAATAGAATATAGAAAATGTCAGTTTCTAAAGCGAAATGAGAGAAAAACAAACTTAACTCAAAATATCTTTCAGGAACTTAAAAATATTTCTAGAAAAGTCAAAAAAGGTTTCTTATATTTTGTCAGAATACTCAATGGATTTTTAAAAACAAAATATTCCAAAATGAAAAAGAAGTAAAATTTTGATTTCTCAAATTTTCATATGAAATTTCATGATAATATATTATGGACAAGTACAAGAAAGAATTTAATGCCCTCCTGAAGAAAAAAATTAAAGTAAATTTAATAAATAATATGAAAACTCAATGAACAAAGAAATCACATTAAAATAAACTTAGCTATTCATATATCATTTCCTGTTAAAGTATTTATTTGGGAAAATGGAATAACATTTTTATCAACTAGATTACACTTATCTTTGAAAACTTATTGCTTTAAAAAAAATTCATATTATACTGGTTAAACTCAGATTGAATTAACTCCAATTTTATAATTTATTTTTTAAAAAACAGAGTAAAAATCTATTTGCAATGTCTAATTTTATAAACTAGGAAACAAAATATCATTAATAAAAATAAATGGTTTACTTTAAATTAAAGACATGAGGTACTCGGTAGTAAAACATGTCTAACATTTTTATTCCTTATAGCTGCATTCAATGGCGGTTCATAGTATCTATAGGAAATTTGTTTCTTTAAAGTAATTTTTGTAAATATAGTAAGTGAGTGCTAGTTGAAAGTTAATGGGATTTAATATATTTTAATTATAAGTTTTGATTTTGTTAGTTACCATATTATATGACCAACCATATCATACTATGAAGTATATCTAATAATATATACTAAGATAAAATAAAAAAAAATGTCATAATAATTTTTTTATTGATGTTTTTCAATAAGTGCAATGAGCAAATATTAAAGAAGGACATGAAAGTCTTTGAAAACGATATCACAAATTGTTTCTGAGATTGAAGAATGTTGTTCTTTAAAAGAAAATCTTCAAACGATTTAACCTTTATTGTTCAGACAACATATTTTGATATTCTTGATTGAGATACTGACCCATTTGATTCCTCCTTGTAAAATGGTTGGTTTATTACGCCAATCAAAGGATTACCAGAATCCATATCAAAGACTCCCAAGAGAACAGTCACGCATGGAAGCCCAGAAAGAATAAAATCTTGCTCCATACATAAACCTCCACGTATGTATTCCGCAGTGGAATCTGTCATTTGAAAATGAAAACAATGATAACTAAAGTCGACTAGAAACTAAATTCTTTTCAATAAATATAAAAAGTATAGCTTACCTATGGGATCAATCCATACACCTAAATTATTAGGTAACTGAGGAAGATCATTTTCAATATTGCTAGAAACTTCCACGGGCGAATACAAGGCTTCAGAGAGGGTTTTGCTAGCATCAAAATTACCAATAACTTTATTCAAAAGATTTGCTGTTTCTTCTGCTGTAGGTTTCACTTCAACAGTAATTGTTTCCTCATCGGAGATGAACTGATTGTTTTCTTCTCCATATATATGACCGTGCAATGAGGGGAACTAAAATATTGAAACAATAGATGAGCTTCACTAATTGTATAAAGTATATGATTAATGAATATGTTTTATTTAGTTATTTTTCAAATTCTGTATCCCGGAGATAAAGAACAATATGTCACATTTTAGTATTTATTTAGGGGAGTCAATGCATAACTTAGAGCTATCAAAATTGTTACTACTAATAATAATTACTAAATTATTAATTAAAAAAATGGATGTAGTATCGTTTACCTCTGGGCCACAGAATTATGTATTGCATTTTAAATAAATAACTTTACAATTAAATCATATTATTATTACATAATTATAATTAAAATACATTAAATTGTTAAAAAATACTCATTTATTCATCTATATTGTTAACAACCTGGGAACACAGGTCATGTTTCACCATCTCTTGGACAAGAACATCTGCTAAGGTCTTGAAATCAGTTGCGAACCTAGGATTTTTCTCAGAATCTTTCTTTTCTTGAACTAATAGGGAAAGAAGATTTTCATCTAGTCTACATATTCTAGCTATATTACCAGCTCTTTCCGAAGCTATAATGAGGGCAGATAACAATTCACTTGTGTTCATTCTGAAGTTTAAAACACTTAAAAAGGTTTACTTTTTAATACTCTATATGGAAAACTTTCCCATACATTAATATTAACAAGTTAAGAAAATAGATTCAATATTTTCTCTGAAAAATAAACTTTTCTGTAGAACAATAAAAGTTTAAAAACTAATAAAATGAATACAAATTATTAGTTCTATTTTTTATAACATCAAATATAGATTTGACATAAATAATGAAGGGGGCGTGCTTCACAATTGAATCTATACCCTGGCGATCGATAAGAGTTGACAAAATGGAAGATTCTTTTTACTAAGCAAAATTTAATAAAACTAAATAACTCTAATTAAATACAATATGTCTTTTTTAAATGCATAAATAACATAATTTAGTACTCTGTTCGATATAAATCGTGTTTTAAGCTAATCTTTAGACTGAAATAACCTGATCTCAATATTTTAACCAAGTATATTAGCTTTGATATGAAATATATAATTAAATTTTCTAATTGACCTAAAAATTCATACTTTTCTTTCTTCTACATAGTTTTAATCGTTACTAAAGACGCATTAATTACTATATTCTATAATTATTCCAACGTACTATATGTGATCATAACTAATGGATTTTAAAGAATTTCAATTGCTACCATAAAATATAAATAAGAAGACTGTCGGGAATCAATAATAATAAAAAATATGAAAAGATCTATCCTCGAAGTGAAAGGTAGGTGAAAAAATGACTGCCTTATGGATCAATAACTAAGCAGTATTAATTTTAATTATATTTAATATTAATTTTATACATTATGCTATATAAAATGGATATTCATAAATCAATAAATGAGATTGTTTATTTGTTTTATCAAAAATGTTTTACATTACCCTTAAATAATACATAATATGAAGTCCCAAGAGCAGTGAATATTATTTTCAATCTAATTTATAGATCTTTCAATTATAAAACTTGAATATTAGTTGTGGGTCAATTAATATTCATATAATATAAATCAATAATACAATATAAAAGCTAAATGAGGTTTGAATTGAATACTTTTATGAATTTGCTAACGTAGTGAAGGGTCGTCCTGGCCAGAAACCTGAAGATCTCTTGTAAAAATTTTCCCGGGCTTCTGTTCAATAATAAATCGATTAATATCGTTTACGTCCAATTTTAATCCACCCGCTATATTAAAACTTTCCATATAATGTATGAAAAAAAAAGAATTATTTAAAAATATTAAGTAATCATATATATAGAATATTTTGTTTAAAAATATTATAAGATAAAAAATAAAACCTGGTAAGCTAGGGGTGCCCCATCTCTCGTCGGCCCTGTTGTAATATATATAATCGAAACATACAATAACAATATACAGTTTCCCATTGCAGCTCCGCATATATCATTTTAATCTAAACTTCGATTTTATTATTTAATACCCCAGGGATGTCTAAAAGGGGGCTTTTCATGGCGTAAGTTGTGCCATCAAAATTTTTGAGGGGGGCACATTTCGGCTGGATCATGAATTTTTGGAATGGAAAGTTCCAAACTAAGGGCAAGAGAAAAACAGGAAACAGACTGCAGCAACTTTAGTTGTATATAATCTAAGATCTTTTAAATTTTACTTTCTTTTGCACTATTATTAAGAAGAAGAGAGAAATAAAATATCTTGAAATGGGGAGAGGGAAGGTTCTTGTGCCATCAACTTTGGGGGGGGGGATGGGAGATGGGCACTCATGCAATAGCCAAATGATAACGCTTAGTTTAGATAAATATGAAAAATGCTTGTTGGGTGGGAGACTAAATTGAGCCTGCAATATTGTTGTTTTTTTTTTGTTTTTTTGCCAAATTGTTGACTAAACAACAGATTACATTTTTCAGTAACAGGTATAACCAATCCAGTTCCAAAGAATAACCTCTTACAAAATACCTGTTATTCAAATGTCACTTAAGGATTCAATACATTGGCGTACCTAGAGCACTTTCTCTAGCGAACCTCTTGCAGTGCAACGATATCTAAATTATGCCCCTTAGAATGGTTTGCTATCAATTTTAACCCAACTACTGTATTAAAACTTCTAACGTTTCAGGTTCCTTGTTATTCTATAAAAACTTATAGAAGATAAGATGTACTATAAATTTAAAATGACGTCTAAGTATTAAAGGAGGTGTGAAGGGATTTTTTTTTAATGATTTCTAATTCTAGTATAAAATAGTTTTTTAAAATACTTCTCTAAAATTATAATTTACAGTATTATAAATAAACGACAGTGAACTCAGAGATTATTAAAATAACCTGTTACTGGGAGACGTTATTATTTGGTAACTGCTAACCTGCATGTAATCTGTTATCAACATTTCACAGTTAAGCCCATCACTTGTTTTTGGAGACTTATCAAAAAGAACTTGCTGAAAGTGCAACATAATCACAAGTGTTGATCTTGATTTCAAGAGATATTTGCGTTTCTGGCCTTTTTTTTTTTTAATTGTTTTTTATATTTTCCTTTAAAAACAAAAAATAATCTGTTGTTTCCATTAGGAAATATATAAATCCTCCTTCAGAGAGATAACTTTGGGGTCTCAATTTTATTCTCTCGCCCTCTCCAAATTGATTTAGATTGTTGAAAATTTGTTTGAGATGGTTTTAGAAAAGTTTCTTCTATTGGACTAAATATAACTCAGAGATTACCTGAGAACACTAGCGGATCCAGGATTTAATTTTGGGGGGGCTTCAGCTCGGAAGCTTTTTTTTTTCACATATATAACGATAATTACATTAGAAAAACAGAAAGATACTAACTATCTATATGAAATGGTGTTTAAGTGATTCTTGAAGTTCTATTAAATGTAATTAAACGAGCAATAATACTTTAAAACATAATTTTTTAATATTTTGTACCACAAAACATGGTTACATTTTACCATTTTGGGGGGGGCTTCAGCCCGAAAACCTCCCCCCGTAAATCTGCCTGTGCCTGAGAAATATTTAATTAAATTAATTTAATAATTTTTATGACAATTAAATGTCATAAACATCTATAATTATAAGTTCTTCAATAGTAATCTTTATAAAATTCTAAAATCAAATAATGATACCAAAACATGACTCGACCAAAATTTCATCAATTGCTCCTTATTTCAGTTATATTTATTATTTTAGATAAGGATGATTTGAGATATTTTATTCGAAATTATTATGAAAAATATATTTTTAATGCTAAGAATGAGAATAAAATAAAGCATTGGTTTATTTGTAAAGCTTGAGAATAAAAAAATGTATGATAAAAAAAAAAATTTTTTCTCTAAACTAATTTTTTTTTCCAAACTTTTCTTTGTAGGAACTTTCCAATTAGCAATAAACAAGTTTGAATAAATTTCAATGATATCTTGTAGCATCGAATATCGGCCAACTGACACTAGCCGATTTTCAATCGGATAATTATATTTCATATCTAGATAAGAAAATCCATAACTTTCCTCGGTATTGAAAATCTAGATAGAAATTGAATCTCCATATATTTATAATAATGGAGGATTAGGTATTTAATAAAAGAAACTTGAAACATTATTGGGATGTACCTAAAATATATTCTTATTACTTGGTACAGCCCATACAGCATTGTTATCACTTTTAAGATATATTAATAAAATATATATACATATATCTATTTTATAATTTATACATTGCTATATTAGAAACACAATTTTACTAAATTGCTATAAGAATTTCGAAATATTTATTTTTCTCTTCCTATCTATGAATTTGATTTTAATTTTAAAACATTAAGCCCATGAGGATGTTTATGACCATAAATCTTTTCTTTTTTTTTTAGATAGAAATAATAATTATTATTATAATCCAGTCTTAATATTACTTGAAGGATAAAGTTTCAAATATATAGATATATTATATAAGAGTAGTGTTCAATTAATGTAGGCCAGATCTCTATGATCATAATCATCCCTATAATTTTAGAAAGACATTTACGTAATTGTGTCATGACCGATAAAAGTATACTAAACAGATACAAAGTTCATGACAATTTTGGGTATAAAAAATAAATTATAAAAAAATAATGAATCGGAAGTAAAATATGTAATTCTATAAATTTATTAACTTTATTATGCAATCTATTAAATTAATAAGCAAGCTTAAATCACACATAAGCAGCATTTTTTTTTAAATTAATTATTTTATCCTTTTAAAATATATTTCCTGTAATCTAAGATGTGCGTTTGTTTATATATATAAAAATTCGACTCTTGACAATTCAAATTTTTTTCCACATATCTGTTCAAAATTAAGACCATAAATTTAAGAAAAAAACATTTGATTTCTTAAAGATGAAGAAACTATTTTAAGGCAAAATTATACAATTTTTACATTTAAACTCGTAACATCAAAAGTGCCAACTGGATAAAAATTGAAGTTTTACCTCTTCACCCTGCTCGATTTAATTTGAGACTCCTTAGCTCCTTTCTTAAATAGTTATATTACGAAGCTTGTGATAAATGCTTAATGTGTTTTAGTGCTAAACAATTAGTATGAATCTTAATTAAACGAGTTTTTACTAACCTCTTGAAAGTGTTACAAGAAGTTGATTTTAATGTTTAATAGCTTATTTTTCTTTTATCTGAACAATAGAGATTTTTTCCTTACATATTGTTAATACTATATAATTGTATATTAGTTTTGGAAAATTGTCTGTAGCGATTAATAAGTATGCTGTGTTTAAAGCAACCCAATGTAATTGGGCAGCACCCTTTTATGATAATAAAGTGATTCTAGCTCTAGCAACCCTTAATTTAAGAGGAATTGAAAAAAAGAAGGAAATTATTCACTTTGAAGTTCATCACATACTCTGTAATTACGAATAAGAGTTTTTGGAGTCCTTCCGTGTTCTGTTCTTATAATTCTATTTCAATTTAAACAAAAGTAATAAACATAATATTTAACCCTAATAATAACTTCCCGCCATTAATGAAATTAACATAAGTTTTAACAGACCCTAGATGGTGTCTGAGTTGAGTTTGCTAGAGGACATATTTAGTACAAAAAAATTGTTAAAATAAGTTTCTCGATTTTTGTGTTTTATATACTTAGCAATGATTTAATGAATACCCCTAATATAATAACTAGATCAAAACTATTTGTAGTTCAAACTGTACCATAACTCAAAGTAATAACTTAATACCAATATAATTTGAGTTATCAAGAGTTGATTTAATGAATATATATATATTTATTTATTAAAAGCGTAGAGGGATAGATAACAAAAACAAAATTAATCATGGAACTTGTATCAGGAATTAAGGATTTAAAAAAAATTATTTTAAAAAGTGGTACCTTCCACACCACACCCTATATATATTTACATTAGTGTACATTTATATTAAAACACTAAAAAAATACTTCCTAATTTTTTAAACATGTTTTACAAAACTATAATACATATAAATTGCATCTTTTAACAGTTAGTTAAAAATAAGAGTTCCTACAATTAGGAACAAATACAAGTTAACATTTTTTTTCTTTCATTTAAAGCGTATTACATATTTATATTTTATTTACAAAGGTATATATTTTTTTGTCTGTGTATATATATAAACATATATATACTTACACATATATTAATTTCTATAACTTATCGATAGAATAACATTTTTTTAATAATTTTTTTTTTTGACATGGAAATTTAGTGGCCAAGAAGCTGGGTTATCTAAACATTTAAACCAAAAATTAGAATATAAATTAATTTAAGTTTTTAAGCACGACAAAAATTAAAAAAGATTATACCCTTACTTCCTCTAAAAAAAAAAAAAGAAATAATAAATAAATAAACTTGTAACTTAAAATTGGCCCACAATTATAAATATCACATTACACCTGATAAAATTCATTCGTTAATTGTAAAAGAAGAAGAAACAAAAAAAGATAATATTAATTCTAACATTAAAAATAAATAAATGTGATGTACAATCGGCATAAAGGTTAACATCACTATTAGTTAAGACTAAAAATATATTCACAATAACATTCATGAGATTTTAACACTTAAAAATTAAAACAATAAATATTATTGCTCACTGGTGGTAAATCACTGGGATAAAATTGTAAAAACAAATTATTTCTAATAACAATTCCTATAAACACATGTTAAATAAATAAATACAACAAATACATTTTCTTGTCATATATATATATGGTATTTCGATTAAAAATTAATTTGTACAAATTAAATGACAAAAATGTGAGTTAAATCATATATATATATATATATATATATATATATATATATACTGATAAAAATGTTACACATTTGTTTAAAAATATTACTTAATATGTAAAAACATCACAGTTGACAAAATAAATACTAAGTTTTAGAGATATTTTTCACAATAATCTATACGTATATCGATACATTATGTATTTATAGATTATATATTCATATACAGACATCAACACGCAAGGGTGCATGTATGTATATAATATATATCTGAGGTAATTTTTTTTTTTAAATAGAAGATTTTTTTTTTCTTAAACATGAAATTAAGTAAAAATTATACTTAAATCGAGACAATTATGTTTTTAAGATAAAAATGAAAGTGCTTTAAAATGAGAGTGCGAGTGAAATAAATAAAAATCACATTTGTGTAATACAAACCACTGAAGATTAGATAAATTAATATCTATGGAAGCAATTTTATTAATAACTGCAAGTAAAATCTGCAAAAATAAAACAAAGAAATAAATTAAACAAAATATTTATTTACAGAAGTATATATAAAAAAAAAAAGTTTCATGTATTTCACAAAACATGCAGGAAGAAGTGCAAATTATTTAAATAAGAATATGTGAATGAAACTCTTCCGTTTCTTTGCCAATTATCACTAACTAGTTAAAAATATCATTGACAATGTTTCGAAGCTATGCCTTATTATCTTCAAGATCTATAACTAATATACAGGGTGTTCCGTAAGCAGATGTTTATGTTTACATGAAAATAATTGAAGCAATGAACATCTTCTTTATTTTAAACTTAAAATTTATGACTAGTATTAATTCCTGTGACCTGAGAGGAAAACACAGTTTTATAAACCATTTTACATGAAAAATATTTAAAACCAAAGTATTTTTAATTATTTGCTTCCTCGCTGCCAAAGGTAAGCTTTTGTATTCGTGCAGGAAGTTAAAAAAAATTATGTGCTCAGAATCAAAAATTTCCACTCGCCTTCTACATTTCAGACATCAAGGATAAAATTTGGTTTGGTGTCTGTCTGTAGTAAATTCGATGAAACGGGCATATCACCTATTACCGTTTATCCGATTTTCATGAAATGTGCGGATTGTGTGTCTAAGATGGTCCCATATTAATTTGATCAAATTCCATCCAATACTTCCACTTATGCACATGCAAATGTATTTTCTTCGCTATGCTAATATTTCAGAAACGGCTCGTTCGATTTGAATCAAAGTTGGAAGAAAGATAGGTCTTGGTAAAAAAATAATGCCCTACCGATTTCATTGCATTCTGTCAACTGCTTTCACTTAAATATGCCCAGACATATTTTTCGTGATATGACTATATCTTAAAAAACGCATGTTCGATTTGGCTTATAGCAGGAAAGTTAGGGATTGATAAACAAATGATCAATTCCCTCCTTTCAGGAAATACTTCCACTTTCGAATCTGAAAACATCTTGTTTTTAACACGCCTATATTTTGAAAACGGCTCGGTCAATTTGAACCAATCTTTTTTAACTAGTTATAATTGAAGAGTAGGATGTAATCATCGATAAGTTTTAAATATGTATAGGCCTTCGTTTTCTGTATTCTATTAACTTCTTTTATATTCTTATATTTCTTCTTGAATAACTTTTGTTCTTGTTTGAAAATGTCGATGAATTTGTTGAGGAAACTATACTGACCTTACTTGGCAGACGTTTTTTATATATAAATAAAAATTGTATTTATGCAATTGTGTTAATTTTAATCCATCATGGAAAAACAAGAAATAAAAGAAATAATTTTTGCTGAAAACAGGGGTAACTTTTAGGTGACAGAATATAAAATAATAATTACATAATTAATTACATATTTATTTTTACATATGTAAAAATAAATATTATCGTTTATTTTGCCTTCTTTTTTGACTGACCCCCCCAACTATTCTTCTCTTCAATATAAAATAACATAATTTTTGTACACAACTTGAGGTGAATCTCAAATTTTTGCTTAATAATCTTCAACTTAATTAATATGGACTTAAAGCTCACTAAACGAGGAAGATTTTGAAATGTCTGGTATCTGTAGTATACACGGAGGATAATAAAAAAAAAAAATCATGATTAATTAATTTTTAATAATTTAATTTATCTTAGGTTAGCCGCTCAAAAGTATTCTTTAAAGGGTTTGAACAATGACAAACTTTATAGTTTAATTTGAAGTAAATTTTGTTTAGTTTACAGTGAAACAATTGTTAATTATTAAAATTAAATATTTTTTTGGATATAGCTTGCTATTCAACAAAAGCCATGACTTTTACTTTTCTGCTGAAAAGTGGCTCATTATTTATATGAAATTTTCTGTAGCTCATGAGATCTACTATCACTCGTATAAAAATTTCCTCCTAGTTACGGGACAACCTGTATAATAATTCCAATGTTATTATTAAATAGGATTAATGGCTTCACTCGCAGATATTTCATTTCTGCCATCATGTTTAAATTTATCATGGTAACAGACATAGGTTTATGATTAGAATAACTATTAGACGTACAATACAAGAGAACTATAATGCATATGATGTAGAGATGGTTGATCGTGATATAATATGAGAAGGAGTTGATCGGAGGGTGCGGTCAAATAAACACTAAATTATAGAAATAGTATTATTTAATTATTATGCCGACGTTTTGACCCACCTTGCAGGTCTTCATCGGGGTGTGGGATGTGGCACTGTGGGAGGCAGTTGATACCATGTTGGCAGTGGATACAGGCAGTTGGCCAGTGTTTCAACTGCCCCCCGCAGTGCCACATAATAATTAAATGCGTCGGCATAATAATTAAATAATACTATTTCTATAATTTAATACTTATTTGACCGCACACCCGATCAACTCTTTCTCATATTATATCACGGTCAACCATCTCAACATCATATGCATTATAGTTCTCTTGTATTGTATGTCTAATAGGTATCCTAATAATAAACCCATGTCTGTTACCATGATAAATTTAAACATGATGGCAGAAATGAAATATCTGCGAGTGAAGCCATTAATCCTATTTAATAATAACATTGGAATTATTATACAGGTTGTCCCGTAACCACAGGGGAAATTTTTATTGGAGTGATAGTAGATATCATGAGCTACAGAAAAGTTCATATAAATGATGGGCCAGTTTTCAGCAGAAAAGTAGAAGTCATGGCTTTTGTTAAATAGCAAGCGATATCCAAAAAAATATTTAATTTTAGTAATTAACAATTGTTTTACTGTAAACTAAACAAAATTAAGAGCCTGCAGTAATCACTACCACAATTTACATCATTAAAACTCTAACCATATTCTTAGAACGGAGGAGATTTGCAAATTGTGTGATAAATTTGTTTATAATAATTTTAAAAACTTTCTGCCGCAATGTTCTTTTCTGGAATCCTTAAGAAAAAATTACTCTATATCTGTATTGATACTAAGGATGAAGATTTATCTATGGCGACTATCTTGGATATTAAGGGCCTTCAACAGTTGAATAACATATTTTACTTCCTCATTTGAATTCTTGAAAATATTATTGATACCACTATGCACATATTCGGCATTAGTTCTAGGAATTTTATTTAATTATTAACCTATTTATTACCTTTATTTAACCCGATGTTTAACATTAAAAATATTTAAATATTAATCTATTGTTGAAAAATCATACAATTACTAGAGTCATTATTTGTACTGATATATAATTTTTAATTATGTATTCTGTTGAAGATATGTATGGTATATGGCATGCATAACCTAAACTGACACATTGTATCTAAGCCAATAAATATATTATATAAATATAAATATTATAAAAAAGAACTTACAATCAAGAGATCTTATAATGCGTTATCCTCGAGAAGGGAGAGGCAGACTGGAAGAGGAAGAGCGTTTAAACTAATTGCTACGTACTACTCACTGTTTCACCGTCCGGCAACTCAGCATTATCAGGAACTTCACATAAGCTCATTTTTCTTTTGTATTCATTCTGGGAATAAAATTTGAAAAATGAGGGTAGGATAGAATAAGTTTACAAAGTATTAAGATAATTAGGAAATTAATATAAACAAGTAAAAAGCTCAGTAAGAGATGTTAGATTATTTAGAAAAATTTAACAACACAGCCTTGTGTATGTAGTCCATGGTATAGACCCCTTTTTATCAAATTATTAACATCCACCTTAAACTTCGTAAATAGCTTCATCTCATCGTAAACTACAAATATTTTATTTACGAAAATTCTCAGAATTGGAGCATTTTTAATCTGGAGATCAGCAAACTTTGTCTATTTTATTAAGTACTAAAAACTCATAAATACATATTTGCTTTCCACTTGAATCGTAAGATAATTTGAACACAAAATCAAGAAAAAATGTGGCCTTCCAAAATATTGAGCCATTAGATATACTCCCAAAATGTCAAAATAACGAGGTAATATAGGCCAAATGGCCAAATATTTTTGAAGAACACATTTTTTCTTGATTTTGTGCTCAAATATGTATTTATGAGTTTTTAGAATAATACTTAATAATAATAGTAATAATATATGTATATATATATATATATATATATATATATATATATATATATATATGTGCTCAAATTATCTTACGATTCAAGTGGAAAGCAAATATGTATTTATGAGTTTTTAGTATCTAATAATACTTAATAATAATAGTAATAATATATATATATATATGTAATAAACGTAGGAGTAATAACCTATGTAACTTGACGGGGAAATGAAAAACAAAATTTTTTAATGATTATAGACTATTGTTTTAGGAGGCGGAAAATATGTGAATATGTGTAGCAGATCTTTTCTTTGTCTACTTTATGGTTTACCGGGTTATTTTTTTCCAAATTGATGAATATAGCTTCAGAAATTAGTCATTTTTGGTGATTGGGAACTGAGGCAAGCATGGTTGGGTTTTAAAAATCAAATGTGTGGTTGAGGGCTATTGCGTGTGTGGCAAGTTTCGAGGTGAATGGGTTTTGTGTGGAGATGCTATTTTGAGTTGATATATACATTTTTTAAATAGATTTTGGCTTCTCCTATATAAGAAGAATTCCAGTTTGGGCTAGAGCATGTGATATGGTATACAATATTTGATTGCTGTAGGAGCGGAACAGGATCTTTGAATTTGGTGTACAGATTTCTTAATTTGCTGTTACTTTTGAAAACTATTTGTAGATTGGAGAATTTTGAAGTCAAAGCTTTTTTGATTTTTTGAGATAGGACAGGGATGTATGGAATGGATCTGTATTGGCGAATCGTGGTGGGAGACTGTTGAAGATGAGGTTTGGATTGATTTTTAATTAGGTTTTTTTATAATGTGATCAGAAAAGGCATTGGATTTCAGGATCTTGTGAAGTTTGGTTAGGTTATTGTCATGAGATTGCGGGTCGGTTAATGTTAGACTGTGGTGTATCAGGTTTTTAGCTACACTGATTTTTTGGTAGTAAGGGTGTTGGGAAAAATAGTTAAAGCCGGAGTAGTAAATTTGTATAATGACTGCATCCTGACTATTTATCACCCATGATATGTAGAACAGTCGACTGGCTTCCTTCAATAATTCCTTAGATATTTATGTTATTTTAAATGATATCATTAAAACTGAACAGAAAAAAAAACTAATAAGCACTTGAATAATGACAAAACTCACTTCTTTACTATGTGATGTTTGCACAGTAATACACGATGCATCAGAGAAAGGAATAGACTTTCCCATGTGTCCTGCAACAATAATATTATTAATATTAATAGTTTGAAAAAATGTTGATTATAGTATAATATTGAGGAAGAGTTGGTCCAGGGTGAAAACTAGTTTTTCACTATTTTAAGTTTTTTATGACCACTGCCACCCGGACCATCTCTTCCCTCAAAACTATGTAAAAGTTGTCAATAATTTTGTCCTACGAAGTAACAGACCATTTTGATAAAATGAATTTTTATTTCTTCACTTTTGTTTAAAATCTTATTGGATTTCATGAACAAAAGTGTTCAATACCATAAACATGGTCTCATGATTATTGGATATCCAAAACCTATTTTTAATATACTTAATGCTATTTTTCCAGGATTTTATTGGTATATTATAGATTCCCTTTCACCTGTACTATTTAATTTAGAAATAGAATATGCTATTAGAGAGGTGATAACATACCGAAGAAGGTTAGAATCTGGATGGAACAATATTGGTGCTTAGGTATGCTGATAATTTGGTATGATTGGTACTGTTAAGCGAAGAAACGGAAACAATAAAACTACCAGAACTTAGCCTAGTCCTCAAGTCAGTAGTCAAAAGTCCTCTTTTAGTGGTTTCAAAATGACAAACTCTACTTTCATTTGAAGTAAACTTGTGTAGTAGATAGCCCCCAGTATTTATGCCTTTATGTGACATTGTGTGAGGGAATGAGAAGGAATATATAGGAATGTGAGGTTGTACTGTGAATTGTACTCAATTGTGCAGTGGATAAATTATTCATTGAAAAGTCTCACATCGATAAACAAGCGATGAAGAAGGAAGAAGGTTGGAGGTACAAAAAGGACTGAGCAGGTACCAACAGCTGGAGGACGCCGGAGAAGAGAGAAGGCACTTGAGACTGTGACATGGAGGCGAGAGGATTTGAGGCGGAACGACGTTAGAAGTCTACTACAAGATTTAGAAGATCAAGTCTATAGTTATAAAACTTTAATAGAGTCAACTTATTACAGTTGTAGAAATAAATTATTTTGTTATACAGGAGTGAAAAGTCATTTATTTATTTAGTTGTTCCATAGGCCTCAGGATTGAAGAATAACAAAACAGGTGAGTCAATTCATTCAAAATGTATTTACCAAGTCCCACATTTCATATATACATTCTTATTAATTCTTCTCACTCAATGTCAGATAAGGTATTAGAATTCTGAATTCCCAACGACAGTTAAACACCCTCAAATAGTCTATATCCAGTGCCAGAGTATTGTTTTAATAATGACGAGTGTAAATAACCTAGTTACCAGATATAAAAGCGGAAGGCTATTCGCTATTCCCGCCAAAACAAATTAATTACATTTAAACTTTATTAGGTTATTTACACTTGTCTAATTTACTGTGAAGCAATTGTTAATTACTTAAATTAAAGATTTTCTTAGATATTACTTCCTATTCAATAAAAAACGTGACATTTAAAAAAAAAACAACTTAAATTTCCTAGTTTTCTAAAGAAAATCGGATCATTCCGAAATGATTCTTTAAATCAATTTTTTTGTAGCTCTTGATGTCTGCTATCGCTCCTATAAATATTTCCCTCTTCTTAGGGTAGAGTATTCGATATCCTGAATATAAATATAAATAGTATACACTTCATAGTAGTAACTTTATTCTAAACGGTATTCCAAAGCCTATAAATGTACTTTCTATATCTCTATAATATATTTATGCTATGAGTTTTCTTATTGTTTTTATAATTAATTATTTGTTCTTAATTATTTTTCATAAATTGAATATTTCGAATGAATTAAATCTTTTAATATGGCAATTGGTAAGATATTGTACTCATTGTAAAAAAATTATTAGATCTTAAATTTGAAGGAAGACCTCGGGGAAAGCCAGGAAGACATGAGAGCAGAGTCTCAAGGAGGCTTTTGATTGGAGAGGAATGGATTGAACCAGGAGGCGGCAGTTGGATCAGGATCGGGAGTTGAGGTTTCGGCTCTACTAGAAGGATCCTCGCACTGCTCAGCTGCAGAAGAGGAAGTGATTAACATTATAAATTTATATCATGTAAAATTAAAAGCCGACAATGCTATCATAAACAAGAAAAAAAATAATTTATTAATATTTCAATTATAATAATTTTAAATCAATAAAAACTAAATAAATACCTAAATAGTTTTCAACCGAGAATGAATGGTCATCATGATGGCTAGAACTGGACACGCAATGCACCATCGGCAGCGACTCCTGAGGAGACGTGGGCTGCAAGGAAGTCGTTACTTCTTGGTCCACGGGGCTGAGGGTCGTAGTATCTGGCGGACTCTCGCGATAGAGACCAGGGCTCGCAACCTGAGTCTGCGTCGAAACCGAATTTTTCTTATCCACAATATAGTTTTTTTCGTAATTGTTAATAATGAGATTTTGTTGTTTTTCCATATTGTTGATAACAAAGTTTTGTTTATCAACGTTTCCTAAAACAAAATTAGCCCTCATATTCTCAGGATTTATTATTATCTTGTCATTATTCGGGCTGAGGATGAAGTTTTGCTTTTCAGACGTCAGAATAAAATTAGGCTTGTCATTCAAAATAAAATTTTGGTTCAGATTTAGCGTAGGTGTAGGTTGGGTTTGTTGGTTGGAGACCATTGTCGTTTGCTGAACTATTGTAGTATTTTGTTGAACTACAGTTGTATTAGACGTACTTGGCTGTTGGACAACAACATTTTGGGATAAAAAGTCTTGGCTTCTATTACATTGTGTGGGACTGACATTCAGTAATGGACTTACTGGCCCGGTGAAAGCATTATTAACAACAAATTGATTCGGCGAATTCAAGAATTGATTATTTTGAATTACTTTACTACTGCTTTGGCTACTGGGGGTGCGAATAACCATACCAGGAGTAAGTAAATTTTGCCCGTTACTAAAAACACCAGTATTCTGAACGGGAGTCAACAGATTAAGTTGCACAGTATCTTGGAGGATGGTTCCGTCAGACATGACCATACTGCCCACTCCTGTAGGAACAATGAATTGCTGAATCGGAAAGTTCTGAACAAGATTTAAAGGTTGGAGCATGTTTGTCGTAATTAACTGTTGAGTGCCGGTAAAACCTGTTTTACCAGGGAGTATGGTAAGAGCTTGGAGCATGGGTGCGTTTAGCTGCTGCTGTTGAACCATTACATTATTAGAACCTTGAGGAGAAAGGAGCATCGAGCCTATAGTAGGAGAAAGCTTCCTTTTCTTCAAATTCGCTTTTCTTTTAGACTCTGGCGATAGTAAAGCTGTATCGTCAAGAACTTGGTTTTGAACAACATTGCCAACTATTTGAGGAATTTGAAGTGTAGTATTTAAGCCGTCGACGACGACGCTGGGTTGTAACAACAACGGACCAGGGAGAAGAACTGTTGGTTGGTTAATTACAGGTTTACTCTGACCAGGAAGTACTGAATTAGCGACAACTAACTGCCCTGGGCTCGGAACTAGGATCTGCCTCACATCGTCCTGCTGGATTCCGCTCTCATCATTTTGCTGCGGTTTTTGCTGTATCCCGGGATTGCTAACAGACACCGTAGCAGTATTTGCCTTACCTGCTAATACGGAAGTAATGGTATTACTGCTTGCAGTGTGCCCTGAAGCCATTGTCGTTACAACATTTTCAGGAGGCCTGGCTTCGACAGGGCTGCGATTGCTTGTACTTACAGTTGTCCCTTGAATGGGTCCCCTGTCGTCTATATTCTTATCGGGTAAGGTAGAGCTTGGCTCTTCTGGCTTCCGCCTCTCGACCGAAGAATCGGGAAAACGACTAGTGATAATACTCTTACACTTAGGCCTAGAGGTGTACTTATTTAAAGAGCTAGGTAGGGGAATGCCGTCCACAGCTGGGCTGCTCTGGCGAGAGATGGTGCTATTGAGGAGCGCGGTCTGTTGGGCCAAATAGCCGCTAGGATCTTCCATGAAGCTTGGGGGCGGTTCTGGAGTGCTCGGGTTCATATTGTCGTCGGAATACCTCTTCCTGATGAATTTAGTTTGCTTCTTTTTCAAATCGTTATTCCAAACCGTACTAGAAGGATTATTATGTTGATGAAAGGTAGGAACCCTTTCAAAGCTATTGGTTTGCGTTTTATTTTGCTGCCACGGAGGAGTCCTATTGACATTTAGACCGGTAGGAACGGCATGGACAGGAGGCAGCGGGTTGCTGCTGAGGCTGGATTTCCTGGGAATGAATATATTCCACTGCCTGGCTACTCTTATATTTCGCTTCGTAGGAGGTGGAACCATATGATGATACTCTTTGTTCATAATTAACCTGAAAAAAAAAATATATATATAGAAAAAATATCATGATCATTTTAATAACAAAACTTAATATTACTTTAAATTATAAGAAAAAATTTTTGGTAAGAGTTGTCGACCTAAGAATGTAATGTCTTTAAGAAAAACCAACAGTTTATAGTAAATTTTAAACGAAAAGAGTGTTTTTCGATCGAAAAGATCTCATAAAAAATAACAAACCTGTTGTGACGGGATAGGATTCGGTGAACCGAATCGATTGGTCTCCTGAACCTTTTGGTATTGTGGATTTCCACAAACTTCATACTTAAGTTGGTAACCATTGCTATAAGGCTCCTGAGGAAATTCTTGATTACTATCTCTCCAAGGCTATGAACAAAAAATATATATATTTAATTAAAATAAAAATAAAATTAAAAAACAAAACCATCAAATATATATATATGCTTACCAAGCCATTATAATTATTAGTATGCTCTTGTTCCTTGAATCCACGTTCATTATGAGGCAAATGGGGTTGAGGTAGTGGTGGGCCAAATCTCCTTTTCTTTTTTCGGAAATCATCAGCTAAAATCAAACACAATAATCCATAAATATCAAAATAAACATCTATACATTCCACCATAACCTGAGAAAAACAAGGGTAATTGTAATAAAGATATAGATTGGGAAAATATCGAAGAATTTAAAAATTTATCAGAAAACAAAAAAATTACATAATATAGGTGTTTTTTTTTAAAAAAAAAAGTAAATATTATTAAAAACAATATTATTCGTAAATATTAAATATTATTAGAAACAAAAAGTAAATATTATTAAGAGGAGTGGGGTAGTTCAGCGGTAGAACACTAAGCTCCCAGGTTTGAAACCCGGCTCATGGCAGAGAAAATTATTTATTCTATTTCATTGGCCGATGGGTGACCCTGGGTCGGGAGACCCTCCTGGGGCACACCCAGCCTCTATAAAGTGAGTACCCTAAATTAAATAATTAATTAAGGGAGAAAACCTGGCGGTTGAGAGTGATCTCGGTCAAATCAACTCCTTGCACAACCTAGGTCAACACCTAGAAACAGTGCTTTCTCTAATACTGAATACTGAATATGCATATCGCTACTGTTAGTGCAAAAGGTCATATATAAAAATTGAGTGTTTTACAGGAGAGCACTAATTATTTCTTTATGACTTATTACTATAATTTTATTGCACTCTGCTATTTTCCATAGTAGTAGACTACTTATATCAATTACAGACTACATAATGTCAAAAATATAATAAAAGTTTACAACTTTTACATACAACATTTTGCACTAACAGTACTGATACATACTTAATAAGCATGTTTTCACTTGTAAAAATGGATGGAACAAATAATCCATAGGAAAAATCAAACTTTTTGTTTATTCGGAAGTGCTGGATGGATTTTGATAAAATTGATATGGAGCCATCTAAATGCTAACCTGCACAATCTCTGAAAATTGTGGGCGGGGTGGCCGAATGGGCTAACGCATTGTGCACAGAACCACCGTTGCCCGCCCATCTGATATATGACAAATCTTATAAAAATAGTCACGAGTTCGTGTCTATGTTGCTTCTCCAGACTAAAAATATATAAGATTATATATCATATTTAATACCATAAAATAAATTACTTTACTTACCAAACTTATTTTCGATAGATTCAAAAGACGATTGTGACAATAATTTTCTCTTATGGTTGCATAATTTGTTAAGATCCCCAGGTCCTAAAGCAGGAGCAGTCCAAGGTCTCGTTAAGACCTGGAAGTTTTAAGACAGTTTGAATACAAAATAACAAAAAAAAAATTATATATAATTAATTTATATAATATGATTACATTTTAAAATATTTAATTGACTAAGACAAAATACTCTGATAATTAGTGAATAGAAAAATTCTAAAAAAGCATTGTTGGAAAAGTTTCTAAACTTGGTCCTGATTCCGATCATGGAATCCATCAATCGATTAAATCGAGCTGTGTTGGACAGCAATTTGTACTGAGTTTAGAAACAATCTGCTGGATTCAGGCAGAAGGAAGGTAACTAAACACATGACACTTATAAAATACCTTCCTGCTGATTATTTAAAATTTAAAAACAAATAAATATAGAAATATACCGTTTCAATTCAATCTTATTTCATTTTATCGTCACAAGAAACTTTCGGAGCATTGATCTCTAACCATAAATATAGATACAAAGTAAACAATACAAAAATGTAGAGTAAATTGAGAAATAACAACACTGAGGTTATAATGCGGTAAAAATCCAACTCATCCATCAACCACAACAGCCGATGGAACTGATGCGCCATATTCGCATTGATGAGTTTAAAGATGGATTTATAATACCATTGGTGAGCTCATAAATGAATTTACAAACTTTCCCATTATAAGGATATTATTGGAATAGTAATGTAAGATTATAAGGGACATTAATATTGTCAAACAAATTTTAAAAGTGAAGATAAAATTTGATTTTTTGAAGTTTTTAATTTGTGCTTTTCAAGATAAATATACGTCACGTCACTTAGCTTACAAGGTAGAGCAGCCTAACTCCAAATGTTAGTCGGAATGAAATATAGAACCAATTCCAACAATGTAATAGAATGAGCTATTTTGTTCTGATTTAAACCTGAATGGTTCATCCTTTCCGAAGACATATTAAATTAAGGACATAAATCATTTATTTAAAAAAAAGAAAAGAAAAGAAAATTAAAAATTACCTTTGGGTTAAAATTAAAAGTAGTTTCACAGTTAACAGGGCACTCCAAACCACACTTACAAGTTCCTTCGGCTAGCAAATAGGCTTTGACTTGCTCGGTAGAACTCAATGGGGTATTGCTTGGACTGAAAAAATAAATAAAAATAAGTACCGAATAATAAACTGCCTACTTTATTAAAATTTTAAAAATTACTGAATTTATCACTAATTACTAAACAGAAGTTAATGAATGTGGCAATATTATCAACTATTATTAAATTATAGACAACCAAACTAAGTATTTTGACTGAATTTAAAAAACCTGATAATAGATCATTGATTAATACAATTTTTTATGCAAGTTTTCAGTTGCATTATTTGATACAAATCTTGAAATTATCTATAAAATTGTTAATTACAACTAGAGCCCGCATTTTTATGCAATTGCATATTTCATGAGCATGCAGTTTTTAAATATCTGATCGAATATCTATAAGAATAAGTGGAGATGTAATTAGTCTAATTTTTGTAATTTGATATAAAATTGCATATTTGGATAATTTGAACAAAAAAAAAGTTGGAAATAATAAATTAATATTAAAAATTAAATTACATTCTAAAATCGTAGGTTCATGCTCATACAAAACCTGGCTTTTTATCTCTCCTTCTGATCCCTTTTAAACATTAAATTTATTTTCAATTGTTTATTTTCTTTACAACCTGTAATATTTTTATTATTTTATTCGCATCTTTTTCTTAAAATTTAAATATTGTATCAAACCTAACAATTTCAAAAATTAAATAATTATTAAAACCCATTGAACATCGTCTTCAGCATTTATTGTTCAAAAGCTTCTATTGAAAACAAACCGATAATGTTGAGTGGATATAAATTTACTCCTATCAGCTATATTGAAGCAGAAAGTAAAAATATTCTCATATTATGTTTTTAATTAATATTAATTTGTGCTTCAGCTATTTATTTGTTTACAATCATTTACATTTTTTTTTATTATTGCCAATTGATTTTCTTTTCTATAAATAATCATATATTGCTACTTTTATTTGTTATATATAGGAAGTTTATATTGCTTTGATGTTTTAGATTTAAAAAAATTTTCATATTATGTTTTTAACCATTAATAAACATATGTTTATAATTATATTTAATTTTTTGTTTACTACATTATTTTTAAAATATTAAGGTATATGGAAAAACAAATATATTTTATTCAATCTTTAATCCTTTCTCTAATTTCTTTTTTAGTTCAGAAAATTTTGTAGGCATCCTTTTCAACTGGATTATCGCATATTTGTAAATTTGTTATATATATATTTTATTAGTCCATATTGTACATGTTTGATTACATGCTACATGGCATATTTTGAAGGTTTTTAGAGCATACAAATCCAGGCCTTGATTATAACAATTCTTCCTCAATTTGATGTTTTTTTTTTTCTTAATTTAGACATGTTAGTCATCAATTCAAGGCCATTTCCCCCATTTTTCAGCAGATTCATGTTCAGGAAAATTAGATACTGTTTTTATTATTATTAATAGTTAATAAATATCACAATGAAGTTGTCAATCATATAATAAAAATTATTAATCAATAAATGACAAATCATAATAAATTATTAAAGTTTTATATTAAGATAAATTTTTATTTTATCTTTTTAATACAAGAATCCATAAATTAGAACCTACAAAAACAACATGTACCTGAAATTACTTTTAATGTTATATATAGCAAATATATATAGTTATTACATAGTTAATATACACCATAGGTATGGAATATTTTAATTATTAATGAGTGTGTAACAGTAGATTCAGTGTTAACAGTGTATTATAGTACAGTAGATTCAAAATATTATAAACATAGAGCGACTGCATCCTGTATGCTTATGAAGTGTATTTAAGGTGAATTTGAATAAAATTGGAATGGTATACAACCATAGATGGTTATAATCATAATCAATGATTACAATAACAGTAATCATGATTACTTGATTATGATTAAAGTGATCTTGATTACATGATTATAGTGATCTGGTTACTGATCAGAATTGCAAGCAGGTAATCATGTTACATTTTCGGTATATTGAATCAAGTATAAAATTGGCATGATTATTAAGTTTTATTATCAGCTTTAATCATGTAATCATTGATTCAGATTTGGCCCATCTCTGGATAAATATAATTAAAACAATTCATAGAATATAATTAATACGCAACAATTTTTTATTAATTTTAGTAATAGAAGTTGGAAAGGGGCAGCAGATGAGGTTTACCAAAAATAGTTTATTTTCTTTGTGTCGACGTTTCGGCTTAAATTTTAAGCCTTCAACAGAGCGAAGCAAAGACTATTTAATAGTACATTATGATAAAAAGAAAGAGAATGAAAACTAATAAAACAAAAAATTATATTTCATAAGATAAATTGTAATATACAAGTACTATATATAATGGAAAAATGTGAGAACATATGTGAAATATAGCAGTAATAAAGAAAAATAATAGTACATAAAAAAAAAAGTTACATAATCTCTTCATCCTCTCAGCCCTCTGAACAAATTGGCATGTATTACAATTGTAAATCAGATGTTTGAAAGCAATTATGACAGTTTTTAAAGTAAAAAATAAATGATATATACAGACCTGACATAAACTACAATGCCTTTGGTGTGAATACGTTTCCACCCATAGGGTGGTGCGACATATTCTTGATTAAAATTTCGGGCTGACTCGATATCTGAATCAGACAATGGCAAACTGCAAGTCGATTCCGCAGCCGCTGTTTCACACCTCGGGCCTTCATATCCACGACAATTTTTTCTTGAGTTTACGGTGGCTTGGAGCGTACTGTTGTCATAATCTTGAACGTACACTAAGATGTTTTGGTCAGGCGGTGGTGGCTTGTTGGCCATATTCCCCTAAGGCAACCAACGTTACCATCACTGATGTAACACCCTACCACGGCAATTTCCTATTCACACACACACACACAAAAAAAATTAATATAAAAAAAAATAATATATTATTCAATATAAAAGAAAATATTTTATAATACAAAAACACACACATAGGAAACAACAGAACAAATAACAGTTATTGTTGAACAGTTTTTAATGGGAGATTAAAATATCAGAGGATTCCCTTCCAAACCAGTTGTGCTCATTATATAGGACATGTAGGCCTAACGGATTTCTTGAGAATCCTTTGATTTTTAAAAACAAAATGAAACTTTGCGGAGTAAGTGTTCTATACCAACAGATTCTGCGGGGATAATTAAAGAAGCCGAAAGGTAATTAAAAAACTACAGAAGTTTATAACTATTACTGACCAAGCAGTTGGAAGAAGTGGTATGGCTCAATATTGGATCATATAAAAAAAACATAACGAATGTAATTCATTATTCAATGAACTCTCGTGAGATTTATCTATTAATAGATACAATCAAATTAGTTCAATAAATATCCTCAGGCATGTTTATTAAAAAACGTTTAAATTATACTTAATAAAAGACATCCGTACAACAAAAATTACTAATATGAAGATGGAAAATGCATTGCAACAAATGTTTTATTCAAAATTTGTTTCTTATATAGAATGATAAACCGTCCCTCCTCCCCCTCCCCACAAAAAAATTATTTAATAGCTACTAGATTCATATTAAGTGCAAATATAACATTAAATTGAACAATCATGGATATTTTACATTTAACAAGATTTTGTCACTTTAAAAATTTTATATAGGATGACTGGAATGATTAAACTAAAACACACAAAAATCCTTTACAACATTTCAGGTTAAGAAGAATAGTATATACAGGATTAATATAATTACATTAAATAAAAAACAAATCAGTAACATTATCAAGTATATCGGATACCTTTGAGGAATTGAGGTATATTCTACTAAAAGTCAATTTTTCAATAATATAAAAATAAATAAATAAGTCAATAATAATTATTTATGAAAAAAATTTGACATGTGGAAAATTTAAATTTTAAAATCAACAAATAATTTTTGCATGTAGAATTTGTATTTAAAAAAAAAATCATTATTTATAAGAAGTAGAAATGTTAACTTTTAGTAATAATAATAATAATAATAACAGAGATTTCACAAAGTATGCTTCAATATAGAGATATTTATTCAAAATTACATAAGTTAACGGAACTATGATTCTATCGACAAACAAAATTTATTTTCAGCTTTTCTGTACTGACCATGACCTTGACTACTGGACAGCAGTCACCAAAAGTATAATAATGACCTTATCAGTTAAAACAAATTGTTATCGCCAACAGCACAACGGATATAAACAAGTTGACCAAAATAAATATAAACAAGTTTAAATGCTTAAAGAAGTCATCGCTTTGTAATTGTAGTTTATTTAATATTTTTACTAATCCTTAATCGGTTAATAAGAAAAACTTATGTTAAATTTGTTGGCTTAAATTAATAATATTTAATGAATTGTCAACATTTAATTTATATGGCATTAACCATATTTATTTGTGGATCTGTGGCAACACTGTCTCGACTATGTTTATTTGTAACCCTATACATTGTTATTCAGTTTCTTCTCTCTCATCGTTCCTTTGTGTTGTTCCGTACTTATGTCTCACCTGATTGTACATAATATGCGAAAGTTGTGTTCAATAAATATAATCATAAATCCATGACCTGTTTCATCTTTTGCCCTAATCTATAGAATCATAGATTCAACAAACCTAATACAAATTCTTGACTGTAAATCCTGACAATTTTGTGCTATCCAAAAAATATACATGGCCTTGTTAATACCATGATTTCAAATGTGTTAGGTCACCATGTCATGGCTAGAAGATATGGGTTCATTAAGAGAAATTATGAAAAACAAAACAAAATCATTTAGTAAAATAAAGTGATGAGCCAATTTTGAAACAAATTAAATACTTTTAGTTTACAAGTTTTGCATCTAGACGACACATAGGGAAACATCATACCAATAACACCACAATTAACAGATTTTGTAATCCAACTAAATGAGGTTAAAACAAACCGGTAAATATAACTAGATGATATAACTCCTTATCAATTTAAAAACTCTATTAATACCACACGACCGAAAATAACAAGTTAAAAAGAAAACAACTCACCAAAATGGTTCAACTTTCATTATCAAAATAAACTGGAATAATAATTATTTAAAACAAGATTACAATATCCCACTATCTATCTCATAAAGACCACAAATTTTAAAATGTACTCGATATAATTTTTTTTTTTTTTTTAAACAGAAATATCAAACAAACTTTAAAACATAAACCTTTTAAAAATACATATTACCATAGAAACAAGATAAAAAAATTTTAAACTGATATTTGATAACATATTGTTAATGTGATAATGGTTGTTCAAAACAAATTAATTTCTTATGGCTGTTTTTTAAAAAAAAAGTAAGGAAAAGATAAAAAAAAAAAAAGAAAGTCTAGTTTTACATCTAATCGTGAAATAACTCAATTTTTAAAAAAGTGGCAAGAAATTAAATTAGTAAACTATCCACCTATTTTAAGTAATGAAAATTTCTTCCTAACTAAATTAAAATACTCACAAAAGTGTGATATACTGATAAAATTCACAACACAAATTAACTAAAAAAAATACGTATGTCAACACTTAATTTATTAGAACAATAAAGAAAGAAAGGCAATAGCTATCAATAAGTTCATTGAATAGAAAGTTAAAATATATTATTTAAAATGTTTAACATATTACTTAATATGTTGAAGTAAATAATCTGAATAATTTAACATTATAATATTTAAATGTAATTAAAGATGTACCGCAATATTATTATCAAATAAACAATATTAATGCAACTAAAATTCCTATGATGTATTTTACAAAAAAATTATTTATGTTACTATCAGGTCATTATCATTACATAAATTATAATGTTATTAAACGGTATAATAAAAGTTGAGAATTATTTAGATGCATAGCTCTTGATAAATTAATAAATGATAACTACAACACAGCTTAATGTACTCCCCTAACCTAGAAACATAAGAAGAGAAAGTGTTCCAAAAAGAAAGATTGGTATAAAGCTATTAAATGTTTACATTAAATTCCCTTTTTTGTAATAATATATTTAAAAAACCCACAAACAAAAAAATACAAGATAATAACAAACAGTAGTAAAACTGTCAAATATAATCAACTTGGACCCAAAATCTGGGTAACAACCTTGAAATGTTTTATAATTCAGTTTTAATCAGACTAAAAGAGGTTGACTAGGACAGTTTACGTTTAGTAAACTTATAAATAGAATGTGAACTTTTAAATTATATAGTTCATACATTCTCTGAGACAAGTAAAAAAAACCTAGTAACCTTATCAAATAAAAAAAAACAGCCTTCATCTATAAATAACACTATTAATTACTCCGAAAAATGACTATTACATCTTTCAAAACAAACCAATGAAAACAAATATCAACGAAAACTACAAGAAATATCAATCATATCAAAACTAACCTGCATGTCGTAAATAATTCATATAAACTATTTCTGCAAATATATTTCTTCTTTAACATTACATTAGCTCCAACAGTAAAAAACTGGATCCATAAAAATTGTTGATCTTGAAGAATAGTTCAATTTTAAAAGGAGAACATCAAAAATGTCAACACGTCTTAACACCTGGACAAGATTTCACTGATGTTTTTCTATCCACCACTATTATTGTAGAAGTTTGACCACATTTAATAAACCGAACTTGTTATATTTGTTCCCGTAAAAAATATTTATAACTTAGATAACAACTTAATGCGTGTTAATTCATAAAACGACCGTTTTCTATAACAAGATACTCATTAATGTTAGAAAAATATGGTTCCTCGATACCAAAGACCTTGCGTCATTTGCGGATGTTAAGATCCATGATGCAGTTAGTCAAAAACAGCATTAAATTCGTTGTGGAATAACATACATTATCTTAATATTTCCATATTTTTAATGGATAGAATTTGTTGCGACAATACTAAATTAACCTACATTTCATTTTATTAATTTTCTACCGATAACAGACAGTTGAGCGTTCTCTTTTAACATATGTATATTTTTTTCTGTTACTAGGGATCTTGTAATGTTTTCATATAAGTTAATAGTTCCTATATTGCTATTGGCATTTCATCAGGAGGTTTTAAATTTAAAGCCTTGAACTCTGCAGTTTTTGTTATTTTTCTTTAGAGAATATGTCTTAATTCCAGTGATTTTTTTTTTCTAAATGAAATACAATTGGTTTTAAAAAGCAGACTCCTAGGCTTCTTTTACCTAGTACTGGTGATAAGAGTAAATATTGATAAATATTGTTTTCTTGAATTACTTTGTTTTTTTCTCTAGTATTTATGCAGTGAAATATTTAAATTTATTTGTAGTTCATTACAGGATTAAATTTTGGTGAAAATATGGACTCATTGTTAATTAACAGTTCCAGAAATAACTATATATATATTATGTTTAAATACAATTATATTATGAAGCAGGTATTTGTATTTCATTATTTTATTTTAATTTAGAATAAAATTAGAATTTGTATCAATTTTTAGTAGATCCCTTCCTTGAAAATTAAAAACAATTGTAGAAGAGCTACAAGGCATGAGTAGAATTTTAATTAACTACTTCAATAATTCATACGAAACTCAATATTTTTAAATTAGTTTATTATTATTAATGGAGTAGTGCAGTGGATAAAGCACTGTACTCTAATCTTTCTAAATCTTGTTTGAGCCTACTAGTGGCTAACAATTTTTTCTCTTTATCTTCTGAAAATCTTGAAAAAAGGTGCTACATATTTTGTTTAATAATTGTCACCTTCTAATAATCTTAGTTTAAGAACATAGGATCGTGATTTAAGTGAATCAATTTTATTAACGCTGGTGCTTCGCTCCTCTAGTAAGCCTTCTGAGGGCAATGAGCTACAAATTCAGCTAATTAAGTAGCTTTTAATTACTTTTTTTATATAACTAGTTTAAAATCTTTATTTATATTGGTTATTTTTTTCCTGGATAGCATAACCAAAAATTAACGTTTGAATAAGTATAACGATGTATATATCATCAAAATTTATTTAACTTCATAAATATGGACCCAACTCAGTGATTAATTTGTTCGTCCGGTAGAAGAAATCCCAAACATTTTGTAATAAAATTATAAGATTTCATGCTATATAGTATGGAGATTTAATAAAGGTTCTGCTAATTATTGCTGTCTTTATATTGGTATTCTAAGTAATATCTACAGACTTTCTAATATGGAATTTCACAAATTTCTGAGATGTGATAGTGTTCTTGGAGATGGACAAATTGTAATAACTAGATAATGATGAAGAAATGGTTGAAAAATTGATGTGGGGTTGCTATTAGTGGGAACACAGAAATAAAATAAAAATAAGGTAATTTTTTTTTTGTGCGTTTTCTCACTAACAGCAAACCCTAAACAACTTTCCTAGTGTAATAATTACGGAATACAAAAGGTCTTATCTGTTGTTTTCCAAATGACATACAGAAATCAAATAAATAGTATATTTTTTAATTACCTGAACATAAATCTATAGTTCTTTGAGGTTTGTCATGTACACACCTCTATACCTCAGTTTAAATTTATCACATTAATTTAAATTATTTCAAGACGAAGTGTGAAAATAAACAAAATAATTTTCTTTTCTTTGGGTATTTGTTAGGGTATAGGGTTTAATGAAACCTTACCCAAAGAACATAAATCATGTAATATATATGCACAAAAAATCATTGTTGCATACCGAAGACCCTTTACGCTGATTGAGATGTGGTTGTTAATTCCATATCTAACTTTTTAAACAGTTTGTTAGCTGTGTGCAAAAAATACCTATTCTTTAAAAAAGAAAAAACTCATCCAATAATTGATAGTTGTTTTTTGACCAATGGGTGCACTAGTTTGCCAAAATTATAAGTCTCAGGATTTTCCACAATTAAAGATAGCTCACTTCATTGGCGTTTCCTAGGTCAATCTTTGGTTGACATCAGAATAAATTATTACTTAAACCTGAGTGGTGGTTAAGAATTCCATGCCTTACTCACTCTCTGATCAAGTTAAAAAACTTTTTAGAGATTTATATTATCTAATCTAGGGAGAGTACATTGTCCTATTACTTGGGATCTGGTTTTTTTTTTTAAATAATTTTATTGACTAATGCTAACTCATTAAATTTTTCAGACCTTTAGATTCTTGTGCCCCTAAATAAAAAAAGAATTCTCGGCCATTGCTTTTTGAACAGGATTGCTAATTTTCGTGCTTATCTTTTGTTTTGCAGGGTGTCGTGCTCCAAATTAAGCACCATTTTACAAATATGGTTTTCTATTAACTGGATAAAACTGCTTGTCTTGAAAAAACCTAGTCAAAGTTAATTTTCTTATAGTTACTAAAATGTTTATATACATTCACTTACTTAAGAAAGAAATCATGACCATAATAATCATTTGGTATTTGAACTCTCTATAAAATAAAAGTTTATTCAACTTTGTACCATTTTAGGCCCAAAGTGCAGCTCAGCTGAGACAGCTTCCAAAACTGAATCAAAGGCCAGCCACCAAAAGCGGAACTGAACTGAGCGAAATTGCTAGGTACAGCTCTCCCAGGGGTTTTCACTGCATAACCTCTCAAATTGTTTTAGTTTGGTTCAGTATAAAATATGCAATGAATGTGTAAGAGAAAATATTCAATTTTTCTTTTCAACTCCATCATGATCAACTTAATTTTTTTTTAAGCTCAGCTGCGCTTTCGGTGGCCGGTCAGCCTTTCTATGCAACTATCACTACTATTTAGTGTAAATTAGAAAGTATTGTAACCTGCCAAATTTCAATTCAGGAGTAACAGCTGACTTATCAACATACCATTAATTTTCATATACCCTAGAGTTAAAATTTTTTACATTTTAATTCATGTAAATGATAAATCATTTTCTTACCAAAGAAAATATTGCCTGAATCTGAACATTATTTATGAATATATATATTTAAATTTGTGCCCAAGAACAATTTTCTAGTTTATAAAATAACTTGTATATTCAAGAACTTAACGCTACATAGCTAAACAAAATTTATTTATCCTCACTGAATGATTATGAACTTAAACATTAGAAAGCAGGACATACAAAGAGCAATATCTTGTAGACAAACTTTATTTGAACTATTTTGTTACCAAACTGTTCCCTTGGACATTTATAATTTTCTGGTTAATCATCAATTAATGACTATAGTTTCTGATCAATGCAAAACTTACATATACATATATATATTTTTTTTTTAAATTTACAGAAACTCTTATATTCCAAAAAGAAAACTTTGTGACACATTTATCACTTTTACTTTGTTTAACATCAATTGATTAATAAGCATTACTTCATAAAACTAAAAGTTTTTATAGAAAAAATATTAACAAATAAATAATTAAGAAAAATGCCTCCATCATTAATATCGAGAAGGCACTTTTATTAGTTCATAAAAGTGATTTCATTATTATAAACTGAAAGTCATTAAGTAAGTAATCTTTATTTCTCGTGATAATTAGGCTAATTAAACTTAAGTAGCAGTTTTGGTAGATTTAAAAATATATTTACATTTTATGGCCTTATGAGACATTGCACTGAAGAGTAAAAAAAAAAGGAATTACGAAAAAATGGAGAATGTAAAAAACTTTAAAATCTTATTTTCAAACCTTTCAAAAAAGTTTACGTTATAACTTTAATCTTATTACATACAATTAGAAATAATTTCAACCTCATTCTCAAATTAAAAATAAATCTTAACTTCCCTTTCGGATTGATAATATACAACTTTTAAAATTGCATGAATGAATGGATATCATGATCATTGCACCAAAAAAAAAAAAAATTTGCAATAGTATTTTCAACATTAAAAAATAAACAACATACATACATATATATATATTACAAAAAATGTTTTACATTCAAATTTTATTAGAAAGAGGTACATTTCTAGTTAAGTGAATAAAATAAGATTTTAAAACCTGCAATTTTTGTCAACATTACATGCTATATACTTTTTCCCTTACAATGTACATATTGAGTTTTGAAACAGGTACATTAAAAGAACTTTCTCCCGTTCAACGCATTTTCACTACATTAACATTTGTAGGATTTTATAAATATCAATATTGCTATGTTAAGAGTAAAAACAGAAAACCCAAATTAGAAAGAGAAGAAATACATTAACAATGGACATCCCATTTTCTTATAAAAAATTATTTCCAAATTTTTCCAAAAAGGGTATTTTGTATGTACAAAAAATATAAAGTTTGTGTTTCCTAATAAGCCATGGAACTCGTTCAAGCAGCGGCTTCAACTTCCATACTTGCAGCTTCCTCTTTCACTGCCTTCTTCTTTTTCTTCTTTGCGGCCTTTGGGTTGGCAGAGCAGTAGAGAAGAGTCTGGAAGAACAAATTCACGTTATTAAAAATTAAATAAGCATTTCTTAACATTTAAGGTAACAAAAACCAGTAAAATTCCCTGACATTTCTTAACATTTAAGGTAACAAAAACCAGTAAAATTCCCTGACATTTCTACATTTAATGATAATTTTCCTTGACCAATATGTCCGAGGACACAAATATTAAGAATGTATAATTTATAACCAAATTTATTTATTATAAATTTAAGAAAATTGAATACAAAATGATCTGAGTAAAAAAAAAAAAAAAAAAAAATGAGTCTTTTAAATAATAAATATATTGTAGAGAAAGGAATTTTTAAGCTTGGCTAAGACTTTTTATTTTAGAATTTAGTTGCGCAGAATATTCGGAGCGAAAAAGGATGAGTCAACTGGAGAATTTAGGAGGTTACACAACCATGAATTGCGTGAACTGTATCCGGTTAATATAATAGAGGTGAATAAAATGTGCATGTAAAATCACTGGGCTTAGTAACGAAAGAATAATAATAAGTGTTAATATGCGCTGTACCAATTGGCAAGTGTCCGACAGGTAGAATTTAGACAGAGCTCGGTGGATGGAAGAATGTGGACTTTGATTTCTGGTATCGGCATTGAACCTTCAGGTTCTCTAAGCCTTATTATTATTGAACTTATAGTAATTTATTTTTATCACTTTTATTTTATTTTCATAAACTGAGAAGAGGTAAAAGTTGATGCTTGACATATAAAGCTCAGATTTTCTCGATTATAAAATAAAGTGAGCTACGGGGAATTCTAGTATTAATGTAGTTTCTCATAAGTAATTTAGTTTCTTCACAATATAAACAGCATATCATAGGTGATAAATACTGTGTTTATTATGATTTTTTTTTTATAATAATATAAAACGCATATTGATCCCAAAATCTGAGTAATTTTTTAATGAAATCTTAACTAATTGGCAGTATAAAAAAAAATATTTAATAAAAGACTAAATTTGCTGGAAATTAAACCAATTTGCAAAGATCCACTGTCAGAACTAAAGCTGAGGTTCACATGCTTAAAATTTTTTCTTAAAGTGTCTTTTAGCGGTACACATTTGCCTTATAATCATAAATATAAGAAATATTTGAAAAACCAAACAAACAATAAAAAAAAAATATATATATATACACATATAACCAATTCAACGTACCTTCAGTTCAGGATCATCTACACTGTATTCTGAAGAGTATAATTCACTTTCGAATGTTAGACCTGTTATACGATGCGGACCATTAGGCATTAACAATACTGTGAATTTGAATTGCACTACTATTTCAGCTATAACATAAAAAAGAGAACATTTTTAATAAGCAATACTAAGAAGTGTAATATAGAGATTATTTATATATAAAAAAAAAGAGCCTTACATGGCTTTTCGTAAAGTACTTGAAATGGTTCAATAAGTTTATGGCTAACACACTCGTTGACTCCCATACGGGCTTTTTTTTCGTCAGAAAAGCTTCTTAGGGTAAAAGGCATAGAACCATGCTTTTCCCTAACCTCTGAGTAAAAAGTCCTTGAAGCTTTTAATTTTAGCTGGTACGTTTCATCCGTTTTTTTGTATACAGAGACTCTAGTATCCATTTCTTTGCCCTAAAAACATGACATAATGTTTCTTAGAGATATTAAATCAATAACATCTAAAAAAAAAAAAAAACTTTTTCACCATCAAAAGCATGAAATAATGACATAAAATTATTTTATAAGTTCAATACTTCACAAAAATTATAACAATATACTTGAACCTCTCAATATCTGTAATATATATTGAACAAGACTCCAATTAAAAAAAAACAAATAACAGTCATGAAAATAGAACCTTCAATTTATGTGTGTAAATGGATGAAAACATATATAAAAGATTTTTAATGATTTGTTTTCATATATATATATATATATTAAATATTTTAATTTCTATTTTATTATAATTTTAAAAATAAAGTGTAATTATATATACAGCTTTAACATGAGTAGCATATTTCCATAGTGAACGCTAATTGATTTTTATGTAAATCAAGATAATTATTGATTCTTATGTGAAAACACCTATTGAATTCGATGGTGCAATTATGTATTTTTCAAAAAACAATCCTAAATATGTAAAGAATTTCAGTGAAAGTAAGTATATTTCTGAAAAAAGCTTGTAAAAGGAATGTAATAAAACTTTAATCTCTTAAGTAATCTTAAAAAAAATAATACATAAAAATGTAAAATAAATTTATTTTATTGTACTTATACCATTATTATAAACAAAAAGTTGAACTTTTTATAGCATAATTTTTACAACTTTTTCACCCCCAATCAGACACCGCTTTTCTTTCCAAACCAAACCCCAATAAACTTTTTTTTGTTAAAAAAATGGGCCTTTGACAATTTTTCTTTTCAAAATGGACTCCATACAAGTTTGATTGTTTTTAAATTAATATTTAAATAATCACCGATTTTTGGAAATAAAGTGTTGCAAATAAAAAATTTCTAAATTTATAATTGAAAATAATAATTTATAATTGACATTATACCCACTTTGTCATATATTACATTTATTGATACATATATATGTTAAAGAAAAAGCACATTAAATTCACTTACAACTCCTTCCCCAGAGCTAACGAGTACATCCATTGCATAAACTTCATGTGTTTCTAAATCAAACTTTTCATGTTCTCTTCTCTGAGCGTCTGTCGGGTTCTGAATTATCGTTTTTTCACCATCAATTTTTCCTTGCTTCAATTGATGGGAAAGCATGCCTTCAATAGGTTTGCATTTGTATGCTTCGCAAACTTTTTGAACTGCGTCAGTTACTGTGTATGTCTAAAAATAATGAAGGATTTAAAAAAAAAAATTAAGTACGATTTACATTAAATTGATCAATATTTTATTTAAACACAATGAATAAACAACTGGTATGGTGAAAAAATCAGCATGAATAAGATAATTAAGAAAGGCGTTGATAATAATTTTAAATGTATCATATTGACTGGTATCAAATATATATAAAACAGATTCACTCTCCTTTTCTTATCCCTTCCTCCTGCAAAATGTTTTGGCTATAAAATTTCTTACAACTTTTGAATCCTGAAAAATAATGGATCAGCACTCACTTTCAAAAGCAAAAAAAAGTTATTTAATCATCATCTTTTTATCAAAAATTGCATTAAAAAAGAAGTTAAGAAAAAACGGAATATTTTTTCACTATATTGAACTCAAATTGTTTTAAAATATTCGCAGGATCTCACTGATTTCCACCATTAAACTTGAAACTGTGTTTCACAACCCTACAAATGGAGAGACTAAACATACGCACTATACACCTGTGAGGTAAATTAAAAAAGATTAATTTTTCATAACAGAAAAAAATTCACTCACTGTAGGAATAAAATAGTTAGAAAAAAAAAAAAAATCTGGTTCAATACGGGCGTATTGGTAAGTGTACCAACCTTAGAGTAGATAGGTATTTTCTTATAGGAAGTCGAAGAGAAAACATCAGTATAACTTAATTTAAAACAATTAATTACCATGTTTTTCTCAGCCATCGAATCAGTTACAATTTACACATTTGCATTGCTTTCCATTTCATTTTATGACTGTATATAGTAAAATATTAAAAATTCTGCTTGTCTTTTGGAAAAATTTTGAGTTTTATCAGAAACATTTTTCACTAAACTCGTCGATAAAATAACTCAAAGTTAGTAAATATTGCATATAATTATTACTATATACATTTCACATGAAAACCTTTTAAAAAAATTATGGATGAGCGATACATATAAAAGTTAAACTCACAATATGAAAACCCTGTACTGAGGGGTATCAGGTATCTATAAAGGGAGAGGATTAGCATAGGTGCGGCCCTCTCGGTTAAACAGCTGAGCTTCCCCCAAATATAACCCCATAACATTGCAGATCTAAACAAACTTTAAATATACGATTTCAGTTTTGTAAGATTTCTCTTTTTTGAACTAGGCTGTTTACATATACACACACAGAGCCTTTTATGGGACTTGGTTATTTGGACTCAGGGGACTTCAAAACTTGTAATTCCATTGAAAACTCAGATTCGAAATGTTTTACGATCGCAATAGTTTCTCTTACTATATATTACATATATAGGTAAGTGAAAGTAAAAAAGCAACATTTCTATTTCTGATTAATTATAAAAGATTGAAGTACTAAGGCACTATATTTAAATCCCTCACATATATTATTACAGTAAGGCTTGAAATCATTTTAGTACCAAATATAAGCTCCTTTCATGCTCAAATACCATGAATGGAGTACCGTTGGATTCAGAATTTCACGGAGGGTTAGAGAATCGTTCTCTCTGTTTTTGTTTTTCTTTCTAAAATAAATAAAGTTGATATGAACATTTTATAGGCTTTAATACTGGAACGGTGGCAAGTCTGTAGATCGATATGGGACAAATTGGGCTTTGAAGATTTTAATGTGTACACTAAGAGCAAAGGGCCCTGTGTTCTCAAGCGCAAAAACTTGCTATTTTCAAGATAATGCAAGGCAAAGGGTTCGCATCCATACAACTGTCATGGAATACATGTCTCACTTCGTCGACTTGAGGTCACTTGATTGAGAAAGGAATTTATATTGTTTATTGAAGATGTTTTTTTTTTGCTCGTAAGCCATATCATGGTTAATTCTTCATCAAATCACAAGATTGAGCCACCAATTTTGAAGGTTTCCTTTTCCTTGAGGCGGGAAAAATCACCTCAAAAATTCAGGCAAAGAAGTTATGAAAGAAAAAAACTTTATTTGCAAATAACTCAAAAATTACACATTTTTCTCTTAGTTATACCCATGATTATATAAAAGATTACTGAATTCCCTTCAAAATGAAGAAAAAATCTTCGAAATCGGACAATTATTAGCAAAGATACAAGTCGAAATTTGTAAACATGTTAGTAGTTCCAAACATTAAAGGAGTTTTAAATTAATTTTTCTTTCTTTTTTCAATTATATTTAGTGAGAAAGTGACAATTGATTTCTCTATTTTATAAAACCTTGCATTATTTTTATTTTCTTATTAATTTGTCATTTAATCACTGAACAATATACTGTGCGAATTTGTGGCACGGGAGCCTACTAGTTTCAAATAGCATTTCTTTAAATGCATGCATTCTCCAAATATTAATCAACTTTTATTAACAAAAACATCATAATAGATAAGAATAACATTCTCATAGAAATTTAAGACAATAACAACTTTTTTTAGTCTCAGAGGACACAAAATATGTTTATAAAGAGAGATCTCAACAACATTAATTATTACAGATTACAATAATTTTCTCACCCACTAGTAATATATCAAGTCTTAACAAAGAAAAGAATATGAAGACTAAAAACTAACCTGATTTCCTGGTTTCAATAATCTTAACGCAGCCTGTGAAGCGTAATGAGCAGCTAGCATGGCATCAGCTTTACGTCCCGTCACTTTATTAGACTCGCTCGCACCTAACACGATAGTATGGGCGACAACCGCAATGAAACCATCTACATGTGCCCCTAAATCACTGCAAAATAAAATAAGCTATTAACAAAACTAAGTATTAAAAAAAAAAAGATTAAAAATTATATCAAATAGGAGGGATAAAGGGATTTGTTATATACTAATGTTCTGAATCATATTATACAAAAAAGTTGTCTATTCCATAAGTCCGAAAATTTGATGTGCTCAGATTTACATTATATATTTCAAATTTAACTTCTTCGCTGCCGTGAGTGGCAAGTTTTAAGTCTACCACAGTGCTAATTAAGATCTACCCTCCCCCCTACCTGCCAGTGCTATATGCCTGCTGCCTTTTATCTTCTTTCCACCCTTTATTGCCAGACCTCACTACTATTCTTTAAATCTTATTTTATTGTTTCTATTCTCCTTTTGTATTCAGACTGTGAACTGACAGTGGCGGAATTAAACTTTTTTATATATGTTTAAATATTTATTTAATAATTTAATTTTGTACGGTATTCTTCTAAGCATTTGCCATTACAAAGAAAACCAACATAATTGCAACATTCTACCTTGCTTTTATACATTTTTTTTTTATATTATATTTCTTTTGATAGTAGTAATGAATTCAGCTGCTTCCGCAGCAATATTTTCTGTTCCTGTTTCTCCATTTTAAAGAATAACGAAGCAAAAAAGACTAACCTTTAACTAAGAAATATCTAAAAATCATAAATTCTATATAACTAACTAAACTAATTTCTAACTAAAATAACTAGACTAAACTAAATGAGTTTTTTTTATAAACTCAGAGCAGTAAAACAAATGGTTGTTTCACACAGAACGCAAAAACAAGAATGAAAATGGTCGAGACAGCCGAAGAACAGTTGAATCACTCATAATGGTTCATGAGTACTACAAAAAAAGCTCCAAAATAAATTCCGACACGATCTGCGGACTCTAGTTAGATGCTTTTTTTCACTAGGAAACCAGTAGAATGTAGCGAGGTCGTCGCGGTTATACTCGACATAAGCAAAAGGAAGGAAAAACCAATGGAACATCTAAAGCTGGCATTAGCACTGAGGGTAGGACTGGGTCACGCCGACTATAGATGTCGTTAGCAGTGAAAGGGCCAACATTAAAACTAAATCTGAGGGCATCACATGTTAAAAGCAGGAGAGATTATTTATGTACACAATATACTCAAATAGTGCATTGTTTTCTGCTGTCAATGACTACAGTGTGCCTTGAACCACTCGTAGGGGATTGTTCTGAGAGATCACAAAAACATCACATTATTTTTAGATAAATATGAAATTTTAAAATGTCTGAAAATGAAGTGCCAAGTCTTATTTTTATACGAAGGTCTTATTTGTTACGGTATTGGCCAAGCAACAATACAAAGACTTTCTATGCAGAAAAGCATTAAAAACATTTTCAATGCTAACATTTATATTCATAATCAAGAGTGGTTTAAGTTTGTTATAAAACGATTTACAGAGTATATAATCTTTTACATATCATATTAACATCATTTCTTATAATAAACTAGTGTTAACAATTTTTGTGGGTAATTATGTTTTCATATTAATTTGATATGTTCTTGAATATGTCACAATGAAATGAAACTAGACACTAGATGGTTTTTGAAAATAATTTAATATCTGCCCCAATTGAAGAATTATACAAAACTTGAGTAATTATTTTGAAATAAACATTAACCAGTGCCCATAAGTATCGATTCCCATAAAAAAACATCCAATGAATCGAATCCTTTGATTTAGTTCAATAACATACCTAGTAGTTAAAAAAAAAAAATAGTGGGAAAGACAGTTTTCCAAAGAATATGATCATACCTGCATTTCTGAAGTATTATTTAAATTTGATTATTATTTTATAAGGGTTAACTTTGAAAATAAACATATACAACTGGATGGATTATCATCATTAAAAGTTATAATTGTGAAATTAATGGAATTGAGAGATATCATCAGAATTACGTCCCAAAAGAAACTTCAATAGGATTTTTTTCAGTTTATATAAAATACTTTCATCATATAATATCTCAAACAAAATTCAAACTTTTTATTAGGAATAATTAGTGTCGTTTATTTCAATAATATATTATAAATAGCTTTCATAATAAATTATATACTTTCATGTTGATATTAGTTTTTATATTAAAAATATACCTCCACTAATCCAACAATATCAGAAATTCTCTGTAATTGAAACCCTACGAGTTACAATAAATATAAATGTTCAAATACTCACACTTTAACGACGTCTTGATCCTTTAATATAAGATCCGGCTCACTTTCTAAAGGTGAGAAGTGGCATATGCAATTGTTAACTGAGATACAAGTAGGAAAAGCTATGCCTGTAAAAAAAAAAAAATAATAAATATTGAAAATCATGAATAAATCTATCAAGTAGAAAAATAATAATTTCATGACAAATGAAAAAAGGAAAAATAAACTGTTTCTGGTAGAAAGAAAGATAGTTAATATCAATAATATGGTATTATCACTAAAAATACTACTTAATTGTTGATTTAAATAAGACATCAAATGAAAGGGACCAATAATCACCAAAAATAAAGATTAAGTTTAGTATCAACGGAATAGAGATATCATCAGAATTACGTCCCTAAAAAAACCATCAAAGGACCATTTAAGGGTTTTCAGATAATAAAAAATAATTTCATCATATGATATCTCAAACAAACATTAATAAAATAAATTTAACCAAAATCATAACAGTTATTTTGGAGAGGATTTTAAAAATGTTTAAAATTAATATGAAGTAGTTCTTCCGATTAATTCATTTTATGGAAAAAGTCGCTTTAACAATCCGGGCATATACCTAACTGAAACGCATAATTTCAGTTTTGTATAATTTTTTATTTGTGATAAAATACACTTATGCAATTCACATCAATGACCTTCCCCTCCTGATCCATCACTCCCAATACCATCCCTACGCAGACAACTTCCAAATGTACGTGTCGTCCTTTCCGCCTTCTGACCTATTACCAGCCACAAACAAACTTCAAGATGACTTCAACAGAATCTTTGACTGGGTAGGAGCTAACAAGTTGAAGATAAATACGTAGAAGACGTAGGCAATCCTAATAGACCCTAATTACCTCCTTAAAAATGTTCCTAAACGATAATCCCATAAAATTTTATCCCACCATGGAATAAACTTTGATCAGACCTTTTCCTGAAATACCATGTATCCAATATCTTTCGCCATACCTTTTTTACTTTAAATTGTCTAAATTGACACCTTTACTTATTTTTTTCCTTTTGAAACCCGTAAAACTCCGTAATATTTCTCACTATTTCTGCACGGTATATGAAAACGTCTCTAGGGATCTCAAGGAGAAACTAAAACTTTTAATAAATTGCTTTGCAGAATTCGTCTTCGAGAAACCCATGGAACATCTCTGTTTTCCTTTTTTTTTTCAAAGAGTTGAAGTGGCAATATCCTTGCTACCAGTCATAAGTATCTTCTGGCACCCATCCTCTTTGAAGTTATTCAATCCCGCCACCTCTCATACATCTCAGAGCTCCTTCAATAAAAATTCTCAGTTCACTCCCACAATGTCCATTTCTGATCTTCAGATTTATATACAATGGCCCACAGAAGTGCTGCTTTCGATCGATAGCATTCACTATTCGATCCTTGTACCTAAGGAACGCCATCACTACTCTACATCCATCGCTTCATCAATACCCTCTTTAATTTTAAATCCTGCCTATTCAATCACTTCCCTTCCATAAAATTGTAAATAGATATTTCTGTAAATATGTACATATATTATTAGTTTGTTTTCAATTACTTTAATTTTATGTTTCTTTCATTTATTTTTATCTGTTTAAATTGTAAGTATATTTTTATATCTCTGAGGCTCAAAAGTCAACAATTCTGTCCTTGTTTATAATTCTAAAAAGACTCATTGCAAAGTATTATTATTATTATTATATGCAAACCCACATAATCATACACCAGAGACCATCTTGCACGATATGGTTGATTATTGGGAATGGAAACTCATTTACATCTAAACATAAAACCATTAATTATGGTTAGCTTAATTTCTACAGTTAGTAAGAGGAAAGGAGAGAGAAGATCAATTTATTTCTCAATACAAATTCCTGAACTTCTAGGTAAGAACATATAAAAATTGTCAGCAGGAAGATGTGTCTACTAGGAGACATTCTACTGAATCATTAAAAGTGGCAAAAATAATGGTAGAATAGAGATATCATCAGAATTACGTCCCAAAAAAACATCAAAGTATAACACTATCGGTAGTATTTTCAGCTTGTATAAAATATTTTCATCATATGATATCTCAAACAAATTCACAATGGATTACTTCAAATAAATAATAAGCAATTAAAAATGAATAAATTACATTTATAATTTGAATAACTACTGATTTATGATTTTTGACCTAGTATTATATAAATTCAGAACAGGCAGTCCCCCCACCTTTCCTCCCTGTCGCACATATGTCAGGTCCTTTTTGTTAGAAAGTGATTTAAGTCAAATTATGCTCAATACAAACGTTTACGTAACATATACAAAGTAATATTTTGTGAACTTTAGTTATAAACATATACAAAGTAATATTTTGTGAACTTTAGTTTTAAACATATACAAAGTAAAGTAATATTTTGTGAACTTTAGTTATAAACATATACAAAGTAATATTTTGTCAACTATAATTTTAAACATATACAAAGTAATATTTTGTGAACTTTAGTTTTAATCATCAATGTAATATGTACAGCTTCCTTTTTAATAACTAGGGAAAAGGGAGGGCACCCTCTGTCTATGTAACGGCAGACCAATCCCCATTTTGCAAATTATACCACTGTTGATTTGATTTTAATACTCATTGCTCAAATAGTAAAACTATAATTTATATGTATTCGGCAGCTCAGATTGCATTATTTTTTTTTTAGAAACAAAATAAACTGAACAAAACCACAGGTTGGAAAAATTTTTAATATCTTTAAAACTCTATATTATACATCGGGCCTTTTCGCCAGTTTATAATGTTATATAATTATAATTATTCTTATTGGCAATTTGTAACCATAATATATATTCAACTTGCCCAGCCTCATATAAGCCCAACATCAATTTGAACCTTTTATTTCTGATAATTTCATTGTACGTTATTATATTGTGCTTTCTTTTCTATTTCATAATAATTATTATCATATCACAATATAATATAAATAATACTATATATAATATAATAATTAATATATTGTAGTCAAGGGGAAAATATATCTAGATCAAAAAATAACTTCCAGTCACCCAGGTAAAATCAAACTAGCACCTCCAGATGAATACAATTTTCCGTTCAAATGTTTGGTCTAAAATCTTTATTTTGCATTAGCAGAGTAGCTCAATTTGTACACGAGCTCAACCCATATGTAACTAATTGAACAGTTGTATAATTAGCTAATAGTAGAGCTGCTGTAATCTTCTACTCTCTTAATACTAAAATAAAATAAAATATGAAAGTCATTATAAAACTTTTTTATATAATAAAGAGATATACTTCATTAAGTAGAATCCCAACAAATTTTATGATGACAATATGAATATATTTAATGAAGTTAGATTGTTATAAGATACTTATCACGTTTTGTTAATGTTTACTTATCAATAGCTTATACTTACTATCAAGCATAATACTTCATAACGGTGCTTTTTTAAATGTAATTTTATCATGCAAATACTCACAAAATCAAGAAAAAAAAAGGTGGCCTACAAAAATATTGAACCGTTTGGCCTATAAAACCTTGTGATTATGGCATTACGGAATGAAGGCCACGCCAAACAGCTTGGTATTTTTCAAGGTCACTTTTTTTCTTAAGTTTGTGCTTAAATAATCTTACAATTCAAGTGGAAAGCAAATGGGTATTTATGAGTTTTTATTATCAAATTAAATAAACAAAGTTTGCCAACTACTAGATTGAAAATGCCCCCAATTCGAAGATTTATCGTAAATAAAATATTTGCAGGTTACGATGAGATGAAGCTTTTTACAAAGTTTCAGGAGGATGTTAATAATTTGATAAAAAGAGGTCTGTATCACGGAGTATATGCTGTGTGAATTATTCGCATGGGCTAACTAGTTGTTAATAATATATCGCTTCATGCCTTTGTTATTAGTAATAATTCAAATTTTCCTTATACTTCAAACGCATTGAGGAGAAGAAAGATAGATATAAAATGCAAGAGCTCTTGCAGAGTATGCTAGTTGATTGAAACTAGCTATGATCTAATAGAACTGATTGAATATAAACAAATTGTAAATATATAAATTAAGTCAGCCACAAACCTTTACGCATTTCTTTTTCTTTTTTGAAAACTTTGCTGGTTTCTTCTATTATGAGGTTGTCTCCCAACTCGCATACAGTGCGAACTGAAGCACCCGGGACACATGCTTTGATAACTTGTTTTAAGACACCTGAAATAGAAGATAAACAATTAATAAACCTATCTATTTCTTTTAGATAAAAAATATAATATATAAATAATAACGCTACAACTACATGTACAAACTAAAAGAATTTTCTTAATGAATAAAATGGAATTTTACACTAACTTTCGATGGCCACTGATTCACTTAAATGCGAGAAAAAGAGTTATGAAATAGGTTTTAACGGTTAAAATAATAAGTCGATCATAATGTATGTTCTAAATAAAGTAGAGCAGAGGTATCTAAATTTTTAGGCCCGTGGAGTACATTCGATGAGATCACCAAGTCCCACAGGCTAGTCATGAAAAAAAACTAACTTTTTTTAAAAATGACACCTATTTCGTAATTGAGCTTTTCAAGATAAACAATTCATAAAATAAAAATTATAGTTAACTTCTGTTTGAGTGATTTACTGAATTTAATATTTTTTTATATCATTTAGAAAATATGAAATTCAGTAAATCACTCATTAGTTAACATTAATATAAATTAGGTACTTATTTAATAGCAGGTAGCGTCAAAACCTCCCTTATCTCATCTAACCTAAGTTATTCCCTTATTTATTTTTTGTTTCTTGTGTTAGCTGTGAGTTAGTGTTATTTAATTATGGATGTTGTCATATTGTGGGAATTGCCGTCTTCAGAAGAAGAGGCTATAAAATATTTTCAAGACGCCAGGATATTTGCAAAGGTCAAATATTGTGATGAAGGTCATCAAATGAAGTTCGACGGGAAGGAGTTAAATGGAGATGCTTTCGTTGTTGTAACAAAACCGTTTCTATAAGGAAAGGAACTTGGCGAGGATTTCTGTTTTAACTAGTTTAAATTCATTTATGGGTGATCCCATAATTTAACAATACAGTGGGGGGAAAGAACAGCTCAAACTATACAACGCAACTATCGTAACATGGAACAAATTTTTAAGAGAAGTTTGCGCCCATGACGGATCCCTTCCTTGCTATTTTAAATACCATAAAACTATTTTCCCTACCAAAATAAATCAAATTAAAATAAATTTTTTCATATTTTGTTTATATCGTTTCTTCATAGTGTTTCTTTTATATGTACATATACTGTTTAAGTGGTTTTTTAATTATTTCATCTATTTTTATTATTTCATGTTTTCGTAATGGTTTTTAATTATATATTTATAATGTTTTGGTATATTTTAATATATATGTTGTAAAATAAAAGTATTTCTTTTATTATCACATTTGTTTTTGTTAACGATTTCAATAATATCAATACAATACAATAAATATGAATACGAAGATATAATACAATTAATACGAATACGAAGAGCTTATCAGTGTTAAGGCAGATAGCAGTCGGACGCTAACCGTTATTAAATAAGTACCAAAAATTACACCATGTAATCAAAGATAATGTAAGCTTTTATTAAATTAAAACAGGAATCTTACATCTTGCAATTTTGATAACTTCACATACTTTCATATTTCTTTAGAAATAAAATAAATACTTATCTTTTAGATAAACTTTACACCTAACAACAATATCAAGTAGGGCGAAGGTACCAGTTATGGACAAGTTGGACTTTTAATGTAAATAACCTTCCTTGTTGATTTAAAGGTTCCATGTTTTTCTAGATTGACAACTGTATGAATAAAGCTCCTAAAAGAAAATTTTAAAATGTCTATCATTGTTGCTTCTAGTGCTGTTGAGATCAGTGTGTTTCATATCTTCCTAGCAACAATTATGCTAAGAGAAAGTTCAACATTTATCTTATCTTATATTTGTTGTTAAATAAAGATTATAGAATTTTTTTGAGGTATGTCGATTACTGGTACTGAACACATGTCCATTATTAGTAAAATTGAAGAGAGGAGGGTGCAGCAGCCATGCTGGAGTGGCATATATGACGTTTCACCGAATCGCTGATAATGAAAAACACAATTTTTATAACTAAATTACGAAATTAGACATTAGCATTGAATAAAAGACATAAATAAAATTCCAATCAAGGCATCTAAGTTAAACCAGGCATGCAAAAACAAAAATTGTACTTGAAGTGTAGAAAACAAGAGTTTTGGAACCAAATCACTTAAATACAACACTTAAGGTACTATTTCGCTGTTATTGCCCATGAAAGCGACTACTGGCCGCTAAACACTTCTTTAGTGGAATAGAAAGGAACCTATTTCATTGGCACTGCTCGACAGTCTAGGAATGACATCATATCAATAATGCTACTTTCTGGCTGTTTCTGAAGCAGCGAAGCTGTTGGCAGCACAATAGTTATAGTTGATAACATAGTAATCATATTGGAGCGTTGTTTTACTGATAACATTCACCTTGATACATTTCATTTCCTTTTTTTTTTTTTCATCAAATCAGGCAAAATTAAATGAAACATTGTTTAGAATTTAAACAAAGCTATAATAAAATTATTTTTTAAAGTTTGAAGGTTATTTATTTATTCTACCAAGAGTATTTTATAGAGAAATTTAAATATACCTAGATACAAATGACATTAAATAATCAAAAACATTTGACTTCATGTAAATATTCAAATCCAAACATTGAAAAATCAATTAGTATTTTTTAATTAGTGTTGATTTACTGATTACCTATTAATAAAACAGTAAAATATTGCCTACTGTGATTTTATAACAAATGTATGATAATGATAATTAATTAATTACGTAATAATAGCTGTTACTTATCAAACTTATAATTAGTTATAAATTAAAAATTGGGGATAAATCTTCAGTTCTTAAAATAATGTTTTATCATCTTTTCAATACGACGAATACTTAATAGTTTACCGTTGTATATTTTATAAGAGGAGATGGCCCGGGGTGGAAGTAATAAATAGATTAAACCTCCCTTAAGAAGACCTGCAAGTCTGGTCGAAACGTTGGTTTGAAATAAAATAGTTTTTCCACTGTTTCAGTCTATTAATGACCGCCACCCCGGACCATCTCCTTCCTCATGAATACTTGACATTTTATATTCAAAATATTACAAGAAACAATCATTTTGTGGATGGTGGGAATTGATAAGTAGATAATTATTAACATTTAAGAGTACAGACATAATCTAACATTGTTATTCAAGTTAAACTACCAGAAAAAACGGCATGTATTAATTTAAAAAGATTAAAAACGACTGTTGGTATCCTTCAGATACAAATAAAAACCATTAAATTTAAGGCTAACATTTTTATTTAAAATCATATCAAACTAGGACGCTAAATTGATAGGATTTGGCTGCGACCGTGAGAAGTTTCAGCGAAATAGACAAGCAGTAGCGGTTGGCAGTATGAAATAGCGTCTGCTGCCATGGGCAGTACCAGCGAATTAGTACCATAGTATTGGAAAAAATATAAATAATATTGCATATGCAATAACAAAACAAGATTTCTAAGAAAGTATTAAAAAGGACCAACATGCAGTTAAATGTTCTTTATGGCCTACATACGCAATCAAACAAACGATCCAAAACGAAGTGGCATGCAGTAGCCAACATGTATAGAGATAAGTAGTATATCATGTTGCTGTATACTTTTCACTAATAAAATATTCATAACAAACAATAAATATTTTACATGAAGTTATTCAAGTAAAGTTTCCTTCCAACTTAGACCAATCATTCTGAGAAAATAGAAACTCCTATAATGTCTCAAGTTAGTCTATATATTTAAACAACAATCTTTATCTTTAATTCCAACAGGAAGTTATGGAAACAAAAATAATTACATGGGAATAATGCCTAAAAACTTTTTTATAAAACAAAACAATAAAAAAAAACTTTAATCCAGGACTCATTATCTCTACAAGGAAATAGCTTTTTTACAAGTCCACTAATTGTTTTAGCATAACAATTAGCACATAAATACACCACATAACGAAACCATAACCAGTTGAAGAAAGAGATAATAACAAGAAAGTACAAAAGAGGCAAAATAAGCAGACATAAAAGTTTACTAAGGTAAATAACAACCACTCATTAGAAATTATACCAACAGAATATATTTACTAAATGATAATTAAATTATAATGTATTTCCTACAGGGTCAGGTTCAAGTTTGTTAGGAATATTAAGTAATTCCAAGGAAAATCCGAGTTTATCCACATGGTACTTGAGCATAGCGCTGGACACTGGGATCCATATGGCTATTAGCTGAACTTCAACCGAGCGCCTAAGTTTTGAGGCAAAAGCAAACTACAGCTTCATCGGCCTTGTTTTACTTCTACAATTAAACTAGACTTACGATTTACTATGTCACCAGCCATCTTATATTTGGTAACAACCAAATCTTCAGCAATAGTCTTTTCGGATTCATCTTTGTCCGCCATGTTTTGAAGCCAACTGGTAATCTACTCAAGGAGCGCCAAAAGGGCCTTAACGATAACTTTCGTATCGCAATCAATTAATTATATTTTTTATTTGATTGCTCTTAATTCAAAATTATTGAAATTTTAAATCAAATACAATCGTTGTAATTAACAGAATTATTTTAATTTATTTCTAATAATTTATATTATTTAATTTAAGTTACTTTTGTATACACTAAACTGGAACAATAGTAGGTTATCTACAGTCTTGTGTGGTTGCCCAATTGTGAACCTTCCTATCCGAAACCCCCCAAGAAACCTGTTTCCTTAACTGTCAAATTTTTAATACAAACTGGAACCCCTAATTTTGTCTTTATTTATTATTTATTGAGATCAAAGGTTTCGTAAATTTGTCCTTTTCCTTTCCAGCAATAAAATGTTATGTCCACCCAAATTAATTGGAAGCCATTCCAATAAAATATATGATATAGTTATTATGAGTGACAGCAATAACTATATAATTGATTCAAATAGATGTCAGAAACCTATTGAAAAGGTAAGTCATAAAAAATTACCCCATAAGCACGCTTATTTTTGTCTTAGCTTAGTTTGTTTGTTGTTTTGATGTGAATACTTTAATTTTAAACACCAATTTTTTTTTTATATACTTTTTTATTTTTATATCATTTCATACCAAAACATGCATCTTCTGATTACATGTTGGAAACAAGTGTAATTTGGCTAATTTCCATAGCAATTAATCATTAAGAAAGGTGATTTCTTGATGCGTGACAGGTGCTTCAAGCGTGCAGAATTAGATTCAGCTTACCAACCTAGTCTTAATTAGTTCCCTTACTACTTAGAGCATAACACCACTTCCTTATGTTATGCAGTAGTTTCATAGGAATAGAACCTTATTTGATAAGGAGACATAATATATCGTCAGATCTGTTCTTAAGTGTTTTAGTAGCCCTCTTGAAAGATTAGATATTTCACCAATATCAATTGCCTCTAGTTATCAGTTCCTTTTTTTTTTTTTTCTTCTTTTTTTTAATGTTTTATTCACATAGATGTTGCTTTGCAGCTTTGACCAATACTTTGTTTTTGTGCTAGACCTGCTACTCTAAAAGAATGACAAATACTCAGGTAAGTTTTATTTTTTTTGTTTTGCAATAAAATTATTATTTATAAATAGTAACATAGTTGTTAAATTCATTATTGAAATGAAAAACTAATCAATTAATGAATCCTATTTGTGTGATGTACATGACCAATAAATCCATGTATATGACATACCTTGCTCTGTACCCAACTTATTTTATTGATATGAATTAATTCTTTCTTCAAAAATATTTGTGAAGTTCTTGCTTGTATTTTCCCTTGATTACTTTTGAACCTTATTATTAATTTTAAATTCTTTATAAGTTACAATAATTAAAATACAACAAGATTTATCATATTATAGATTAATTATTTTTTTATTCTGAATACTAAAATACTTTTAGATAACAGGCACCCAATAATTTCATTACTAAACAAACATTAATTAAATGATAACTGCAAGTTGTTAATGGTCTTGTTTTCTTCTATTAAACTCATTTATTAAATTTTATACTAAAAATGTATCCCCTCTCATTTCTCATAGAATAATAGTTGTATGATACAATTTAAATGTTAATTTTTTTTCTTATGTAAACAACTTCATTGCACAACAGGATATACACCTTAATCTAAAATAACTATTTACTTTATTTATATTCACACCTATTCAATCCTAATTTAATTATTAAGGTGCCACTTGTCGAGACCCTCTCTTATTCAATTTATTAAATTTAAACCTGCTCTGTAAATATATTTATTGATTTGTTTCTAAAAAATCAATAGATTATGTATTTTATAGATCAATTTTATGTTTGAAAAGCTGAGATAAAAGTAACAGAATATAAATTTAACAGTCATTTCAACTGTTATTAATCCTAAAATGATGTTTGGCTAGACCATATATTTCAAATGTTTGTATTTTTTATTTCCCTTTAGCATTTTTTGTTATTATTATTAATAATCTATTAAAAATGATATTGTTCTAAATTAACTTTATGATGTACATCATGATTTTGGGTTTTATTAACTTTTTTTCCCGAGATGAATTATTTATTTACAAATAATGAAAACACTTAAATAATACAAATTTTCAGATAAATTTATTATCCCTGTTAAAACTTTTATTGTTTATTTTGTCTTTCTCATTTTCAAATTTCTTCACTTCATTTTGATTTATTATCGCCTTTAAAACTTAGACTTAGCCAAAAAATCAGCATATAGCTAAGAAAATTTGACTTTGTCTTAAATTATATTATTATTGTTATCTGATCTATCAATTATATCACTAATAGATTCCATAGAACTTTTGGGTCAAAGGTACTCTCTCTTTTTTCTCCTCAAAATAACAAACCTAAAAAAAAAAAAATTTTAATAATAATAATAAACAATTAAGTTTTAATAGTACAAGGAAAAAACAAGTGCAATTCAGGAATTGGTTTTTAACTGAATGATGGGTTAAAAACTGCTTCAAAGAAAAAGATAAAAAATGCCTAAAAACATTGTCCCTGTAGTATTATTTTATATATACTATCATCGCTGTACTATTCCCCATGCCTGTCATGTCATTATTTCCTGTATCGCCATTACATTTGCTGATTATCAACAATACGTTGACAGGCACAAATACATTTTTATATACAAAAAAAAATTATTTTTTTTGCACAGGTTTCTTTAAGTAGATATCTGAAAATATTTTATTAAAAAAGAGTCTTAATAATATAAAAGTTAGAGTTTAGCAATTTTTATCCAAATAATTTTTAGTATAATATGCAAAATTCAATACAATCGATTATATATTAATATTTAATCTTAGATTTAAAAAACCCAGGAAAAAATTTTAAAACATTTTTGTTAAAGTTATTTTTTAAATGATATATATATATATATATATATATATATATATATATATATATATATATATATATATGATGTAGAGATGGTTGACCGTTGATATGATATGAGAAGGAGTTAGTCGAGGGTGCGGTCAAATAAATAAAAAAAATTAAAATATATAAATAATTTCTCATATATATATATATATATATATATATACTATCATTTAAAAAATAACTTTAACAAAAATGTTTTAAAATTTTTTCCTGGGTTCGAATCCCGGCTCATGGCAGAAAAATTATTAATGCTGTTTTATCAGCTGAGGGGCGACCCTGGGTCAGGAGACTCTCTCGGGGCACACCCAGCCTCTATAAAATGGGTACTGTTAATTAAATAATTGATTAAGGGAGAAAACCTGGCGGTTGAGCTTGATCTTGGTCAAATCACCTCCTTGCACAACCGTTGACTCAGAAACAGTACTTTTCCTAAATAGTACTGAACCCAAGATCCTTCATGTGTTGTAGTGATACAGTTTTTTTTGTAATTTTATGTATTGAAATTTACAACTCTGTTAAATAAATACAACAAGTAAATATACACAAATTAGAAATAATGACGTGAACAGACATGTCGAGATACTACTCAGTAGAAAAATAATAAATATATAAATATAAGAGAAGAAAAAGGTAGAACCTACAGATAAGATAACGGTAATATAAACATAATGATAATTAAAACAATACAAAATGCTAAGGAAATGTTTTTGTGTTATAAATAGAAAAAAAAGACAAATATATCAAAAGTAAAAATAAATAAAGCAATTAATTAGTGTAAATAAAACAGTCAATTTCGATAAGAAGTATGCATTACAACTTATAAAAATAATAAACAACCAATTCGAAAAAAACAATGATTAATAAATATAAATAGTTCCTTAACAATTACCAATGGTTTGAAGCCCGGACAAGGACATGTGTTTATGGTTATTGGGTGGGAGGTGTGGTAACGGTCATTTAACGGCTATTCAACAAAAAATATTATTAAAATGTCAAAACAAAATGTAAATTTTGGAAGGTAATAAAATTTATATTGTAATGTTAAGATGATGTTTTCTTATCTTTTTCGTTTATTTATAACACATAAACATTTTCTTAGCATTTTGTATTGTTTTGTTTATATTGCCGTTATCTCATCTGTATGTTCCACCTTTTTCTTTTCTTATACTTTTATATTTATCATTTTTCTCATGTAATTTTTTATTTTTAGTCCTGATGATGACCTATATGTTTGGGTCGAAATTTCAGTAAACTCAATAAATAGAATGTTTTGACTGCACATTCTGACCATTTTTCGTCCCTTATATTTTCAACAGTCAACTATATACCCATCTTTTAAGTTTTTTTTTAAATTAGTTCCAAAGAGCCTCTCCAAATTCCTTTTCCTTAGATCATATATTCATCTTATAAATATTATTCTAGTTACTTCAATACAGTATTACACTGTTTTACTGTATTACACGCTTTTGTAAATTAGTGAATTTTAATTTTCTTTCAAATAATTTTTTAGTTTATTTTCATCTTGTATAATTGTTAAAATGCATACTTTTCATTTTCTTAGTAGTAGAAGTAATTTTTTGTTTCTTCCTATATTGTATCTTAAAAAGTAAAGTTTAATATGAGTATAAATAATGAATATCATGACCATTTTTAATTTTATTTGTTTTACTTTTTAGTTATGGTTTCGGGGAGTGAGGAACTCTAAGTTTCGCCATGTTTATGGCCAACCAGTAAAACGAGAAAACTGTTATGACAATGTTAATATTACGAAAAACGCACACGACTCTCAGTTTTGTGCAGTTAATCCAAAGTTTATCGCCATAGTTACTGAAGTAGCTGGCGGAGGTGCTTTTATTGTTCTGCCACTTGATAAAGTAAGTATATAAAATTTACTTCTTGTTATTAATATTGATTAGTTTTAAATATTAATTAGGCTTTAATTATTATTTTTGAAAATATCTTTAATTATTATTGTCAATATTTTAGTAATGTTAATAGCTTTATATTTTCATTGTGTAATCTACAAAGCATTGTTAGGCTGATAATTTATTCAAAAGTAACGACATCCGTATAGAAAAGTACCATTTTATTAGTTTTTGAAATAAAGTGCCTGCAGTAAAACTTTATTATAAAACTATCTTAACTCATAAACAAAAAATAAATTAAAATTTGTTTTTAAATGTATCTAAACCAAAAATGATTTAAGTAATTCTCGATTTTTTTTCTCTCTTGAACCAACATAAAGTATTTTTGAAGGAAGTTAGTCGACTGTTCTACATATCATGGGTGATAAATATTCAGGACGCAGTCTTTTTTAAAAATTTTTTTATTTTTGCCAATGTTTCAACCCAAACATGTGGGTCATCTTCAGGGCTGAAAATGTCTTTTTAAAATTACAATCAGAGATATAATAGTATACGACCGCTAATTATAAATAATAAACTATAGTGATTGATGGCACATGAATCTTAACTAATATTATAATACACATATTAAAATAGTTATACAAACTAAAAATAAAAAATAATGTATATAATCTACATTATAAAAGTATTTTGTAAATCTACATTTTATAATTTATTTATTTGTTCAAAACTGATGTGTATAATCAACCTCATCCCGTTCTTGTAAAAATAGAAAGAAGTTTTGGAATACTTATATATTTTGATGCAGCCGTCAACTCATGGAAACAAATCTTAACACAAATTAACCCTGCCTTGGAAGTACTTTTCGTATTAAAATGTTTATTCCTATTGCTTTACTGTTTTCTTACACCACTCTATTCAGAACATCTCATATTTTACTAACTAAAATATTTAAATATATATATAAATAAATAAAAATTATACAGATTGCTATAATCGAGAAATTGAATCATAATGAATAGTTTCATAAGAAAGTGACCAACTAGGACTGGAACCAAGCAAAAGAACTCTATAGTCAGGAAATTGTTATTAATGGCGGGAGCGTTATAATGAAGTTTTACTGTATATTTTTGTATCATCATAAAATATATTGGATTTTGCTTATAAAAACGCTACCATAAAAGATTTTTTCTAAAAAACCTTTGCATTTCCCTTAACTCTCTAACCACCACTTATACTTAATATCAAAAACAGTTCAATATTGCATAAGAACAAAAGATCCTAAATATTTAGAAACTATTTCATTATTTAATAGTTAAAACATTCTAAACAATTTTTATTTTTATTTATTTTAGACAGGACGTGTAGATTTTAATGCATATAAAATATCAGGACATTCTGGGCCTGTACTGGATATTAAATGGAATCCTTTCAATGACAATGTTATCGCTTCATGCAGTGATGATTGTACCGTGAGTAATTTTTAAAATTTTAATTTAATAGGTAAATATATAAAATATAATATATAGTGATAGTAAATATAGTGAAGACAAATCAAATCTTTTGAGTATTCAATGAGATTAACGAGTTTTATGAAGATATGAATTAAAATATCTCAGAAACTAAAAATCGGACCTGCATACTGTAAGTGAGGGAAATGTTCAGCATTTCATCCTTTTTGTTATGAGTTATTATTTATAATTTACATTTTGTATTATTAATCTCGGCTTGTTGATGTTTTCACTTCTGTCGTGTGGTCTAAAGCACACCTTAGTTTTTTTTTTTTTTTTTTTTTTGTTATTTATTCATTATCATTTTTAGATAAAACTGTGGTACGTGCCAGAAGGTGGTTTATCTTCAAATGTGACTGATTGGATTGTCGACTTGCACGCCCATAAGCGCCGGGTCGGCTACATTGAATGGCATCCTACAGCTGAAAATATTATTGCTAGCGTGGGATTTGATTATTTGGTTTGTTCTATTTAGTTACTTCTTAAAATATCAATAAAATTATAAATAGCACTTTGATTATCGTTATATCCTAGGTAATTATTCAGGAATAGTTAAAAGTTATAACTTAAATTGATAAATATAAGTTCTACAAAAAAGTTTTCTATTTCAAATTAAGTATTTTGCTTTCCTAATTGCTTATTACTATTTATTGATAACATCACTTTTTTGAAAAAAATCGCTTAAGTTCATTTTTGATGGAGCAAACTTTTTAATACATTTTTGTGAATTTCTATCATAATTTTTCAAAAACATAGTATTTTAACAAAATGACACGAAGTTTAATTTAAATTAAAAATAGTTACACAATGTTCTAAATTTATGGAGAAAAAATTAATCAAAGTACTTAATTATTTAATTCTTTGAAGTGTTACTTAATGACTTTTGGTTATAACTGCCGATAATATTTCCACACACTCACAAATACAAATTGTGTCCCTTCTTTAAAATAACCAAGTTATTTTAAACTCACAATTGGTGAATATACTTTTCACTCCTTAATATGACCTGTTGTCATCATTTAAAAAAAAAAAAAAAACAAGAAATTATAATGAAAAAATAACTTCTTCATAAAAAAAACTTTAATTTTACATATGATACATGATACATATGATACATATGTACATACATATGATACATGATACATATGATGATAAAAAAAGAGGACAGATTGATTTTATTTTTGTGAATATTCAAGAATAATAATCATTTAGTTTAATATTATTTTTTGAAGAAAAATAAGATTATAAAATATTATATTATAATATAAAATTATAAAAAGTAAAATTTGTTATTTTAGTTTTAATATGACCTGTTATCTTTAAACATTTCTTATTTTAAACATAAAATTGCAAAGAAATTTGTTTTATTTTTCAACTTTTTGAACTTATTTTTTAAAATATGTATATATTATTTTATTTTTCCTCGATCAACGTTTCATTACTACTGTACTGAAAAAAATTCCAAGTTCTATTATTTCAATTTTTTTTCAGTGTAGCAAGAATACCGAGGATTATACTCTTGTAAACAGATTCCATATTTATCAGAAGTCAGAGATTTATACAATTTATAGTTTATTCAAAAATATTTTATGAAATTTAATTGATTAATTATTTATATGTGATTAAGTATATAATTTTAGACTAGCTGTGCTCAAATGGGCCGAATAGCATAAAATTTAAAATTTTCTTTCTTGTTTATTTTCATAGAAATGGAAGTTTTAAACAGAGACTTCTTAAATTTTAAGCAGAAATTCATATTTATTCAATTTATCTACTATGAAACTTTATAAACTAATACTACATCAATCTATTATTCGAGATTTTATTTATTTTTATAACTGTCAGAAGTATGACTTGTTTAAACATTTCTTTCCGAAAATCCATTGACGTAAATATTGATCTGTAATATTTCCAGAAATGTGGTCCACAATATTGCCAGATTGAATTGTGAAGTTTATTCTCTCTAATCTGCAATTTTTATTGCCTGTGTAAACAACCCTTAATGAATTTTTTTTTAATTCACTAAATTTTTATTAAAAAGTTTTAAATTTAAATTTATTTACAACTGTTTAATAGAATTGGCTTTATTTTGGAATTGTACCCTCCCCTCCAATTAAAGTTTTGCTGATTTATCTGTGTAAGTTTTTTATTTTTTTTGGTGTATGAATCTGTCTACTTTTTTTTTTAACCTTCTTTTATCAAATAAAATAAAATAATTATTAATTATAGTTGGTGAAACACACCAATAGTCGATAGCTCTTACAAAATCTATTTCATGTTTTTTTAATTCTGATTATAAATTTTTTAAGGTTATTATTTGGGACGTTGGAAAAGGAGAGGCTCTAAACATTATAGATTGCCATAGCGACGTCGTACACAGTTTTTCATTTAATAGAGATGGTTCCCGAATCGCAACTACTTCAAAAGATAAAAAGCTGAGAATAATTGACCCAAGAACAGGATTGGTTATATCAGTAAGTTATTATTTACTGTAATATTATAATAAGGAAATAGTTAAGAAAAATTATCATTAAACAGGAAAAAGTCAGGGAATTTTACTTTAACTGTCTAGTAACCACTGTGTTTTATGAAGATATTTAAAACAATTTGTGTTAGAATTTTTATTTTCTTGAACCTTTATTTTTGTGTTTTTTTTTTTTTTTTTTTTTTTTTTTAACACCGTGGCACCAAAGGTGAAGTGAAGGGGAAACTAAATAAGATAAGTGATGAAGATGACTAACAACTTTTTTAGAATTACGAGAAAAATTAATTAAAATCACTTCAAATTTGCTATAACGATTTGAATTGCCTATTAGTCATCCATATATTCTAAATGTATAACAAACTCTAATTCTAATCAGAGTGGGCAGGTCGAAATTTCTTCTGGGAATATACAACAAAGGAAATTTAGATTAAATAAGATTGATTGGTATGGAGCAGCGTCAAGTTGACAATTCTGCACAACCTAGTTCATAGGCACTGCATATTGCCTTATTAATTAATTAATTTTAAAATGTTAGAATTATGAAATCCGTTGAGGATAAATATGTATAAATGAAATGGCAAAAAGCAGTGATTCTATAATTGTATTGAAAATAATAAACAAATGAAATGAACATGCTACAAAATAGATGAATGAATAAATTAATAATATTTCTCTCAATACAAAACAATAATTAAATAATGAGAGAAACAAAAAATTACTTTAAACATTAAAACATAAAAAAAAAATCTTAAAATTGAATTTACAAATCTATGAGATTTAATTAATTATTATTCTTTAATAATAATTAAATTAACTTTAATCTTAAATTAAATGAAATGGTACAAAAAAAATTATATAAATATATATATAATTTTTAAATTAATAATTTTATAGAAAAAAAGAAATATAGTGGAACCAGGTACAAATGCTATTATAGATTAGTTTGCTAGCCATTAGACTATGGGTGCTCTTCTGATTATGAAACATTAACTATTATTTAAGTTCAAGTTAGCCTCAATAGGAGGTTTTCAAAATTTAAGAAAATAATGTTTTTTATTCCAAGTTGTTAAAACTGGAGACCCGTGGGGTCATTAAATGTCTTTAAAGGACAACCGGCACTCTCCTTAAAATGTTCTAAATTTTAATAAACAAATTCACCTCCAGCCGGCCAATCATATTTTTTGTTCTAACTTCAGTGTTGCAGCTGACGGGAGTCCTCTTGCAGGATGTTAATGTCCCAGATGTGGGAAGTCGCCGTCACAACCTGGTGAGATGAAACTAATGTGTTTGCCAGGAAGGATTGTGACAGGACGGAGAACCTCATGGAGGTAGTTCTTTTTCTCATTGCTTTCAGCAGACATACTGAACTTGAAATGTTTTCTTTTTACCTTCGGTATTAAGTGACACGATGAGAGACGGGCTTACCCGGAAGTGGCCGAAAGCATTGTCGCTGGGACGTCTCGAATCCAAAATATTTAATGTTGTATAAATTCCATACAAATAAAAGGTTTATCATATAATGATATGGAAACAAAAAAAGTAAATAATCTATGTTATTCACAAACAAAATAAAATTGGCCCCCCATATCATGATATGGTCACAAAATAATATAAATTTACTCATCTTGGTGTCAACACCTTTATTATACAGGTATTACCAGTTTTAGTTTATACCTGAGTGGGAAGGTCGAGATCAATTTTGTGAGTCTTCTTAAAAATAAATTATAATCCATCCAGGCCGTATTCGACAACAGCATCGCTAGATTCAAGGTTCCTAAGGTTATGACGTTTTAACATTCTTGGCCATCTGTAACTGGAAATCTAATTGCAATGAGTCGCCACCGAAATACCAACACTGTAACAATACATTTTCAGTTACATTTTACAAGAATGTTCTTTTTAAATCTCAAATTAAAGCAGTTCATGATTCACACATTCTAATATCAAGCATTCTAAAAAATGGTGACACAATAGAGTTAGTCTCGGTAATGGGCTATTATTCAAAATTCTATCTTAACGTAATGCCATGTTAGAGAGGCGAAAAAGAAAATTTTAGGTTTCGAAAATGTAAGTAAAACGAATTTTATTGATTACGAAGATATGGATTAAAATATTTCAGAAACTAAAAATCGGATCTGCATACTGTAATAATGAGCTATTATTTATAATTTTTATATTTTATATTATTAATCTCACCTTGTTGATGTTTTCATTTCTATCGTGTGGTCTAGAGCACACGCCTTAGTTGTTTTGTTTTTTAAAATTTAGTTCAGAGATAAAAATAAGTAAACACAGGTGCTGATGACCTCGAAGTTTTAACGCTTAAAGCCCCAACAAACGACAACTCTTTGCCGTCATGTTAAACAAAGAAAACAAAATTAACATTGATTTCTAGGATGTCATGAATTCTGTTTTTTTTTGTGTACTTACCTTCATACCTCGCTTTACATTTGTCTATACAGTGCTTTCTCAATTAGTTAATACTTATTACTTTACTTATTCTATACTTATTGCTATAATCTCTGCTTTATTATTAAAAGTATAACCTTGTATTATTTTCTTTTAGGAAGGTGTTTGTCACAATGGAAATAGATGCAGTAAAGCTGTATATTTGAAAAATGGCCTTGTGGCAACGGTTGGATTCTCGAAACGTAGTGATCGTGAATTAGCTGTATGGAACGAGAACTCGTTAGTGACTCCACTTGCTAATGAATATATTGATTCATCCTCTGGAATTATTTTTCCATACTTTGACTTTGATACAAATATTCTATTTTTGGCTGGAAAGGTAAATATTAGTTTTATGTTGATATATAATATTAATTATTAATTTTAATATTAGTAAATCATTACTTTATTATTGAATTAATCTTAAAAAGATTCTTTTTTGTTGGAGGTTAGTTATAGTTATTAAGCATGTTGATAAAATAAGGTATTGTTTAATTTATCATGAAAGCTGATATTTTGTGAACTGTAATGTAAGAAAAGAACGCCGAATGAATTTTAAAAAAATTGAACAAGAGGATAAAAATCCGATATCCATAATACAAAATCCAATGAAGTGGATTTTCTTAAAATTTGGGGTTTTCCCAATTCAATTAATAAACAGTATTCAGTTAATAGAAAAATGAGCTCTTGAACATTAAAATTACATGAAACCCGAGTTATCACAGGGGTAGTTTTCAACTTAATGTAGCAAATAAGGGGCTGTTCAGCTAAGATTCATTTTAACTGTTTAGCACCATAACATATTAAGGATTTATCACAAATTATTTGATTACTCATATTGTATAAAAAAAAAAAATTATGAATAAAAACTTTTTTTTCTTCCTTCCATTTTTTGTTTGTCATAGTAAGGTAAATGCACCTGTAATGGACACTTTAAAAGACATTTTCAACATTAATATGGACCACATATTTAGTTTTGATGGTGGATCTTTGCAAATGGGTTTAATTGTCAGTAAATCTAGCCTTTTAATGAATTTTTTTTCTAATCAGTCCATTAATTAATTCATCAAAACATAGGAAATTCTGGCTGCTTATATTGCACTAGTAATAGACACTCAGATTTTGGAATTAACAGGCTTTTTTTATATAAAGGAAAACAAATAAATTCTGCAAAGTTTTTTTAACTAAGGAATGACAAATTGCAGATGAGTTAATACAAATATTAAACTTATCTCCATGTATGTGACTAAAGCGCTCTTGATCAATCTTCGCTGGGTTTAGTACCAGTGATGCGGTTGAGAGAGTAGCGCAGGGTTCTCCTGGAGTCCTGCTTTTCCCTCTACAGTTGGAGGGACAAGCCTGCCTCGGAGTTCCCTCGCCTGATTGTAAATAGTGTATATAGGTATGCATGTGTTTTTTTGCTTTGTTTTAACTTCCTTATTTTTACGTTATTTTATTTTATTTATTGTATACACTTTTTGGTTATTATTTATTGTTATTATGCTTTTTTTTATTTTATATTTTTTTGTATATATGGTGTGAATGCTATCCGACCTCACTATAACTAATGTCCAAATGAAAGATTGTTGTAATACTCAATAAATAAAAAATGGTGATAAAAAAAAAAAAAATCTCGAAAAGAAAATTGATATAGAAACCTCTCCGAAACAAAGACACATTGGCTTTTGTGGCCATATTTGCACTCTATATATCGGGCATATAAATCTTATTAGTCATTAATGTGTTGAATACTGTCATCTACTGCAACATTTTCATTGTGGTCTAATTATTTTCATTTATGAAAAAATTAAAAATATTGATACAATATTCATTTAATTATTAATTCTATCCCCAATTTCTTTTTTTGTTAGGACATTAATGTATTTGAATATTTTTGGTGCCTCATTAGATAATTGCAGAATTTTATTTCATGAATGAAAACATATTTATTATACTTTAAAAAAAAAAAATACCAAGTAAAATATATACATACAAGCAACAACACATGGACAATGAAAAATTCCGTCTGTCGAGGTCTGTGTGTAATTAATAATAAATATTCATTACATTTATAACTAAAATAAATGAGTAATAATATATCTACTGTATTATTATATATTTATTCCTACATTCTAGCAATTTCTTCCTTCACTGTTTCATTTGTTTAAATAGAGTTTTAAAAAACAAACATTAATACCTTATAAATTCAATAAATAAGGAATTTAATTTCAACAATAATAATAATAACAATCAAATACAATACAACAATAAAAACAAATGTTACAATAAATAAACACGATATTGTACCAATAGTTCACTAACTGACTAATTGGGATTTTTTGCAATATGGCCTGCTGTACATAATTGTTTAAGGCATTCTAGTTAGAACCCTTTAATGAATCAAATAATTCTTCTGGAGAATAGGTCTGCCGCCCAAAATATTTTTCTCTTATCTCACTGTACATGTGACAAGTCCCTAAAAAATGAATTGTATCCTCTTTTTCTTGAGAATTACATACCGGACAGTTATCATTGCTTTCAACCAACTATCGAGCAATTCAGTCCTACTTCGAAAAATTGAACTGATAGCCACAATGTCAAAGCTATCATTAAGATAGTGTGTAACAGTGTTCACTGAACATAGTCCTCCGTAGATAGATTTTTTTTTTCATGTTATATGGTATAATTTGAGGGGAAAAAAAAATTCTTCAATTATCAATGAGGCACCTAAAATATTCAAATATTGGTATATTAAATTAGTATATTTGAATATTTTAGGTGCCTTATTAGATAATTGAAGAATTTTTTTTTCATATTATATGGTATATTTTGAAGAAAAAAAAATTATCTAATGAGGCACCTGAAATATTCAAATAATGGTACATTTTGCAGATTTTTATGAAGTAAAATTCAGGCATTAGTTATAAGCAACTCTAGAATTACTCTTTGATCAATATATTATATGAATATACCTAATTTTATCTAGTGTCATTTAAGTATTTATAAAATTGTTTAAATTTTATTTTTATATATATTTTTAGGGAGATGGTAATATCAGGTATTACGAAATTGTTGACTCAGCTCCTTGGGTTCATTTTCTCAATCAATACCTTTCAGGTTTACCTCAGGTTTGTTCTTTTAATTTAATATTTTTATTAATATTATGATGTTAAAATTTATTTGTTTTAAAAAATATATCGTTTTTTTAATCAGAGGAGTTTGGGTATAATGCCGAAACGAGGTTGTAATGTGACTCAGTGTGAAATATTCCGCTTCTATAAACTACATACGACTAAGCCGCTTATGTGAACCAGTGTCTATGATTGTGCCTCGAAAGGTAATGTTTTTTTTATTTTTATTATTTTATTTATTTTTTTAGAAAATTAATTGTAACTAATTGTATTGAATAATCAAAATTTAGAGCGATCAATTCCAAGATGATCTGTATCCTGATACTGCAGCCCCCGTTCCTTCGGTTTCTGCGTCTGACTGGGCCAACGGTGTTAATAAACCACCAATTCTTATGTCAATGAAGACAGGTAATTCATATAAATATAAAATTTATGAATGAATTCTTAGTAAACGTCAAATTTGAACTGACTGGTCCAACAAGAATTTTTATCTAATTTTGTTCCTTTCATTCCTTTTTGGATTGCTTTCTAAATTAGTTAAACAAAGTGACATTGCACAATTAATTTTACTATATAAAATATTCATTTTCTTATCTAATGTAGTTTCAGAGGAATGAGGTATATTCCAGTATAGTAATATGAAGTGGGACAGCCACGGGAGAGAGATTTTTTATGGTTCATTTCAGATTAAGACAGTCATTGTTTAAAAAAATAAATAAAAGTAATAGAACAAAAAGGGTACTTTCTAAAAGTCTTTTTCTCCTTCTGAAAATATCAAAGAGCATTCTCAAACACTCTTATCTGAAACAAGAATATGGCGTTTACTGTGGATTTACCCTTATATAATATTTTTAGCATGTGCCTAGTCCTGTCATAAATATTGTTACAAGGAAATATATACAGATTTCAACAGAAAATTTAATTTTTTCATAAAACTTTATTAGAAAATAAAATGTATATCTATAGAGGAAAGCGTTCAACTGCTCGGACCAGAAATTGTTTGAGGCTTTCCAAGTTAGGTTGTGCTCTGTGGCATGCCATCCTCTTTGGTTCGGACCAAAGCCGATAATTTAGTGGGTTCCTGAGGGCCGTTCCGAGGCAGAGATGAACTCTAGAATGTTCTTTTGCAACCACTGCTGAGTTTATCTGGCCTTGTGAGATGGAACGAAATCCTGCTGAAAAACCCAATGACTCCCAGCAAACAGAGTATCATTTAGAGGCTTGACAACAGGTTCCAAAATATCGTCCTGATAGTTTTTAGCGGCTGTTTTAACTCCTTTTTCACAAAAATTGGGCTTTGTGGTGCCATCAAACCATCACTGAGGAAGGGTGATGACCTCTTCCACTTCCAATGACTTCCTGGGCTTCTTTAGAGCTGTGTGCGTACACATGATCATTTTGGCGATTAAATTTTTCTTCAATTGTAAACATTTTCTCATCGCTAAACAAAATCTTTCAATGAAGACCATTGGTGTAACGGCCAAGGAGCACGTAGCATCTATCTACTCTATTTTTTTAGGGGGAGGAAATGGTTAGCCTTTGTCCTGTCATTCTTCGAAATGCACCCATCCTAAGGTCATTTTTTATTATGCAAGACATTGATCTGACAGAGATTCCCATTTCCCGCGTGACATGATTTGTTGTTTTCTTATGGGATTTCTTCTGATTTGAGCAACCACTGGTCTGAGCAGCCTCTCTCTTCATTGGCCGTTCTTAAAGTGCGGGAACAACCCGGTCGAGGTCTGTCACATACAGATAGGGTCTCATTATATCTATTTATATTGCGGTACACAAACATACGTCTGATACCCAAAGGTTGCAAAGTGTTAAAAATCTCTGACCTACATTTTCTCACTTTGTGTAAGGCGATCACAGCTATTCGGTTTTCTTTATTACCCCACTCCATGTTAACTGAGCGACAGAAAAATACAAACTAATTGGGATTATTATCCTGACGTGTAAAGAAAGTGACGTGATAGAGATAAGGATTATCTAAATAATACCCCAGGATGTAAACTAAGTTTAACTTTTGCAACAGTATTTATGGCAGAACTATGTATAAAATTTTCTTTTTCTTTTCTTAATTTGTTTATATGTAAACAGGTGTTGCTGTGAAAACGCACAAACCCAAAATTTCAACTGCTGCAGAAAATTTAAATAGTGGCTCTGTTGGAAATAAATATCACATGAAAATGGCGTTCCTGAGTCAACAAACGATACCCGATTACAGACCTCTCGACGTAAGCTGTTTCACATTATTAGCAATTTGTAGATGTATTAATTTCAAGTTGAAATAGAACCATTTTATGCCAATGAAACTTTTTTTTTTTTTAATCTATCTCAAAATTTAATTAATTTTTCATTATTAATTTTAAATTCTTGAAGGAAGTTAGTCGACTGTTCTACATATCATGGGTGATAAATATTCAGGACGCAGTCTTTTTTAAATTTTTTATTTTATTTTTGCCAACGTTTCAACCCAAACATCTAGGTCATCTTCAGGGCTGAAAATGTTTTTTTTAAATTACAATCAGAGATATAATAGTATACGACCGCTAATTATAAATAATAAACTATAGTGATTGATGGCACATGGAATCTTAACTAATATTGTAATACACATATTAAAATAGTTATACAAACTAAAAATAAAAAATAACCTACCAAACATGTGTCAGTACATGAACAACCACAGTGCTCAAACCACAGTTAGTAAGAGAAAATATTACAAATTTATATTAATGGATTATATACATTATTTTTTATTTTTAGTTTGTATAACTATTTTAATATGTGTATTACAATATTAGTTAAGATTCATGTGCCATCAATCACTATAGTTTATTAATTATAATTAGCGGTCGTATACTATTATATCTCTGATTGTAATTTAAAAAAAAACATTTTCAGCCCTGAAGATGACCCACATGTTTGGGTTGAAACGTTGGCAAAAATAAAAAAAAAATTTAAAAAACAACTGCGTCCTGAATATTTATCACCTATTAATGAGCTATATCGATGATATGTTTTCATTATATTAATCTCATTATAAACACTCAGAAAATGGAAGGTTTTTATTTACTGATTGAATTCTGTTTTTTTTTTTTTCTACATCCTATTAAAATAATTGAAGTTAAATTAGAATTAATAAACAATAAAATTTAAGACAATTAAAAAAAATATATCTATTATATTTTCTTATTTAACAAAAGTAAAATTTCAAATAGCTTTTGCCCATTTTAATGGTTATAAATTGAATTTGTGATATAAATATTTGCCGAGTATGGTTTGGGATGCATATCTTGTCCTATTTGTTGACTCACTGCGAAAGGATTTGACCATTACTCTTTTTCTCAAAATGTCTCTGATGAAAGATGAATTGGATACACAAAACAAAACATTTATTCCAACATATTTTATGATGAAGAAAGGAATCCGTCTGCTCTGCATATCTTCGAAATCAACCAGACACATTTTTGTCAAATATTAATATTGAGCTTAGCTAAAACACTTAAAGTTATCTGAAAATGAAATGATGTATTTAAGGTAGGTATACGCCTCGGATGGTACACAACTTTTCTCCTGTAATCAACTTACTGGAAGTTCCACTTTCCACACTTCAATCGACCTTTGAGTAGTATATTTTAACATAATGATTTGAATTGGCAATAATTGTGACTTAATAATTATTCAATAAACTACAAAATCTTCATTGATCCTGGTGTTTATTCGTTTCGATCCCGGTATTTTTTTAAATATAATTGACCATAGGATCCTCTTCAATTCTAGAACAACTAATAGCTCAATTGGTATACAATTATGCTTAAGCATCTGCCCAGTCCGTTCCTGAGCTCGAAGGCAAGATATTACATACAAAACAATAAAAAAATGCATCTATGTTAAATAAAGCAATTGAAAAATGCATCCATGATAAATATAACAGCATCAAGAACATATATATATCAACAACAAAAATATCTGGTATAACAACTCTTGGTTGTAAATTAAAGTATCAAAATTTATTAACATTAAATATATATATATATATATATATATATATATATATATATATATATATATATATTATCGAACTAACTTTAAATTTTTTTAAAAATATAAATAAATATCAACTACTTAAAATATATATAAGTGATATATATATAATATAATGTTGACAATATCTTATAAGATGACTAGTGTATATATATTTTAAGTAGTTGATATTTATTTATATTTTTAAAAAAATTTAAAGTTTGATAATATATATATATATATTTAATGTTAATAAATTTTGATACTTTAATTTATAACCAAGAGTTGTTATACCAGCTATTTTTGTTGTTGATATAGATATGTTCTTGATGCTGTTATATTTATCATGGATTCATTTTTCAATTGCTTTATTTAACATAGATGCATTTTTCATTGTTTTGTATGTAATAATTTGCCTTTGGGCTCAAGACTGGGGTGGGCAGACGCTTAGCGGTCCACTAGTTTAATATCTGTGCAGTGGACGGTGCTGAGGCTGTCTGTGTGTCCCTTGCCTGAGGTATCGAGGCTCTATTTTAAAAGTAGGTTGAATTTTGAAATAATTGTTATTTGAAACATCTGGAAGCATAATTGTGTACCAATTGAGCTATTTGTTATTCTAGCATTGAAGAGGATCCCATTGTTAATTATGCAACAAAAAAAAAAGGGATCAAAACGTCGAATAAATACTAGGATCAATGAAAATTTTGTAGGTCATTGAATAATTATTAACTGAACTAATTCCCAATTCAAATAATTATGTTAAAATATAATACTTAAAGGTCGATTAAAGAAATTTTGTAAAAATATATATATATATATATATAAAGTTCTTCTTATATATAGTGTACTATTATTCATTTTACAATAATTATGTTAATGATCACTCATAAGTTTTTGCATAATATAAACTCCCGTGACTCTTTTTGGAGGGTCCATCGTTCGCCCTACTAGAATGGAAAGTCTGCAACTATGCTTGATATGACCGTGTCTTTACTCTCATGGCATAGCTGCTTCCCTACCACTTTTGTATAACAATAATTGTCTTCACTAATATGCATCCGAAATAATTTAGGACTTCTCGCATTTTTATTTTTATAACCTAACCTTCGCAGATGACCGAAAATTGAATATTCATGCTAGTAGCCATTTTCAAACCACTGTGAACCATGTCACACCATCTGCTGTCCTTTAGATTTAATAATTAGGATGGGCCAGAAAGGTTAAGTTGAAACCTTTGAAAGTAAATAAAATAAAGCAAAATTCAAAGACATACACTTATTTTTTACTTAAAATAAATTTTTTTTCGATCACGGTGGACTCTTCATCATTACTTAATTTCATCTTTAGAACTATCATTAGTGAAAAGTTTTACTTGTAAGGAAACTGAAACTAAACTCAAAACTTCCAAAGGTATTTTTATTTATTTCACACAATATAAGTTTCTATCTGCTGAAAGCTTAAAATTCCTAAGTATATTTAATTTTATTTTTATTTTCCAGCAAAGGGATACGGTACCGGATATTGTTCAAAATACAATAAACAATCACATTTGTCACACAAAAGAGGAAATAATGGTAAGAACTATTCTTTTATTAAAAATAAATTGTATAAATTTTATGGAGTGGGGTATTTCAGTAGGAGGACACTGACTTTTAATATTCAAGTCCCCAGGTTCGAATCTAGCTGATGGCAGATAAATTATTTATTCTGTTTCATCCGTTGTGACATACCCAGCTTCTATAAAGTGGATATTCTTAATTAAATAATTGATTAAGAAACAAAATCTGGCGGTTGAGTGTTATCTCTGTCAAATCACTTTCTTGCATTATCCTTATATGGTACTTAACCTAAGACCCTTCATGGATTGTAGTTTTTTTTAGATTTTCAATCATAAATAGAACAAACTTGATTTATGATTTATTTACTTATTTTTTTGTATTCTAGTATGACTTTGGAATAGTTCAACAAAAAACTTGTACCACTACAACCCATGAAGGATCTTGGGTTCAGTACTATTTAAGGAAAGCACCGTTCTTGGTTGTGCAAGGAGGTGATTTGACCGAGAACAGAGCTCTAAGCTCGGTTTTTCCCTTAATTAATTATTTTAATTAAGATAACCCACTTTATAGAGGCTGGATATGCCTCTGGAGAATAAATAATTTTTCTGCCATGAGCCAGGATTCGAACCTGGGACATTTATCATTGGAAGCCCAGTACCCTACCACTGAGCTATCCCACTCCAAATAGTTCTGCAACATCATTATAATGTTTTGAAATAGTTCTCTGATTTAAACTGTTTTAGTTAATGGGGTTGCTTGTTCCACTTTAAATCCTCTTTAATTTTTTAGAATAATGCTGAGAATGAAAAAAATGCCAAAACTTCTTCAAATCAGAGTACAAAATTTCAACAGATTCAGCGTAAATTTGGCAAACCAGTGTTCAGTGAAGAGAAATTCAACAAATTGAATGAAACTGAATTGGAAGTTAAATCTTATAACCAGGTATGTAAATCAAAAGTGTTAAGGAAGTATAATTGTTGAGGTTGAAGTTATAGGTATCAATGACTGAAAGTACATTCATGTTCACTTTTCTAATAAATTTCACTTTTTTGGTATGAAATAGTTCCTTAGATATGGTTTATTGTTGCACAAATGCTCTTATTTGCTAATGTGAAATAATAAGTTTTTTCTTCTATAATTTAAAATCAGTGATCCGATGACACTTTTCTCCTATAATAATGACCCATCAATCGCTTCCCAAACTCTTCAATCGCACACCACAAATTTTTATAACTGGTGTCAAATATGGAGGGTTAAAATAAATTCCAATAAATCCTATTGGATAACCTTTACCCTTCATTGTAAACTTGTGACTTCCTGTCCTACAGTATCCTATTATAATACAAAAAACCTTGACGTTTCTGAGTATTTCAGCACTTATTAGACCAAAGCTCTGACCTTCCAATCAATTAGAAAACTCATATACATGACTACTATAAAGTCTATTTAGACTTAGTGAGTTGAACTTTGGGGCACCTTTAAACCATCAAATTATTTTCGCATCTAATCCTTACAATCCATAGTCCTTTGTAAATTCTCAATGCTCCATACATTATCACAAATAAAATCATAACGACCTTGGCTGTCTAGATACCTATTCTTGCTTAATAAACTTCAAAGCCATCCGAAAACTCTCTCGTTTCTAACCTCGCTTCTTCTTCGATCACTAATAACCCTCCGAGGTGTCTAAAATATTAAGGAAGTGATCAGGAGTTTACGGTTTCAAATGGAAATAGGTAGTGGAGGTAATTTAGTCATTTTAAAATGGAAAAGGCATGCGGGAAATATTGGATACATGGTTTTCCGAGGAAAGGGTTTGATCAAAGATTATTCAAAGGTTCTTAATGATAGGATAGAATTTGATGGGATTATCATCTAGGAACAGGGTTGGTATGATAGGAACAGTTTTAAGGAGGTGACTGGAAAATTGCCTTGTTCTTCTCGGCATTCAACTTCAACTTGTTCGCGTCTGCCCGGTCACAGATGCTATTTGAGTCCTCTTGAAGTTTTTTTGTGGCTGTCCATATTCCAGGTTTAATTTTTTGGCATGCCTTCAAGAAACTGTATTAAAAAATTCTTTCTGTACTGTGTGGTTCATCAAATAAATAAATTATTTTGATCTTCAAATAATTTTGTTAACTTTTTTGTTTTAGCTTCAACGTTCCTATGATCGATTGAGTGAAGAAGTTCTCCTTTTACGGAAACAATTGACGGTGAAGGATAAACGTATCGAAGAACTGGAGTCAGAGATTAAATATTTGAAATCATCTATTGAGAAAACTGCCTAAGACAGGAATTTTTTTTTTTTTCACACAGCAAAATATTGCATTACATTAAAGCTTACATGCTAGTGATGCTATAAGTACAATGAATAGCGACTATTTATGCTTTTGCGTTCAAATTTTTACGCACACTATTTTAAAATGTGATGTGACATGTTATTTTTGCTAAATTTATAGACACTGAAAGTAAAAATTATTTTTCAAAGAAAATTTATTAGAAGAATAAGTGTGTGAATTTTTGTTCTTTGTATAGCGGTAATTCTTTGACCATTGGTTCTATAAAGCTGTTATATCGTTTGCAACTAATGTTGATATATCAAATGTTTTAGTTTTAGATAAGGTGTTTATATTTGAAATCACCCATTAGGGGCTAAAAGTATTTTTCAAATATATTATGCTGTCACCGTGTACAAGATGAAATTCAGGTGAAAGGCCTTTTATTGTTAGCATAAATTATTTGTCTAACGTTATCAGGATGATAAAATCCAACTTAGATTTTGATGGTTCTTAAAGACTGCTATTATATTACGACAGTGGTGAAACTATGTAATTTGGTAACTTCAAAAAATTTTATGTAGACTAGAATTTAGAATTCATCGTAAAAGTCAAACATTATAGAGCAAGAAAGATAGAAATTTATTTTTATTAATATATTTAGTAAGTTCACTTGTCTCTCTTCTGAATATTGTAAAAGTTAAGATATGTATATATATTCAGTATGTTCCATGACTAAAAGTCCATACTTTAAGGGACATATTTTTCTTGTCATTTTGATAAGAAAAAATTAGTAAACTGTGTCCCGCAATGTTTCCTAACAGAAATACAAGAAGTGGCAGTTGTTAAGAATATGTTACGCATTTTTTATTGTTCTATTATTGCTTATATTTTTTATAATCTGTTTTTTTTTTTGTTTTTGTTTTTTTTATTTTTGGTTAGTTTAGTGACATTAACATTTACTGTCAGTCTAGTATTGTTTATCTCTTATCACTTCGGACTTAGATGTTTTTTAAAAGATATTAAAATGTTCTCATAATAATAAGGTTCTATATTCTCTCTTAAAGAAAGTGTTAATGATACTAAATAAACTGAAAATGTAAACAAAATGAGATGAACATGAAAAAAAAAAGACTGAATTAATTTTCAAGAACTTTGAATGCTTGTATTTTTGTTAGAAAGCTTTTGCAGACATTTTATCGTAATGCAGACTTATTAATAATGAAACTTTTTTAAAAATATAAATGGCATGACAAATATGCTCTAGTAAAAGTATGAACCTTCTGTTTATAGCTTTTTCATGCCAAATTAATACTTTTTGAATATAAGAAGAGGTTTCATAAAATTATGATTATATCAGAAAACAAGAAATATTATTAATGGTATGGGTATAGTTGACCATAATTCTAATTTAAGATGAAGTTGGTCGTTGGTGCGGTCAGTGGATATGCTACATATTATAGTAGTACTTTATTACATTTATCAACGTTTCAACCAACATTGTAGACATCTTCACCTGGGCATTTCCGGAGAAGAAATGTCCTGATAAAGCCCTACAACATAGGTCGAAACGTTGGCAAATGAAATAAAATACTTCTATAATATATAGTATATTTACTGACACCACCCTCGACCAACTTCTTAAAAAATAAATTTCATGGATAAATCTTTAGAATAAATGAGAATTACATAGCAACAATACTAATGCATTCAGTCAATGTTACTAATTGGTTCAGTTATCCATTAATGGACAAGAATTTTAAGTTCTATTACATCAAATATTTTTTGTTTTTAACAAAAAGTATTAGTTTAGAAGAAAAAAGTGCTGAATTGACTAGAAAAAGCTATACTCATGCATAAATTGACAATTCGCTATAAATGGACAACAGAGATGTTTAATCATTCTGGTTAATATTTTTATTGAAGAAGGCAAACAATTTTTAAGTCACATAACTATATTCTTATACGTACGTTTCACTTTTTCTTTTACAGAGATTCAACGATAGAGTCGTATAATTTTTTTTGTCCGTTCCCATGAGGTGTTCATTAGAGAACTTATCCTGTACTCTAAATAGATTTATTTAAAGTTTTGAACGCTGGTTTAAATAATTATCATTACATAACGATAAAAACAGTCTTTATTAAGAAAGTTGCCTAGTGTGCCTTTTTTTAAAATTATAACATAATAAAATAGATATTTTTATGCTGTTTCTTTGTAGTTTTTCTGCTAATGTATTTTTGTAAGTTTTGAGATTTTTCTTTTTCAAGTTATATTCATTGAGGCAATAAATTTTGAAATTAGCAACTCTGCCTGTTTTCACAAAATGTTTACATTTTATTTTTCATTTTTTCTTGGTGCTATAGATCATCTAACAAAGCAGTGTTGGCCAAAAGCTTCTGAATCCAGCGTAAAAATGGATTCAAACTCAAAGAGTTACCTAGGTCAAATATAATACATTTTTTTTTTTTTTAATTGATTAAGCCAGTTTTGAAAACCGATTGCTTTATTTTACCTAAATATTAAATGAAAAATTTGGCACATATGATCATAATGGCAACCAATATTTTTCCTTATTGATATAAAATAACAATTATAAAAGGTACAGCAAATATTGAGGTTCTTTTTCGACTCACACATCTTCAAAGAACCCTGTCAAAATCCTAATTAGTTCATAACAAATTTTATCTAGTTTTCTACTTTGGTACAGTATTTTAATGTTTTTAGGAAAAATTTTATTATTCGATAAAACAAAATTATAACAAATATCTGTTACTTACTTAATAGTAATGTCAAAAAAAAAAATTAAAAGTTATTAAAAAAAAATTCATATGACAATGGCTATATTTCTGCTTATACAATCATGGTTAATTTCATATTCTCCACCTTTTTAAGGAACTTATTGACTAATTTTTATAGTAATGAATTTAATTATTTAAAACCTTTAAAAAAAACCAAGATGTTTATATAATATTTAACTTGAATGATATGTTTCAAAAAGGAATTGATGAATTTCAGAATGTTTAAAAAAAAAAATCTTATATGATCCAATACAAAATTCTCTTTGTTATATGTATATACTATAATTGTGTTGGTTTTTTTATTACATTAAAACTGTATCTAAATGTTTAAGAATATTTTATCCAAATATTAGATAAGAAACATAAATTGATACCCATGGCAGTAATACAGTTTTTATAGAAGTAAATTAATTTATGAGTTTTAATTAATTTTTTATTTGAATGAAATTATCTAAATTTTAATATATATATATTTGCCTTTTTGAATTCTGTGATGGCTTTATAAAGGAGTGCACCATTTAACTGCTAACCGTAGCTCATATAGTAATATATTTGTTTTTCATTCGAGCATAGAACAATGAACATAATTTATTCTTTCTACTTAATCCTCTTCTACATTCCTAAGCTTTTATGAAAAATGTCAGTATTTTCAACATTCCATTAACTTTTTTAAAGATTATTATAATCTTATGGTCTATTATGTTTGTGGTTTGTAAATTTATTAGTTTATATTTGTTTCTCACATTCCTGTAAAACATTGGTTATCATATTATTTGATTATACATTTTCTATTACTTATTATTGTTTTAATTTCCTCTTTTAATTTACTTTGTAATAAATATTTATAATTACTAAGAGTAGTATCATTGCTTCTAAAGATTTCTTTCAAATGTTATCTATCGTTACTGTTTGCATTTCTCATTTATCCTTATCTCTACTGAAAATTGACTTAGACTGTTAAGAGAAATCTGGAAAATGTGAAGTAAACTCTGAAAATTGAAAAATAAATTTTATTTATTCCACAAAATTATGAAATCTGTATAAAAATGTACCAATTTTTACTAATTATTTGTATTTCAATATAAATTTCCAACAAAAACAATTATTGTAATTTATGTTTAGTTGTTATTGTAAGTAGATTGTGCAATATCACCATAGGATTTACTTTTTAAATTATGTTTTGTTCTTATTCCTTGTTAAGTTGATAATTTTTTATTATATTTTGTTATTTTTCTTGTCAAAAAAGATATTTTGTGATACTTTACTTAGGATTTTTGTATTATAAAATTGTATGCACTGAAGATGATCAAATAAATGTTGCGATTGTGTAGCTTTGTTTCATCAATTTCTTTTTTTATATAATTAAATTAAAAAAGGCTTTAAAAAAAAATGATGATAATTAAAAATGTATTGATGACACCAACAGTTTTCTGTGTTAAAATTTAAATTAAGTTTTAGATATGTTTCCACAGCTCAGATGATGATAAATAAAAGCATTTTAATGTTGTCTTCTTGCAGTTGTATGTTATCATTACCTATATCCACGCATCCTTCACAGAAATCGGGATGGGCGATAGTCGATAGTCGTACTGACTATCGATATTTTGTATCCTCCCCTTAGACATAAATAATATTAAAATTTTATATACTTACAGGAATAATTTTAATTACATGCCTTCATTCTTCTACCCATTTATCGATTTATCGAGATATAGTGATAATATAACAATGTAGAAGTTAAATGTTTGATAATGGAAAATGGTTATTGTATAATAAAAACGCCACATCAAGAAAATAAATGGATAGAAGTGTGAAGACAGATTGAAAACTACTCTTATCATTTTATAAAATTGAACAAGAAGAAGCCTTCAATGTAAACAAATAATTCAATCTCAAATTACTTTCTTCAGAAATATTTTTACAGCTGCAGTTGTGCTGATGGAAAAATGTTAGATTTACCTCGCTTTTTTAAATTTTTTTTCCATAAAATAATATATAAATTCTACAAGGATGCCATTACAGTTTTATTATATTTTAAATTAGGTTTTATAATAAAAAAAAAAAAAAAAAAACCTGTACCACTACTAGCCATGAAGGGTCTTGGGTTCAGTTCTATTTAGGGAAAGCACTGTTTCTAGGTGTTGACCTAAGTTGTGCAAGGGGATGATTTGACCGAGATCACACTCAACTGCCAGGTTTTCCCCCTTAATTAATTATTTAATTAAAGGTACCCACTTTATAGAGGCTGGGTGTGCCCGCCCCACGGCCAATGAAACAGATAAATAAATTTTCTGCCATGAGCCGGGGTTCAAACCTGGGACCTTTGCATTGGAAGCTCAGTGCCCTACCACTGAGCTACACCAATCCCTTCTTATTCTTTATCCTTATATATTTAATTCTATTATGTGGTTTTTATTTTTACATTATGCAAAAACAATAAATATAATTATAAATAAATATATAGATAAACATAATCAAAGGCTTTGATAACCAAAAAGTATTATGCCTTTTTTTCACACAAACCAACCAATTTTGACAACATATCTACATAATAAAACACTTAATAACCATTATTTATAAAATAAAATATCTTTTATCTCAGAAAAAGAACTTTTTCTTAAAATGGAAAAATTAAGAATATAAAAATTAATAAATATACTGGTGATTTCGTTCTTCTATTCCTCTTCTTTTCTAAAGGTGTCTGGTTAGCAAGCCTACATTAAACCACTGATCATCATCATCATTATAAGACAGATCATTCATTGGTACTCCATGCCTTCCTACATCCGTCACTCCAATATCCTCTCTACCTTTAAATCCCGCCTGTTCAACCATTTGTTATCCATCCAGTCCCCATAAAATTTTAAATAGATATTACTGTAAATATCTATATAAATTATTAGATCGTTCTTAATTATTGTTACTTCATGTTTTTTCAATTTTTTATTATTAACTGATTAAAGTTAGAAAGTAACTTATAATTTTTTTATTTTGACTATTTATTTACTTTGTGTTTTTCTTTTGTGTTTCTGAGGCTCCTTAGCCCACATTTCTGTCTTTCTGTATTATTCTGAAGGTACTTGTGCCAGAATAAATTAAGTATTATTATTATGATTGAATTGTAAACGACCAAACAAATTAGAAAAAATAGTTTTTATGTATAATCTCCTCCCCCTCCCCCCAAAAAAACCGGTACCTGTACCTCTACAACCCATGAAGAGTCTTAGGTTTGGTACTGTTTTAAGGCCAACGGTTGTGTAGGGAGAGGATCGGGCCAAGATCAGCTTAACCGCTAGGTTTCCCTCCTCAATCAATTATTTAATTAATGGTACCCACTTTATAGAGGCTTGGTGCGACCCAAGAGGGTTGTTCCACCGCCAATGAAACAGAATAAATAATTTTTCTGCCATAAGCCTGGGATCTTGTGCATTGAAAGCTGAGCTACAGCTCTCTCTTATAATCCCAAATATAGTCCTTAAATAAAATGAACAACCTAATATAATTACTGGATATTTTTCTAAATTAGTTAAGGTGACACATCTAATTACCAAAAAAAATGACAACAATTTTTTTTATAACTCCATTTTTGAAAAATTTATTATTTTTTCTCAAATAAATATACTGTTTATTTGCCCTGAAAAAACACAAAGCTAAAAAAAAAACAATGAGGGGCTTGTCAAAAATTTGTTTTATCAAATGTAAATTTTTTTGTAAAACTTTAGAATTTGGATTTATTCTTTTTTGTTTCTAGATGCCTTATATTAAAATAATAATAATATTATTTTTATTATTATGATTATATAATACAACATATTATGTTGGCTGATATGTGTCATTGAAAAGAAAATATTTGTTTTCTCATACATTTTTTGATTTATAAATTTTTTTCACATCAGATAACCTTTTTTTCATGTGTGCTTGTTAAAAATTCAAAGCATTGTTTTATATAAAAAAATTAAAACATTTTTAGAAGTTAATTCCATTTTAAAAAAGTTTATTTCCATATTATTATCTAAAATAATTTATCCAATACTGTGATAAATATTTTAAAATAGTATAATTTATGAGATAATATTAATTTTCCATCATATGTAGATAATTACTGTCTGAAGTGAGATCTGTTCTTGCTGTTTTTGAGTCTATTACATTGAATGTAATAAAACTTTATTAGTAAATAATCACATTATTAAAAAATATATAAAAAAAATAATTAGTTTTAAAAAATAACTCTTTTTGAGAAAATACAAATTGACATGAAAATAGAACCTGTTTAATATTTGATTCAAATTTCCCGCCAATAATATATATGTAAATAATGTTTTATTTTAATATAAGGGTATTTTCTTTCATTGAAAGTATTTAAAATAAATTGACAAAAGAAAAAATATATAAATTATTATAAAACTTTCCATATTTAAACATTTCTTAGATATCATATGACGTGTCTGACTTAAAGCTTCCCCACTACCAGTCAATAAATGCTTATGCCGAAATTTAGAACCCTCTAGAACATTCTGCTTTCAAGGACTGTTCGAAGTTCTTGTTTGTAGTCCGTATCTTTTGTTCTTCCCAACTGCGTGTAGTACTTCGCGTTTCTTAATTTTTAACATCGTAAGTATTTCATTATATTATTTCTTCCTTCATTATACAACGTTACTCCATTCTCCATTTAATGGAACATCCATTTTATTTCAATAATCCAGATTTTATTTTCTTGATTTAAAACTTTTACTTTAACCCTTAGTGCCATAGGGTTTTTGAATTAATTAGCAATTATTTGAAGTATAATATTGTTGTTGCTTAATTCCATTTTTATTCTATGTGGTACTAAGCAGATAATCCATTGTGTTTGAATGATCTGGTGCCATTTTAGAAACCATGAATAATCATTATTTTTTCTGAAAAATTAATTTCATTCAATGAAAGGCCTTTTCATTTACTTTTTATATATTTACGTTGTTTCAAGATGTACTTCTAATAGAATTTTACTACTTTTCCTTTGTTAAGAGTGTGAACTTAGTATAAAGGGATTTTACTCTTATGTTGGTCATGAAAACAATTTGTTGGCCTTTGAAATCAATGTTTTTTGCTTGATTTCTATGGTTCTCTAATATTGAAATGTTAATTTTATTAAACAATTATTCCAGGTTAATAATAACCCTAAGTATTAAAATTGGTCTTTTGTGAGGTTAAGTTTTAATACTCAATGTTAGTTCACTTTCAAGTTCTTACATTGTTCCAATTTGTTTTGCTTATTAGCAATTTAGTTGAAAAACATTGTTTACATGTCAGTTAAATGATTTTTACTTATTTAAGTATATAAATGCTTAAGCCCTATATTCTTAATGGATTATCTTAGTTACTAACCTTATGACTTAAATTTGTTTGTGAGTATTTGGTATTTATTGAGTTTGTAAATAAACAAAAAGCATTCAATTCAACCTTTGGAATTATTACATTCATTAATTAATATTAACTTGTATTTTTTTCTCATTTTTGTAGAATCTCAATTTATTTTAAAAATGGTCAAGGAAACCACTTACTATGACATATTAGGCGTCAAGCCTAATTGTACAACTGATGAACTAAAGAAGGCCTATAGGAAATTAGCCCTTAAATACCATCCGGATAAAAACCCAAATGAAGGAGAAAAGGTAAACTTAATAAGTTTAAAACTATTATATACTGTAATATAAATATTTAGTGCATGATATTTTTTAGTTGTGTATATAATACGTTTAATATTAATTATATAAGTAGATTATGTATTGTCGTCATTCCATTTTATTAGTCTTTGTATTGATTTTAATTAAGACGTCTCATTCTATGATTGCTCTTAGAATATAATTCTATTGACCTTGCTGATTTTTGCTTCATATTGTTCTACTGTGATATTTGACATAAGTTTAAAATGATCGTTTTCTTTTTATCCTATGTGTGAAAACGTAACTATAGTAATTACAAGTATGTAATTGGTTATAGTTACACACTTTTTATTCGTTAGTTATTTATTACTGTATCTGCATAATATTACATCATGACTGTTACCATTACAGAATGAAATATTTCTATGTCTAATTAAATATCATGTTTTAATGTTTAAACTTCATCAATTTGTAATTAATTTCCTATTAAAGGGAGAAATTTTGTGAACTAATGAGCCTTAATGAGGACTTTAATTAGTGAAACTGCCTAAAAATAGAGATTTATTATAATGTTAAAAATATAGATTTATTATAATGTGTTTTTCATGTATATAGTGGATGATATGTTAGACAAAATGGAGGAAAATAACCACCATCTTAATTCTTAAACTACCACCATTTTATTTTCTGAAATAACCATCAATGTTATTGTATTTCAATAGAATTAACATCATACCGTTATTTAATTATTGTTTTTCTGGATTTAGTTAATATTTAATGAGGTAACTTTCTAGTCTTAGCTAATAATTTTCCTGGATACTTGTCTATTTGAGCTACCATGACAACTTACTGATTGTCAATACCTGTTATCTTTTCTCCTTTTCAATCTATTGTTGCTAAGTACCACTAGTATTTATAGTAGTTTTAAACAAACTCTATAATTAGTAGAAACTATAAAAACGTTGATTTTTTGAAATGAAAATATAAAATTTTAAATTAAAGATTGTTGCTTTTAGTGAAATGTGTTTATTTTCCTTTTTTTTTTTTCCAGAATAATTTTTTTTTTTTTTTTGTTTCATTTTCAAGATAATGTTCAAATCATTTTTCTTCTACATAACTTGATAATCAAAGAAGTGTGAAAACTATACAATTTTCTAGCTAGTTCCTCTTCTTTGTTTGGTTAATCATTTTTCCGTGGGTACGTTATAGGTGTTGACTCAAAGTAAACAACTGTGACTCTTTGTGATTCACTGCAGTATCCAGATCCAAATTTACCACAAATAATTAATAATAATCATAAATAAATAAAATGAAAGACTAAGTACCCAGGATGGATAGAAAGTTTTGTAAATAAAGAGACACTGAACTAGAAACAAGTTTTTAATGAAAGATATATTTATATATTAAGAAGATTAGAGAAATTTCTTTGAAAATTAAAACAAACAAAGTTTATAAAGTTCTGTTTAAAGTACTTCTTTTCAGCATATTTTAAATACTTCAAATTCAATTATTTCAAATGGGTATAGGTGCATATTCCAGTTTAACTATGTTGTATTTATGAGTTTTCTCATAATAAAGATGGACATCTGTTTTACTTGAGAAGTTGAGAAAAAGCCAATTTTTGTACATTGCCTCAATTCGAACCAATTATATTTTTTGCCCCCATGATTCAACTTTAACATTCTTAATTAAAATCACCAGAAACAATTTGAGTTGAACCTATTAAACCAAAATTGACTTTTTCTCCAATATCTGAAAACAACAGATATCTGTCTTTGATATGAAGTCACTCTTATATATTCAGTTTTAATAGTTTATTGTATCCTTTCCGACTAATACCCTCTGTAATTCAAACACTCCCTTGCAGCAATTAGTTTAGACTACTGAGATTGTTGCATTTTATTAATATTTTTTAACATTGATTAGAGTTTAAGATAAATCAAGATAAGTCTGCTTGCTCAAGATATAAACCGATCATTGTTTATAGAGGTATCAACTGTTTAGCAGATAACATGTATTTAAACTTAACCATTAAGTAATAGATGTAATCCAAATGTTGATAATTTGATCATCATTCATCAAGACCTTTTTATATCATCAGACTTATATTTCAATACCGTGAATATAACGTAATCAGAGTTTCTCTACTTTTGGTTAAATGATAATACTCCCCAAACTAACACTTTAAGCTACTATAATGCTCTCTTATCTAAATATAAGGTTGTATAATTCACCATAGTGTGTTGATTGTAAGGAAATTAAAACTTCGTGATTAAATTTACCTTTAACGTAGGATGACATATTTTATAACTTGTGCTGAAGAAAGTTTTAATTTCCTGTCAAAAGTAATCTGTTGAAAAATGTATCATTTACAGGCTTAAATTAAGAAACATAAAAATAAATTTAAAATTGTAAGTTATTTAATCTTATAAATTATCTAGGTTTTACATACCTTTAATAACTATCATAATTCAATATAAATATATTAAAATTTTTTTAAGTAGTACAAGTGAAAGAAAAAAATGCTGTTCAGTAATTAGGTAAAATTTATTGCAAAGCTTTAATGAAAATACATACATAAAAACATATGTTGTTATATACCTATGTATAAATCATACGCATGCATATTAACTTATCACTTACATGATAATATTAATTAGGGATAGGAAACAGGATGCGGTTATTTTAGCATAATCCATTGTTTAAAAACCACATGTATGATAATTGTAAACTATCTCTTGAAAATAGTAATGATTTGGAAAATTAGACTTTTAAAAAAAATTACAAAATTATATGTCGAAGATTATTTGTTTCTTTTAGTTACATATCTATATTTTGCTTTATCGATCTCATGGAATATTTATTTTAACTTTCAGTATTATGTTCAATTCATTTTCTTCTCAGTATTATGTTCAATTCATTTTCTTCTATAATTGGTAAATGGTTGACTGTCGTGAATAATGAAGAGAAGAATAGTTGGGGTGGTCAGTCAAAAAATACAATTGTCATTATTCTAACAATTTCATTTTACTTTATTTTTTTTACCATCACTACTTATGTTTCTCATATCTTGTTATCTGGTTATTTTCTTAGCCTTGATGAAGGCCTGAACTTCAGGTCGAAATGTCGGCATATGTAAAAATAAATATTATCATTTATTTTTGCCTTCTTTTTTGACTGACCACCCCAACTATTCTTCTCTTCATTTTCTTCTATGTAACATTCATAAAAGTGTTTAATTCTTAAAGTTTTTATCTAGTTCCTTTTTTTATTCTGGTTGGTTATCCATTTTATATTCATATTTTAATATTAATATATAATTATTTTTTTTTTAATATTGGCTCAAATTGTATCACTTTGCAATACTCTGCAACTTTAGAAATACAAACTAACAAAAAAGAAAAAAATTTGTGAGTTAATAGAGAATTTTTCTTATATGAGAATATATTGCAGGAGAGCCTGTTTTAGATCAATTGGCTTAAAAACTTTTTAAATTGTGTAATAATTAGAGAAAAATTGTTAAAATTAAATAAAGAATTTATGAAACAGTCATGATATAGAGAATGGAAAATTATTGTAAGAAAGTTACAGTTAAAGAAACAGATATAAGACAAATTACTGCATAAATTAATTGTTAATTTTTATATGGTTAGGTATTTATTAAGTAGAGATTCTTATAAGAATGATGTTTTATTCTAAAGATAAGTAAGAAACCCTAAATATTAACATAGATAATGTAGATGATTTTCCATAAAGGAAGAAGGTAAATTTTAAGTGTAGATTAATTTAATTAATTAAATTTAGTGTTAGGACAGGCTAATAAGTCAGAACCCTGATTAATTTTTGTTTCTTTAACAGTTTAAAATGATCTCACAAGCCTATGAAGTGTTATCCACACCAGAGAAAAGACAGATTTACGATGAAGGTGGTGAACAAGCCCTGAAGGAAGGTGGCATCAACATGAACAACTTTTCTTCTCCGATGGATATATTTGATATGTTTTTTGGTGGTCTCGGTGGTGGTAGGGGCGGAGGCCGACGGCGCGAACGTAGAGGGAAAAATGTTGTTCACCCTCTGCTTGTCACACTCGATGAACTGTATAATGGCAGCGTTAGAAAACAAAAAATTCAGAAGAATATCATCTGTGATAGATGTGAAGGTAACTAAATTTATGAATATATTATTCTTTATTTATTTATTAAACGAGAAAAATACTCCTAATTTCATATTTTTGATTTTATTCTAAGCCAAGCATTATTTTAAAAACTACCATAACTCTGCCATAAATACTGTTACAAAAGTTGATTTTTTTTTTAACACTTTGAAACCTTTGGGTAATCAGCCTTTTGTTCGTGTACCGCACTGTAAAGAGATATAATGAGAACCTATCAGTATGTGTCAGACATCGACCGTGCGATCCCCGCACTGTGAGAATGGCAAATGCAGTGAGAGAGCAGTGGCTGCTTGATTCAGAAGAAATCCCATTCAAAAACAACAAATCATGTCTCGCTAAATGGGAATCTCTGTCAGATCAATGTCTCGCATAATAAAAAGTGACCTTAGGATAAATGCATTTCGGAGAACGACAGGACTAAGGCTAACCACTTCCCTAAAAAAAAATAGAGCGGATAGATGCAAAGTGCTCCTTGGCCATTACACCAATGGTCTTCATCGAAAGATTTTTTTTAGTGGTGAGAAAATTTTTAGAATTGAAGAGAAATTTAATCGCTAAAATGATAGTGTGTACGCACACAGCTCTAAAGAACTCATTGGAAGAGTGGAAAGAGGTCATCACCCTTCCTCAGTGATGGTTTGGTGGCTTTTGGCCACATAGCTCCATTTTTGTGAAAAAGATCTATCAGGACGATATTTTGGAACCTGTTGTCAAGCCTCTAAATGATATTCTGTTTGCTGGAAGTCATTGGGTTTTCCAGTAGGATTCTGCTACAGCTCACAAGGCCAGGTCAACTCAGCAGTGGCTGCAAAAGAACATTCCAGAGTTCATCTCTGCCTCGGATTGACCCTCAGGAAGCCCTGATTTCAACCCACTAGATTATCGGCTTTGGTCCAAACCGGAGAGGAGAGGATGACATACCACAGAGCACACGCTAACTTGGAAAGCCTCAAACAATCTGGTCCGAGCAGTTTAGCGCTTTCTCAAAAAGAGCTGCGTGCTGCTATTGATGACTGGTCACGTAGATTAAATGCTTGTGTCAAAGCAAAAGGGGTGCATTTTGAGTAATTTCTTTTTTGTTTTACTCTCTATAGATATATATTTTATTTTCTAATTAAGTTTTTGAAAAAAATAATTTTTCTGTTGAAATCTGTATATATTTCCTTGTAACAATATTTATGACAGGACTAGGTAGTTGTATATATAGTACTCATTTGACCACACCCCCCACCCCAACCAACTCTTTCTTATATTATCATCACGGTCAACCATCTCTCCACTATTATTTCCTGCGTTAACAGTTCTATAATTGGTTTTTCTGAAATACTCCTTCCGAGTCTTTCATGTTTCCTTTAAAACAAAAAAACAGCACAGGTTTTAAATTAGCATAATTTTAAATTTTCTTTGTTTGCTGTTCTGCTACCATTGATCTCATTTTTTAACAATTAAAATCATATGTTTTGCCAGTTATGTCTGCCTTAGCATTTCATCTATTAGTGTAAATGACAGCTTCAAATCATGTTACAATCGTACTTACTTGGTTTCTAGTATTGATATTTTATCCTCTAATTTTGACAATTAGAGGATCTAAAATGTTGCAATCTTGCAATCTAAAATGTTTTGCAATATTTCTTCTTGCCACTGAGGCTTTGAATTTTAACAATTTAAAAATTAACTTAATTGTTATAAAAATCATTATATTTATATATATTGAAATAGGAAATTTATTAAAAGAATGTGGTTATATATCATTATAACAAGTCTGAGGATAAAGAAATGTTATTAATATTTATATTTTATGCAGCTGTTCCAAATCAAAACTTGGTCCATTTTTCGGCAATATTCATTTTGTTCCGTAATTTTGAATTATTTTTGACAAGAAATATCCATCTTAAAATAAATGCTTTAAATCATATTGCTTATTTATTATCATTATGCCTTATTTATTAGACTAGGAAAATTTGTGGATAATTATCAACTCGAGTACATTACATTATAGTGATTAGCATTATAAAGTTATACAATTCTTTAATTTCTGTTAACTTTTTAAGGACGAGGAGGAAAGAAAGGAGCATCTCAAACTTGCCAAGATTGTGGTGGTTCTGGTCTACAAGTACAAGTTCAACAATTCGCTGCCGGTGTAATTCATCAAATACAAACAGTTTGTCGTGAGTGTAAAGGGGAGGGCGAATGCATCAAGCCGCAGGATAGGTGTAAGAAGTGTAACGGCAAAAAGGTAATTATCATTTTTTAAAATTTATTTCATGATTTAATTGAGTTTTTTATAATTTATTTTGACAATTATAATATCTTTCACAGACTATTCATGAAGAAAAAATTATCGAAGTACAAATTGACAAAGGCATGGCTGATGGGCAAAAAATCGTCTTTAGCGGAGAAGGCAATCAAGAACCTGGTTTAGAACCCGGAGATATCATGTTCGTTTTAGAAGAAAAAGAACATTCATTATTCAAGTAAGTTAATTAAGTTCTTCATTAATTTGTTTATCATATTACTTTCACTTACCTATATTTGTAATATCTCTTATATTTTTTAACTAATAATTTAACCTAGGAAGATCACTTCGTGCTGTTAGGATACTTCCAAAATTAATAACAGGTTGTTAAATAATAAACAAAATTATAATAATATAGAGATGTTTGACCGTGATCTAATATGACAAGGGGTTGATTGGGAGGGGGAAGGGTGCGGTTAAATAAATATTAAATTATAGAAATATTATAATTTAATTTTTATGCAGACGTTTTGACCCACTTTGCAGGTCTTTATCAGGGCGTAGGATGTAGCACTGCGGGAGGCAGTTGAAACACTGGCAGTGTCAACTGCCTCTCGCAGTACTACATCCTACGCAATGAAGAAGACCTGCAAAGTGGGTCGAAACGTTGGCACAAATTAAATAATTACTATATGTTTAATTTAGTATTTATTTGACCATCAAGTCATGCTCCCTGGGAGGTTTTGACCCACATGCTTAGGTCAAAACATAGGCACCAATAAAAATCTTTAAAAAGACTGCATTTTGATTGTTCATCACTATGATATGTAGAATAGTCAACTGACTTCCTTCAATAATTAATTGATCTTTTTATATATCTGTATACAAAGTTTCTTAAATAAAGCTTTATTTATTTTGTTTTCTAGGAGATCTGGTTCCGATCTTGTTATGTTGATGAATTTAGAATTGGTAGAAGCCCTTTGTGGATTCCAGAAAGTAATTCATACTCTCGATAACAGAGACCTAGTCATTACAGCCATTCCAGGTAATTATAATAAGTAATCTTTATATTATTATTATAAACAAGTTTTTATTAAAAAACAAAAAAAAAAGAAATTCATCACAAACTGAAAAAAGTATATTTAGTCGGTTTATTGAAAAAAGTCACTAAGTACATTTTTGATAAAGCTGAAGTCTTGAGTACGTTTTTGTGGGATTCATCACTGATTATTGATTAAAAAAAAAATTAAGCTCATTAAAATTACTTAAATCCCTTTATGTATCAAGCAGGCATCATAGGTACAACAGGCATATCTTCTGATTTTACCGAGGGAAAATTCTCAAGTGTCACTTAATGACTTTTTTTGTCATTAACCGATGATATATTCTACACAAAAGCTAACTCACTATATGGAAAAATTACAAAATTGAAATAGGTCATATTTATGATGTTTTAGGTTGATCTTTTATAATTATTATTTTTTTTATTAGGTGAAGTCACTCGTCATAAAGATTTGAAGTGCGTAATGGGAGAAGGAATGCCCACCTACAAGAATCCATTTGAAAAAGGTCGATTAATTATCCAGTTTACAGTCAGTTTTCCAACAAAAATTAATCCTGAAATCATTCCACAACTTGAAGCCTGCTTACCACCTAGGTAACTTATTAACAATTTATTAATTTCATCTAAACTCTGTAAATTGTTTAATTCAGTTCTTGCTCAATATCGTAATACTTTATTACAGGGTCGAGCAAATCGTTCCAGACAACGCTGAAGAAGTAGAAATGATCGAAGTAGACTCAGAAGAGGAATCTCGACGACGAGAGAGGGCTCACCAGTACGAGGAAATGGGAGCCCCAGGTTCTAATAGGGTCCAATGCGCCACGCAATAACAACCTCGTTTCCTGCGTCTTTATATTTACTTCAGTGTAATCTTGAAAATGCTTCTTTCTTAGTTTGAGTACCCTCCATTTTCTAAATAATTGTCAAGCCACTGCTCCTCCAATAGGTATTACTGGTTTTCATTGCATTTATCTAACTAATAAAGAATTTTTTGACCATGCAGTAAATAAAACTTAGATGTATTTCGTATATATGTAATGTGTTAATTTGTTATTTTTCTTTTCCTTTTTTATTTTCTTTTTTATTTTTTTTTTTTTACTGGCACTACTATCTTAGCTGTTCTAGAGTCTTGATTCTAGTTTGACAAATTTGGTGTATTTCAAACAAAATATATACATATTGACTTATTTTTACCATAAAATTTATAACTTTTAGGGTAGAATGTTATTGAATATATTTAATTTTTTTTTCTACCTTTAGTCTTTTCCTGTTCCTTTTTTTAGAAAGTTAATTTATATGTACGATTTAATCTGTGATCTTTTTCTTTTGTGTGTTGAAAAATAAAATAAATAGTACTAAGCCGATATTAGAGTTATTATTACTTCTTTTGTTAACAGAACGATAAACTGGAATTTTTAATTTTTATTGTCATCATATATTTGTACATTTTTTTCATTATGATTAATTGAGGTGTAAATCATTTCTTTAAAAATTAATTACTAACAATATTCCATTGGCCAAACTCATTAATTTTCATTGTTCATCTATTGTATTTCTAATTCATATCAAATAAGTTTTACTTGTCGAAATTGTAAAAATGGAATATATTTTATTTCAGCTATAATAAAATTTTCATTCTTGATATCAGTTATTAATTTTGCTGTATACATATTTATTTTTTTAGTTATGTTTTGGAACTATAGATTGTTAGTAATAAAACGTTTAAGACATTAATGATATTTTATCACATTTCCTTGTTCCTTATTTATTTATTTTACATCTAAGGGATGCAGGTACTTGTATAGTAGGAACAAATTGTGAATATTTAAATCGCAATAGAATTTGTGATGCCATTAATAATTTTGGTAAGAACAAAAGGGGTTCATACAGTGCCGGCCTTAAACATTCAGCGCCCCGAGGCAATGACATCATCTCACCTTTAAAAAAATTGACTATTTCTTAAGCTACTTCATATTATGTAATATTAGGTTATATTTCATTCATTATTTTGTGATAATGAATAAATGGTCTTCATAAGGTCCATATAGGCAAGCTTAAATAGACAACCATGTGAAAACCTCATCTATCCACTTTACCAACCTAACATATGTTTTATTAATAAATAATCAAAACATTTATTATTGACATATACAATTTAGACGAACAGACTATAAAAAGCCCAATGAAATTTCTAAATAAACAATAGACTATAGATAATTAATAAAACTTAATCTAAAAACTAAACAACAAGAACTTAAGGACTAACCTAAAGCTGATATAAAATTTACTAACTAATATAAATCTCAATAACGTAGAAAAATACCAAAAACTTAATCCATATAAGTCTGCTTCTTCTAGCAATTACAGAGATAGAGAGAGAAGATAGAACTAACGTTTCCTCTAATGCGCGTAGGTCTCTTCACCTTTTCCAATCACTGTTCCCTTCAATCTCCTAAAAACATCTGACTGACTCCTCTCTCTCTTTCTCTCTACGCTGCCTTAATGCGCTACAATTTTTCTTTTGTTTTATGTACTACAATTTTAATATGTTTTGTGTTTTATTTTATAACTCTAATGTGTGGCAAAACATTGCGGGCAATTGATTTGGTTGCTCAATCCTAAGGTACTTGGTTCTTATAGAGCTAGTAATTCAAGATTAGCACAAGGGAGCTTTTGGTGGATATTAGAGGAGTACACTGAAGTATTATATCCACTCCTGGTGCGTTGTTTCTATATTATTCTATTAAAAGGTAATATAACATTTTAAACTAATTATAAGATAAACAAAATACATACAGCACAATAAAAATTGTTAACGCACCTTGGTACATTTCAAATACTACTATATATAACGACTTAAACACCCCAACAGTCTAATCCTACATCCACAACAAATACACTACATTTCATTTTTCAACCCAAAATCACTCCAATCCTCTGGTTCTTTCTATCTCCTGCTCCCTGCTCCCTGAACAATGCAGATTAAGAAGAAAATGGCCAAGAGACCTACCATATCAATAAAAACAAAATCAAGCAAATACACCAAGACAGTACAAACAATAAATTTGTTAGATGCGCAGATGCAAATTGCATAAAATATAAATAAATAAAATTATTTTTAGTCACTGCCAACAGAGTGAAAAAACAAATTAAAAAAAACTGAAACGATGGAAGTTTAAAATGTTTAGAGCATTTAAGTGTCATATACACATACTTTATTTACCATATATCGTGGATACAAATGAAAATCAACAGTTTTCATGAAACAAAAGAAATTATAATTTCATTATCAATTCAGCCCAAACAACAGGAATGTTTTAATTTTCACACTAATCTGCTTATATGAATGTTTAAAAAAATTTTATTTGCTTTTTAAAAATACTTAATTACAATCTCTAGACAGCTAGATCAGAAATCGCAATTTTTCATATCCAATAGATAGCATTTGTAGAGACACTTCTTAGCACAAGAGTTTTTGCCATCCCTCTTCATGTCATTGGGTGAATTTTCTTCACGAAAATAATCCATATTTACCAGAATCAGTCAACTTTTTAGAAGTTCCTTAAGTTATCTTTCACTTTTTCATTGTTTTTAAATTGCGAATATAAATACTTTAGATAGTTCAGAAAAAATATTGATTATTAATATTAAGCTGTACTACCCTACATTATTGAGGTCCATACTTTTAGTTACCCTTAAAAAGATTAAATTTCTAATGTAAATAAATTTTTTTTTTTAACTTTTATTGTGATATTTACAACTGTATTAGTATAAATACATCAAGTAAATTTGTACAGAGAAATATTATTACATGAAACACGCTTCTTGAGAAACTACCCACTGGTAGCACTCTAATAATTTGTCTACATGAGAAGATCACGAGGCCATCTTCTTTTCAGACGCCTCGGAGGGTTATCAGGAATCGAAGAGAAAGCAAGGTTAGCAACGAGAGGGTTGGGATGGTTATGAAGTTTATTATGGAAGGATAGGTATCTGTATTCGGCCAAATCGGAAACATATGGAACATTGAAGTCTTTATGGATTATTTTATTAGTGACAAAGTAAGGAGCATTGAGGATTTTACGAAGGATTTTGGATTGTAAGGATTGGATGCGAGAGGAATTCGATGGTTTAGTGGAGCCCCATAGCTCAACTCCGTAAGTCCAAATAGGTCTTATTATAGTCAAGTATATGAGTCTTTTGTAATTAAGGGGAAGTTTAGAGCGTTTGTCTAGTAAGTGTTGGAGTAGTCGGAAACGTCGAGCGGTTTCTTGTCGTTTCAGTCTGGTATGAGGATTCCAAGTTAGACGTTTGTCCAAGTGAAGTCCAAGGTATCGAATTTGTTCAACAGGGTTAAGTGGGGTATTATTAAAGGATACTGTGGGACATGAGGTCATAGGTTTACGTCGAAGGGTAAAGGTGATTGATGGGATTTATTAGAATTTATTTTAATCCTCCAGTTTGTAAATAAATTTAAAGTATTTATTTTGTGTTTACAGTGGCTTTATAATATATTATTATTAAGCCACTGTATTCTGTTATATTAGATGATATATTCTGACATCTTTAAGTGTTTGAATGAATTACTTTTTGTTCTTCTGACAACAGTTTCCTATGAACACTTACTAATACTATAATTGAAGAAAAGATTGGTTTGGGTGATCAGCCAAAAATTGTAATTCTTTATTATTCAATGTTTATAGTTCCATATACCTATTGTTAACTGATTCTTTCTTAGCCCTGACGAAAGTCAGAATTTTGGGCCGAAACGTGGGCAAATATAAGAATAAATATAATTTTGGGTGATAAATATTCATGATGCAGTCTTTTTTAATTTTTTTTTTATTTTTGCCAACGTTTCAACCCAAACATGTGGGTCATCTTCAGGGCTGAAAATGTTTTTTTTAAATTACAATCAGAGATATAATAGTATGCGACCGCTAATTATAAATAATAAACTATAGTGATTGATGTCCTTCAAGAATAAATATAATTATTTATTTTATCTATTTTTTGACTGATCATCCCAACCAGTTTTCTCTTCAATTATTCACTACAGTGAATCATAAATCCACAATTACTAATAGTCCGTGGTACAGACCCCTTTTTATCGAATTATTAACATCACCAAAAACTTCGTGAATAGTTTTATCTCATACTATTTTATTTACGAAAATTCTTGGAATTGGGGCGTTTTCAATCTGAAGGGGGGCAAACTTTGTCTATTTAATTGGGTACTAAAAGCTCGTAAATACCCATTTGCTTTCTACTTGGATCATATGATGATCCAATTTCAAAATATTGAGTCGTTTGGCGCGATCTACACCCCCAAAATTCCAAAATAACGAGGTTATATAGGACAAGCGACCCACTTTTTTTTTGTCACATTTTTTATCGATTTTGTGATCAAATTATCTTACGATCCAAGTTGAAAGGAAATGGGTGTTTACGAGTTTTTAGTACTTAATTAAATAGACAAAGTTTGCTCCCCTCCAGATTGAAAACTCCCCAATTCCAATAGTTTTCGTAAATAAACGATGAGATGAAACTATTTACGAAGTTTCAGGTGGATGTTAGTAATTCAGTAAAAAGGAGTCTGTAAAACGGATTATAATACTGTAGTTATATTACTGTTGATACGTAGGAACGATTTTGCTGTTATCTGCCTGAAACAACTAGAGCTACATATTGTAATGTGCCTCTCTCTTTTGATGATTATTTAAACTTAAGTATGGTGAATTCAATTTTTAAATTAAATAACTCTTCTATTGTTTGATTATAAATGAAATTCACAGGCTTGGGATGAAGACCAGCTATTTCGTGACGTAGTAATATTATTGACTACGTATATCTTACTTCGCCAGAGAACTTAAGTCTTATATCAGCAAGTCTAGTATATAATTTTACGAATCACGTATACATATGCCATGGGCGTTGTTGTATGCTTACGAGATAAACTAAAATACAGCTCTATAAAATATTAGACCGCTTAGTCTTGAACTACGGTTCTGAGACATTGACACCTAGTCGGTGAAATGATCTTATAGCTTAGTCAATGAATGATTATAGAATGAAACAACGGGGAAACTATTATATCAGGAAAACTATCCATCATATCGACAAAGACGTTGTATACAAAATAAAGGTAATAAAATTTGCAATATGATTGATTATATATCTTTTTATCCGAGATAACCGTCCTCCACTATCGCTAATTTGAAAAAAAAAAATTGTTTACCTCACGTTTTTTACTCGTATTTGACTAGTTAACTCTAATAAACTGTAGATTGTTTCATTCTACGATTAAGTCACGAGGAAGAAAGTTTTTAATAATTAAATTTTCTTCTAGAATATATATTATAACGGGTGGATCTACGAGGGGAAGGGGTCTTCGGGCTGAAGCCCTCCCCAAAATGGGAAAATATAACCATGTTTTATCGAAAAAAATATTTTAAAATTACCTCTTAAAGTAGTATTGTTCGTGTTATTACATTTAAAAGGACTTTAGGAATCACTTAAACACCATTGCATATAGGTAGTTAGTTTCATTCTTTTTTTCCAAAGTAATTATCGTTATTTTTATGAAAAATAAAAGCTTTCGGGCTGAAGCCCCCCCCCCCAAAATTAAACCCTGGATCTGCTAGTGTATATTATTTTACTAATAGTGGACCACCCCTCTAAGAATTAAAATTAATTTCGTAGTACATCGAAAAGATAAATCATGACACTAAGATAATAAACTGCTATAATTAGTCAACTATTGCTTTTAAGCCACAAATATAATTAATATACTACCTTATATCATGATATAACATGATCTTTAAAGTTAGTTTGGAGCTCAAAATATCTCATTTGTTACTCTTTGTATTGAATAATAAACCTGCAAGAAAGGTTACTTTATCATTTCAGGTTTACTATTCTGGTCAGAAATTAGTTGGTTTCATAATTGGAAACCAACTGAAGATTGTTTCTCAAGATGACAGGACTTTTGAAGTAGGTTTATCATGCTATTTTATTGAAATTTGCTGTATTAATCTGGATGACAAATAAAATTCTTTCTTTTAAAGGGTAGGAACGAAATTTGGCATAGTTGGAGGAACTATATATTTCAGTAGCAAATGGGGTGTGTGGGGTGATAGTTCACACTCTGTTAAAATTTACAAGGATTTACATAGCCTAATATCACCTTATGTGCAAGATATTCCAGTAGAGGTAATACTGTTTTCCTGTATATATAAATGTTATATATTAGCATCGGTATTAGAAATAGTTATGAAATGTTACAGGTTCCAGAATTGCCTCGTATAACAGATATTACTTCGTCAGCTAAAAATTATTGGAACTCCGGTGTTTTGAAGAGTGGTCATTTTCTCTTAGAGCTTCCAGGAATTACTTCCAAGTTTGTTAAAGACAACTACTCTTCATTAGTGAACCAAATCAACTCGTCTAATGACAGTTCTTCTACCTAGTGGTTCGTTACAGTTTTGTCATAGAAGAAATACAACTAGATTTTACATCTGTTTTATATAATTGGCTTCCAATTAAAATGAATCAACTATTTTTAATCGTTATGTTCTATTCGAAGTAATAGATAATATTTACTGGTTGTTTGGTGTTTAAAATCTGTTATGAAAATGTTTGGAAGAATATTTTTTCATTTCACATATGGACGTTATTCAAACGGTAAGATGGAAAGTTAGTATTTAGACTTGAACATATTGTAAATATTAATTAATAATTAACTCTTTAGTTATGAAAGTGTATTCTATTCTCATCAATCCTGTTAATTCATCTTTAGGATAATTTAATATATAGCTTGATGAATTAGATGCTATTTTAGTTTGTCGTTCAGTGGATGCAGTTCTCTGGCATAGACCATGAGCCAGGGTTTATTTTGATAGTGAAGTGGTGATTTTAATACTTCATTTAAATCGAGGAAATCTATGTTAAGGTACTATTTCGCTGGCTCGGCCCACGACAGCAACTGCTATTCCAAGCTGCCAACTGCTGTTGGCGTAGCTATTTCGCTGAAACTGCTCACTGGGGTTGTTATAACCTGCCTATAATCTCCGAACATTTCTCTTTATCTTCAAAGATAAAAAACATTCTTTCTCTGACTGAGCTTTTTTATTTGAGGAGGAAGAAGAAGAGGAAATGGTGTTCATAAGGAGAAGGAATATCAATACTTCGATGAGATGATCATCATCCAAATCATCAAATCCCTTCTTGGACATTGTTTGCTATTGTCTAGATAAACAATCAAAAATTGAGGAACAACCAAAAAAGAACAAAAAGGTGGACAACGCCATACTAACAACAATAGTCCCTCTGATATTAGATATTATTAGTTTGAAAAGTAATAGTAATTATTACATAATTGATTAGTAATAAATATCATATATTTGTAATTAAATCACAGCAGACGATGTTATATCATTTTATCAATAGTAATCAGTAAATCCCCACTTTAATTAAAAAATACAAATAGATTTTTCAATGAGTGGATTTTAGTATTTACCTGACGTTAAAATTTGTTGGATTCTTTAATTTATTTAATATCGTTTGGATTTAGAAATATTTGAATTTCGCTGTAAAATATTGTTGGTGGAAGAAATAAATAATCTTGTTAGATCAACCTTTAAAAAATAATTTACTATTGCATTGTTTAAGTTTTAAACAATATTTCTTATAATTTTGCCTGACTTGAAAGAAACATAGGAAATAAAACTTATCAACGTTACTGTTATCATCAAAACAATGCTCTGATGTGATAACATAACCTACAACCGCCAACAACTCCACTGCTTCAAGAGCGGTCAGATAGGAGCAGCTTAGATATGACGTCATACCTAGACTGCCGAGCAGTGCCAGCGAAATAGGTTCCTTTCTATTCTACTAAAGCAGTGGTCAACCGCAAGCAGTCGCGGTCGTGGACTGCACCAGCGAAATAGTACCTATACTAAGGATCAGTGCTCATTGAGGTGCAGGAAAACCCCACAGGTTCTCTGTCTATTAATGATTGCCAATCTGGCATGTGAAACAGTGCTGCACTGTCCTGCATCTCACTGGTAGGCCTTTTCGTTGACTTTAAGCATTTTTTTGTGCTTTTGATTTTAAAGAATGTTTTTAGATTTTCAACTTATTAGAAACATTAATTTGAAGTATGCGGAGAAGGTTAAAATAACTAAGAAAAAAATTTAATAGTAAAAACACCTTTATTTGATTTTACATAGCTTAGATCTTAATTACTAAAAATACAGCAGATCAAGTAACTTTATTTTTTTTAAATATTTGTGAATAAAAGCATTGCAGATCTGAAATAAAATACATCAGACATTGACTGAATCTTGAATAATGAATCTTGTAAATTTTCTTTATGAAATCTCAAATTTTCAAGTTCAGAATTCCAATAAATTGTTAAAATACACAAAACAAAACAAAAAAAAAAAAAAAAAATTAAAGTGAACTTACAAGTTAGTCCAATAGACTTTTTAACATGTGGTCACAACAAATATATATAACAGCTAAATGAAGCTAGAATTTTTATTTAAGTTTAAAAAAAAAAGTCTTATAATTGAAACCATTCCCAGTTTAGTGTTCTCATTATTTAAAGACACACTTTTAACATTTAATCTTTAAATATTTTTTCTCATTTTCCGCTTACAACTTTTCCATTAACAAAAACTTTTTTAATATTTCTGTCATCTCCACAGTAAATAAACTTTTGGATGAGGTCACTGATATCGTGTGAAGGAAATACACCAGCTGGTGATCCTAAATTCATGTCTATCAGTAGGGCATCAAAGCATTTCCCAATCTCAAAGTTTCCAATTTGATCCTCTTTGGAGAGAGCTATAAAGAAAAATGAACCTTTAAAACAGAAATAGTCTTATGTTTCTAAAGCTAGGCATTCATAGTCTGATCGGTAATAGCGAAATCAGTAGTATAGGTCTGATAAATTGAATGCTGATTTCTTTAAACAGATACAAAAAAATCTGCTACGCGCATCACAAAACTTTCACTTACCACTCTTCTTAGCAGAAATAAGTATTTTCAGACAAAGGAAAGTGAAAGTAAAAACTATAGATACTATATTTATTTATATTTCATTTTATTCATATTTATAAATAATACCAACGATAGCATTTATGAAAACCGCATATGTATATGTCAGAGTCTGTGTTGTATTAAGCTTATGTTATGTATGGAAGCTTGTTCTAATCGCTCGGGCACGCTATTATTCCTTTGGTTCCTCCATTACAACAATTAAACGTTACGATCTCTCATTTATCCTTTGATTAATTATCAAATTCTTTCATATTTTATATTTAACTATTTTTTATATCAAAGATTAATGTGAAATAGTAACGTAAGTTACTAAGTTACAAAAAAATTTGTTTTGTATGAAACAATCTTTATCAAGGTTTTAAAACTTATATGTGAAGGAACTTTTTTTTTTTTTTTTTATGAGTAGGATAATATTATAACTCAGTTTCTTGGAAGCAAATACATCAGAGTCTATAATAATGTATGTTGTGTTGAATTAGGGTCAAATCTATCTGAAAAATTCCAAACTTCTAAAGGACTTTTGCAGAGATGCTGCCTTTCTCTTATCCTTTTTAAAATATGGATGTTGCTCTCAGAGAGTGAAAAAGGAAATGTGGGGAAATGGGAATAAGGATTAGGGAAGATGCATCATGAACCTAATATCTGCAGGATGAAGAGGACATCGATTATATGTTCAGAAACGTTGTCGAGAAACATGAAAAGTGAGGGTTGAGTGTATTAACTTTAAGAAAACAGAGCACCTTGCCACTTCATCTGATGGCACGCTAAACAGTAGAGAAATTTAAATGTCAATATTTAATAGAGAAGGCATTTCCACCAACAATATCGACAGGAGAATTGGTGAAAGAAGAAAAGTCACGGCAATACTCAAATCGTATCCTTTGGAGCTCGAATATACAGCACAGTACCAAGAGGCTAATATACAAGACAATATTTGCCTTGGAGATATGGGTCATCAACGCAAGACGCTGGAAAAGACTATTAGCAGTAGAGATGGGCTTTTGGGGAAGGGCAGCAAGAAAATTCAGAAGAGGAAAAATTAAAAATAAAAGAATTCGGGGCTGATGGAGGTGGAAAGAAACATTATAGCAAATACTGAGAAGAAAAGATTATGCCGGTTTGGGAATGTCAAAAGAATGACACCTGAAAGCTTGCCAGAGTTATGTATGGAACTGGAAGTAGAAGGGAGAAGGAAAAAAGGAAGAACAAAGGTAAAATGGAAAGACACGATGGAAGAAAGCCTGGCAGGGCCTGGCATAGAAGAACGAGCCTTAGATAGAGAAGGTTGGAAGAATATCTTGAATGATTTTTAGGTCAAGGATTTTATAATAAATATCAATACCAGAAGATAATAATAATAATTTAAACCTAATTAAAAACATTTATTACAAAATTTAGTTACCTTTCGCTCCGCCTAATGTGGCTAGATAAAACCCCTCATGATAAGTGAGAGGTTTATATTCAGGTTCTGTAAATGATATATGGATCGATGTAGTCAATGCTGAACGTATTGCATCGAGTATATTTAAATTGCCCCCTCCAGATACGTCTGTAAAACAGTTTTGGTTCTTTTTATTAAATTATCTTTATTAATAATTATCATATTTAAAAACTAAACAAATAAATGTTAGTAATCCATATCCAGTGCTGTTTTAGAAATGGACAAGAAGGTAGTTATGACTCTACAAAGATATGGATTGTTACAAAAAATAAGGAGGCCTTCTAGGTTATACAGAATATCAGGATCTTATTAAGATTAGGAAAGTAAAATGGGGTAAAGATGAAAAATGTTCAAGATGTGCAGTAAAAAAATTAGTTTGCAGATGTTTTGACCGAAACATATGGATCATTATCAGGGCTAAGAAGAAAACAATACAAAATTATGTCATAAAATGATACATATAAAATTATAAGAGAAGAAATGGATGGAAGTTCAGTTAACATATATATATTAAAAAATAACAAAATATAAATAATAATGTCATATTATTAAAATGATTAAAGAATTTATCAAATTTTGACCGTAAGCTCAATTTATTTTCAATTCTTAACTCAAAAATTCATTTTTTTTTCCCAACAGATACAGATAAAATAATTTAATATTTTCACACCATCACCGTTACATTAAATTCTCACAAGCCAAATTTACAAAAGTTGTTAATCACCGTTGTTATAACTTATTCATTACCTGTTCCGAGACCAATCTCAACACCTGCCTTCCAAATATTTCGTACAGGGCACAGGCCACTTTGTAGGAGAGAGTTCGAACTAGCACAGTGAGCAATGGAGGTACCGCAAGAACTCAAAATTTTACAATCTTCTTCACTTAGATAAACACCATGTCCCAAAATGGTCTTTAAATATCAATATGTATATTTTTACAATAACTATTATTACTACTAAAAGCTCAATAAGCAGTGTTATTACAAATTTGTTTACTTTATTTGTCAATAATCCTGACTTATGGTAGATGTCAGTATAATTTTTAAATTCTGGAAACAGTTCCTCGGTATATGTTATTTCACCTTTAGATTCACATATGTGAGTCTGCAAGAAAAAAAAATTAAAAACTAAATCATTCTTAAAATGATAATACAATAAACTCCCAATTATCCATGGAGTGCTGCCATTGTATTGGCGAGGAAGGTACACTAGATTATTTGTGGCTATAATAAGAAGAAAAACAGAATATAAAATAATCGAATGACATAAATAATATAATTCGGATGAAAAATGGTCAGGTTGTGCAGACATAATATTATTTTTGCTGAGTTTCCTGATGTTTCAACCCAAACATGTGGGTCAGAGCTAAAAATAAAAAAATAGAAAATAACATCAGAAAAATGTTATATATGCAAATACAAGAGAAGAAATAGGTGGAATGTACAAATGAGATAAAGGTTGCATCAACATAACAATAATAAAAATACCTTCTGACTATTATTTCCGGCCTCAATATGTATTTTCTTTTTTTCTCCAACATTCAATTCTTTCACACAAATACAATGAAATAGTGTTTTTAACAATGGTATTTATTACCTTGATTAGGTGGATTTTAAATACTTTTTCTTTACATTTCGTTAGTAAATTTTATTTAATGTCCTTGAAAACATGTGATTAATGTTAAATAATATTAGTTTTTAAAAAGTATTATTTTATAATTTTTTCGCCACTCTCAGTTACCTTCTAGAACATTCTATATTAGATATTGTTTTTTCTAAAATTCTCCCCTCTTATAGTATAGCAATACTTATCCTTACTATATATTTCATATATAGGTAAGTAAAAGTAAAAAATAATTAGTGTAAATAAAACAATGCATAGAAGTAAAAATTAACAAATATGAAAAAACAACGTAGATAAATAGATAATAATAAATATAAATGTTTTTTAACAATTTGCAAAACAGGCAAGGAAACATCATAAACTCAAACATAATTTTTTACTGCACATCCTGGCCATTTTTAATCCTTACTAATTCAACAATCAACTAACTATATACCCATCTCTATAATATAATAAGTATTCATTTGTTTTATAATCTTCCTTCTACTGGATTATAAGTCATGAAGGAAAGAAAACTTTTTTGCCCAGAACTCAAAGCACAATTTATGGTTCATTGTATCATCTATTGGAAAAAGTCACTAAGTGCATTTTTGATACAAGTTAAATTTCAAATGTTTTTGTTAATTTCGACCTAATTTGGCTATACAAAAACCACGCAAATGACACAAACCCCTTTTATTTATGGTATATAGTTACACTAAATGTAAAAATTTTTAATTTCACAACAGGAAAATTCATCAAAGTTCTTAATTATTTGAGGTTATGAAATGTCACTTAATGACTTTTTACAATAAACCAATGATAGATAAAACCTGAATAAAACATTTGAAAGATGATTGAATTATCTACAAAATGAAAAAAAAAAAAAATAACTGGGTACATATATTTTGGTTTATTATTTTCAGTAATGAACCTTTGTAATCAACAAAAAAATTAACCAACCCCTCTCAAAATTTTTACTATGAAACTTGTACATAATGGACAACTTTTTACAATAAAACTGACATTTTTAAATGCTTTTCAATCTAAAATACCTTATATTAATAAATACTTTCATTTACTTATTTTCATGTAATATTATCATACCGTGACTAACCAATAAACATCAAAAAAATTCCTGTAGGATAAATGGTTTACCCTTTTAGTTATATTAAATTATAGTTAACAATTAACCACTTACCTGAATATATGTGTTGTATTTTTTAGCCAATTCTCCTAATCCTTTTAAAAGATCAAAATTGCAAGAAACAGCAAATCTTGGGGTAACGGCAGGCTCCACGAGAGGATTCTAAAAATATTGATTGCTCGAACTTACAAGTCATAATTAACATGGAATTTAAAAATAAATTAAAAATGTATTGGGTCTGACAAAGGCAGGTAAGTATTTATTCTGTTACATCAGCCATGGAATCAGAAGACTCTTCTGGGGCACATCCAGCCTTTTTAAAATGGGTACTCTTAATTAAGTAATTAATGGAGGGGGGAAACCTGCAAAAAATGTTGTTCTTGAAATAGTACTTTCTTACTAAGTATTGAACCCATGACCCTTCATAGGTTTTGGTGGTATTGTTTTTTTGTTTTCTTAAATCTACTATCTGCGCCATCATTTTCTGACATTTTTTATCAACAAATATTTGTAAATCCTTTCCCATAGCAGTGTTTATCAATTGCTTACTCCTTTACCTCTATAATCATCGATCTAACTCTTCAATGTTAAAGCAAAAGGTGTCCTCGACCTCTTCCTGCGAGAAATAGCCAGAGATTGCTATGGTATCAAGTTTGTTACACACAAGCGTAGAAAACCATTTGTACAGGCTGTTATATTTCCTTCCTTAATGTTTGAGTCTCTCACTCTCTAACCGAAGTCAACTTGGCAACTCGCATTTGAGTTTGCGATTCACTACGAAAATGACCCATTTTTGAAAAGGTTAGTAACAGGAGATGAAAAATGGATATTTTATGATAATGTAGTTCGTAGAAAATGTCAAAACCCGGATTGTATCCAAAGAAGAGGAGAAGGCTTTCTATTTGGTGGGATTTCAAGAGTGTTTTTCTATGAGCTATTGCCATCAGGACAAACAATTGATTCAACTCTATACTGCTCACAATTAACAAAATTGAATCAATCAATTAAAAATAAACGCCCAGAACTGGCAAATCGGAAGGGTGTTGTGTTCCACCAAGACAACGCTAGGCCCCACACCTCGCAATAAATTATTTAGCCTTGTATGGGACCTTTTGTCCCACTCTATTTATTCACCAGACCTAGCTCCAAGTGACTACCACTTATTCCGGTCCCTGCAGAACTCTATGAATGGAAGCAAATTACAAAAGGAAGAGAACATCAAAAACCACTTGGATCAGTTTTTTAATAATAAACTCCAGACATTCTATGAACATGGCATTGTGCAGTTAGTAAAAAGATTAAATAATAGTCAATATATTGTAGATTAAAATAAATTTTACTTCTATGATACATTGAGTTTTATTTCACCCTGATAAAGGACTTATTTGCCAACCCAATAGATTAAATATCACAATTATTAAAAAATATGAATAATGTAAAGAAGGTTGTTTATCATATTTATTTTTGACTGAACACCACAACCAACTTCTCTTCAATAAATAATTAACTTACATTGAGTGCTTTAACTTTTTCTATGAATTGCTTAGTGTCCGCCAAAGAAGCCTCTGTCGTTTCTATGTACTCAGGAAAAGAATTTTGATTCATGTTAACCTTACCGACTATAGCTCTTTGACCAAACCTCGAAGCTATTTCTGCCAAAATAAAAGAACTCTCTTCATGAATAGTGCCATAATAGCAAGCTGTGGTCGTACCGCAACGCAATGTAGATTTCTGAAATTTAAACAACACAGTTCTATAAGTGTATCATTGATGAAATGAAAGCATAAAAAATATACCAAGGTTACAATTGCATAATGCTCTTGATAATTAGATGATAAAATAGCCAAGAAATATATCATTTATTGCCAAAAGTCATTAAGTCGATTTATAAGATACGTCAAAACAAGTGTTACGTTTGTAAGGATAATGGTCTTGAAATTTAATTTTTACAGATATTTTATAAATTAAAGTGGAAATAAACATTAGTGGATGTGTCACTTAGATTGTATAAATACATAGGGTTTCTAGCAAAATCTTTATATGAAATTCTCGTGTCTTTTTCAGATCCTCGAAATACTAAATTTTTTTAAACTGATATTTATCAATTACTTTATTATATAAATACTGCAAAAATTTCTAAAATTCAAACTTTCCATACAGAAGTTTAAAAAAAAAAACAGACCTACCGCTCTATGTGACAAACGACTTGATAAACAAAGATTACGACATCCAAACGGTTTCAGATACTGCAACACAATATGATAAAAAATTCCACCAGATACTGACTTACAACATAAACCCATTAGCCCAAGCACGTATTTCCATCATGAACCACTACATCCCACCTTGACGACTTACGAGGTAGTGACCCAAAGATTTTCTTACTTAATATGTAATGTGCACAGATTTTCTTATTGCAAAAACTTTGCAGATGGAAAATTTCTAAACCTGCCTAACTTATACCCCCGCTTAAATAATAATAACAATTTGTTAAATAAAAGATACAATATTTAATATTTTAAGAAGTGTAATAATGGAGGGTTTATAAGAAAATTATAAATTTTTATGATATATCTTTCCAAGATATTTAAGAAAAATTAAACAGCTTCTCTTTAAGTTAAAATAAAAATATGAAAGCATTCTCTTTAATAAAAAAAAAAAAAAAAAAAAAATACCAATTATCTTTATTGGCACAGAACCATTTTAAAAAGGTTTAAGAATTAGTGAAAAAATAATTTGTTATTTATGGTCTGACATAAATCAAGTGATGAATTATGTTCTTTGTTATCAATGAATAAATGAAAGTAATTTATTTTATTCTGATCGCTTTAGAATAATATAACTGCACAATTGTAAGACATTTTTCTGTCAACAGACAATAATTATGAAATAAATAAATTAAAAAATTAAGAAATTAAATTATACAATAAAATACAAGTATAATTTCAATATTATCTCCACAAATTCCTTCTCACATCTCAAAATGACATTGTACAATGAAATAAATATTGTGAAACAGATTTTGACTGAGGTGAATGGTTGTTGAAATCGTTTGAGTTTTAATTTTAAAAATCAACCCATGCTTATATTATTATTTTATTTTTTACCTGATTTCTGTTTTTCATTTCATTTAAATAATGTTTTTTTTTTTTTCAAAATGATGTTACTTTTTATTTGTTTTAATAACTTTCACTGAAGATACTGTATATATTCTTTAATTTTTGGCCAGATGCAGTTTTTTTTTTTTGTTCATAATTGTTATTCATAAGGGACCTTGTCCCGGAATAAAAATTATTTTCTATCTATCTATCTATCTATAAGTAAATGAGTTTCTATGAGGAAAATAAATGCCTAAAAATGGAAAATAATGTCAGGCATTATTGGTATTAACAAAGAAAGTTAATTTTGTAAAGTAAACCATTAGTCTAAATGCCAGAACCTGGATAAGCTAAAAAAATTAGTAAAATAACTAAATAATAGGGTGTATAAAAAATAATGACCGTTTTCAACCAAATATTTGTATTATTATTTCTTTGATATAAAATACAATTAATACTAAAAGTATAGTCCATTGTTATCTACCGCCATTAGCCATCTGCTCAATCCCATGCTGATACCATTCCTTGGGATGGCTGTCAAAGAACTCTTGGACCGCAATTTCAAATCCTGCAATATTATCAATTTTTTTTCCTTGAAGAAAATGGGCCATATATTTAAATAAGTAGTAATCTGATGGTGCGGGTTTGGACTATATGGTGGATGAAGCAGGAGTTTTTCACGCAAGGGTTTTTTTCTACAAATTTCTATCCTCTTAGCTGATTGCTGATTGAGGGACCAGTCTACTGCTCTTTTTCACCTTCCCCATGGAGAGTAGATGACGACTAACAGTATCTTTTGACACACCACACTCCCTGGAAAGTTTGCGAGTAGTTGTAGACAGATTTGACTCAGCACAGTGCAGTATTCTGGTCAAAAACACCTTCTCCTTCATATTTAATAATTTTTATGAGTTGCATCAGCGGCTGTGATGTTTTTTTCCAGTGATGCCTTAAAATTACGAGAATTTCATAGGACACTATCATGGTTTTTCTTTGAAACAAATAACTAAACTGAAGCTTTTTTTTTAAGAAGTCAAACGGGATTAAACAAGCTTTGAGGATGCTCTAAAGGGATTATTTAGTATTAGTAAGTATTAAATAAATAGGATTACAATATTTACAGTCCTTTGAAATATTGAATTTGATAAAACGGCCATTTTTTTTTTTTTTTTTATACATCCTATTAATAAAAAAATAATTAAAATGAATAAATAGTAAACAAGTAAAATAATGACACGCTAATTTCTGGTATTGATAAAGTAAATTAATTTTGTGACGTAAACCACTGGTCTAAATGACAGAATTTAAGTACCCTGTAAATAATTCTATTTTTAGAAACAATATGACAAAAGAAATAGTTTTAAATATACTCACTACTACATTCTCATACACCTGCTTTGCGAAATCAACATCACCATATCTCATTTCCAACGGCCAAGTGTACAATCTCAACCATTCCAATAAAGGTTTGTCATATCCCAGTCCAATATTTGGATATTGCGGGGCATGAAGATGAATATCTAGGAATCCGGGACATAGGAACTGACCTTTATCAAGGTTTATAACTTTGGCCTTAGATACATTAATTTGGTTTAGATTTTTTAAATCTCCATCTTTTGCAATATCTACTATCTGTAAATTTTATAAGTTTATGAAATATAATTTAACAGGATACAAATATATAGAAACATCCATAAATGATCCAATCTATTTAATGTTGTATAGCAAAACTAGTTGAAATAACAAACATACAAACAATAATAATTCTTAAATGATCGATCTGTACGAAGTCGAAAATCACATCCAGTAATAGTTCTAAATCGCTACTCCAAGATGGCAGCAGATTTCAAGATTACATTAAGCTCACTGTAGACAGATTCCTCCAGTGTTTTTGGGCCGCGGGCAGCATTGGGACCTCAACTAAGTTCGGTCACACGGGCTATGACTTGTGATGAAAAAAAAAAAATATGTTTTTTGTATAAATGACACTTGATACTGTGAAATCTCTCGATTGAGTAATTTGCTAAATTTCACATTTTAAAAAAGTTTTTCAAATTTTGTTATGTAATCAAAGAAATATTTAATTATTTTGTTATTACTATTCTTATTTTTTTTATTCTATCATTTATTCTCCTTGATATCATATGGAATACCGAGGTAGATGGCAAATTTTTTGTGAGCCAGGAATATGTTTAACTAATAAATAAATCAAAGAAACTTTCACGGGCCGTAATTTGGAGACCCTTGCTTTAGAGTATTAACTGTTATGTTCAAATAAGATAAGATCCCCTGTATAATGTAATAGTATTATTAAGTATAATAATATTATCTGATAATAATTGTTCAATGTAGGATTCAGAGAAATATGTTTAAAATATAACCTTAATTTTGATTGCCCTTAATTCCTAGCCTCTTAATAAACGTTATTTGTAGTTATTGTGCTTGATAATCCAAATAAGTACAGGAGATCGTGATTATCATAGGTCAGAAACAATAAAAATTATTGTTTATTATGATATTTATTTTCTAAGAGGAAGAACGTCAGGGGCTAATGTAAAGCTTATACAGGAAATTAGTTAAAATATTCATGGAAGTTCAATCAAAGTCAGAATATTTTATAAAACTTATTATTTTTCAAACTAAAACATTTTGATTACTATGATCCTTAACAATATTATATAGCATTCCTGTCTCCTTAATCCCCCCAAAAAATTACTTGTTGACAAAAGGCTAGCCAACATGTCTGTTGAGTACTTAACCCTTAAACAACGATGGACTCATATATGTCATGAGGGAATCAGGCACCGGCGACTCATATATGAATCGAGATGGTACAGTGCCCTGGTGACAGTTGACTCACTTAAGAGTCAGGAATCGGTCGGGCTCTTTCTCATTAAATGATAGTGAGTTTAGTGATGAAATTTATGTTCAAACTATCTCATGGTCGGAGACAGTAGGAAAATTTCCTTTAGCTGCAGATCTTGGGCACTTTGGAATGATGCCCTAAATAAAAACACAAGAGTGGTCTACTTAGTAAATGTGACGAAAAGTATTCTGTATTGTGGGCACGAAAAAATCGGCTACTTCGAAATGTTCTCAAGATTACTGAACTCTTCCTGCATCATCTTCAGCAATAGGTTAAACAAGAAATGAATGACATGGGGAATAGAGCAGACCTAATGTAAACATTTTTCTGTTTAAGTGAAAACCAATTTATCCTCTTAGAATTGAAGATAATTTATTAATAATGGTTTTAAATATGATTTTGGTCACATACGTGATCTAGAAACCAGCTGCCATCTTGGAGTTGTAATTCAGAACTAATATCTCACATACTGGTTTTCATGTATTTTATGTAGCTACACCAGTCATAAAGTACTTAATAAATAAATAAGTTCAAGTTAAATTAAATTAATATGGTAGTATGTTTTACAAATGTCTTTTAAGTTCTATAAATATATAAGTACAAATGAGGAGGCCAAAAGCCAAGATTTTTTTTCTTCAAAATTTGGTAAAGCGCAGAAATTAACAATAATTATTTAATTTTATGTATAAGATAAAAGATTCAAGTATAAAAAGTAAGTTTTGTCACTGCCAAATGTAATTATATTACATTTTCAAAATTATTTCAATAATCTTGAGACAAATTAGACTTCTTAAAAATAAAAATAATTCTAGGATTATTCTAAATTTAATCTTAAGGACCTGGTAGTTTTAAGCCTATAAGCTAACATAAATAATCTTAAGGTGAGATAAGAAAATAATAAATTATCTAGGATAAAAAAATTACCTATTTTATAGCACTGTAATTTTCCAATAAAAAGTTTTAATGAAAATAATTCTTGGATTATTCTAAATTTAATCTTAAGGACCTGATAGTTTTAAGCCTATAAGCCAAAACAAATAATCTTAAGGTGAGATAAGAAAATAGCAAATGATCTAGGATAAAAAAAATTACCTATTTTACAGCACTATAATTTTGCAATAAAAAGCTTTAATGAAAATAATTCTACATTTAAATTTTATATTAAAATTTATTTTAATTAAGAGATGTAATATATGATAATTATATCCCTTCATATGATCAAGAGAATTCAAAATAATTATTTAATCAACAGGTGTTTGTAATGACAACAATCACAAATAAAAAAAATACAGGAGTAGTAATAGCATTTTAAAAAATTAATATATAGACTTTGAAGAATAATTGATTATATTCTAGTCATTTAAATGTATTCCACTAAAATAATTATATATTTGAACCATTGCCTGTTGTTACTCACTTTTCCATCTTTGACAGCGATTGCTACTTTAGGAAAACAAGTTATTTTTTCAGGAGTTTCAGAATGGACAGCAGGCCCAACAAAAATATTTATTTCCTAAAATAAAAAAAAATAAATAACAATGGTAAAACATGAAGTCAACAAATAATAGTACATAAATAAAATATAGAAACGCTTAAATGAAACACAGTCCATTTCGAATGTAGGAAAATTAACAGATAAAATGTTTAAAAAATAATTAATACGTAATCAATACTTACATCCATAATCAATCAGAATACCGTTGGAGAGTAGATAAGAAGTGATAACGGGTCCCATCACCGTTATCTTTTAAGTTCTTATCAAGAAAGAGGTATGTTACATAGAGGTTTCTGCCAACAACCTAGTAAAGAATAAGATGTTTAATTGTAAAGTTTCCATTAGACATTGCACCAACTATGGGAAACAATTAAGTAACTTAACTAAGAGTGACATTACTGCTAAAACAAACTATTTATTTTATTTATCTTGATACCGACATCAGATGGAAAATATCAAAAACAAAAATACTAGGGCAGTGAAATATTTATATATTTGTTTGTACCTTAATTTGTGAAATGTCTAAACGCACCATTAGAGTTGGATAGAAATGGGCTATTCCATAATTGATTCCACACCATTGTCGAAAAAGTGATAGCTCGTAACTGCCAGAAAAAAAGAAGAAGGGAGAGAGGGAGGAATCATTGATATCTTAAAACAGTGCAACTTTAAAATTTTTTTTTAATATGTTTGGTTTCAGGTCAAATAATTTTAATTGAACTTTATGATTTTATATAAAGCATTTGCATTTTCGTAAATCGAATCAATAACAAACAAATCATATTTAACGAACACATTTTTCCGTTTTTCAAATGTTTATATAGTATTTTTTTGCACAGTCTGTTCTTTTGTAATACAGGCTTGGACAGAATTTTATCAGCGATCTCTTTATAAGGTTCTCTGCAATAGATCGAGTTTTATATCATTTTGATGGACCGATAGGACTCGTTAATACCAACTCATACACTGCTTTAGCAAAAATTTAAAAAATAAATCATTATTCATGTTACACGTTTCCAACCATTGTTCCATCTTCTTAGCGTCTTTTAAACACCACTCTTTTCTTCTCCTATTTTATCTGTAATCTATCGCATTAATTTAAACAAGATTCGCAAAGCTGTAACAAACATACACTGTATTTAATAATTTATTATTATTGTATAAAGAAAATTCTTTTGGTATGAGGAGCCCCGGGCGAATAGACATTTTTTTCAAAATATTAAACTTTTAGATCAAAGAAGTCAAGTATATAAGTGGGAGTAATAGTTTTTTTCATCAGTACAATGAACTCTTTAGTTCACTTTAAAATATAGTTTGGAGGAATCTTATCATGAACGAACTAAGTATATTGACTATTTCAAAGAATTGGCGGTGCCATAGGATCAAGTACTATTGGCCGTTAAAAAGTATGTCATATACAGTCGGAGATTATAATCGTTCTCTACGATTTCTTTTTCTAAATAGTTCATTTGAACTACTTCTTTACGGGCCTTAAATATTCCTAGCCAGATAATATATTTATCACGTATAAGATTATAGATGGGTTAATGGGCTGCTTCCTTAGTTCGTCTTGACACACTTTCCAGTAGTCACTCACTCGCTAAAAAAATATTAAATCAGCAATGAAAATGATTATCATAAATAAAGAAAAGTCTTAACAATTACTGCATCAAAAAGCCACGTTAGACTCGAAACATTGCTTATATTTTTGGACGTGATTTCTAGATATTTTGAAATATCGAGATAATCATCGTATTTTCTGTTTTGTAGCCTCTTGTTTCCATCTAAATGCGAAGTGTTAGATTCTCTGGAACCAAAACCTATCAGTTCCTACGTCCTGTAGGCATCATTTATGCTGCTTGTTCTGATTATATATTATGTTTTATTTCCATCAAGAAATAATGGAAGAATTTGATTAACCAAAGTCCTATCTGATATCTTGGTTCCTTTGTGTAAATGCTTGTGCAGGAATTAAGATCCTTCTATCACTAAGTCTTGTGTGATAGCAAATTTGGCAAAAATCCATCCCATTTCCATTGCTACTATCATGCAGACTATGTCTCCCTGCAATGATCTTGTATCACATGTAGGACACAATTTCAAATTTCTATAAGATAATAGAAGTCTTTTTATTGATCTTCTGAGACTTCAGTAGGTGTATGAACGCTGAGAAGACTATAATTTAACAATTTTCTCTGGAGCCAGAAGTAACAAATATAAGGGCTAATAACATGAAATTCGATTACTAGTTATCAGTGCCTTCATCTCACTATGATTCCTGTTAACTATCAAATGATGTTTCTTTACGAGTATGCCCTGGCCAGTCCAGTAATTTTCTGTCGAGTTGATCTAGGAGCTAATTGAGAGCTCCAGGTTGGTGCAGAGATAATATATTCCATATTCCTAAGTTACTATTTCTATAGGGGTTGCCGGGCTGTTTATTTAGTTTACTATTATTACCCGAGATTGTTTGAGGTTTCACGAAATAGATAATTTTTCAGATGCTATCAACCCCGAGTGCATACCCCAGTCTGCTGTTGCGACTGCAGATCTGCATTCTCTTCCTGAGAGGGTTCTATAGAAGGTCCTAGGGTGTGTACTGTTCCCAAAGAGGGGCAGTGATTGACTGCGGTACAATGACCGGACAATGGGGTTACCATTTACCTACACTTTTAATTATTTGTATTCTAAAAAAAAGTTATGTAAAGTAAAAATAAAACAATAAGTGGGCTTAGATTATAGATTTTATATTTCCTTTGATTGAGCAGATAAGTACAATTACCATTTATTAGTAATTGGTAATTGGTTGACTGTCGTGGATAATGAAGAGAAGAATAGTTGGGGTGGTCAGTCACAAAGGAAGGCAAAAATAAATGATAATATTTATTTTTACATATGCCGACGTTTTGACCTGAAGTTCAGGGCTAAGAAAATAACCAGATAACAAGGTATGAGAAATATAAATAGTGATGGTAAAAAAAAAAAAAAATATATATATATATATATAAATAAAATAATAAAAAATAAAATAAATAAATATAAAGTAAAATGAAATTGTTAGATACAAAGTATGGAATGATGAAGTAGTTATAATCAAAAAGGGTGACATAACTGTTATCATTTATTTTTGCCTTCCTTTTTGACTGACCACCCCAACTATTCTTCTCTTCATTACCATTTATTAGATTTACTTTTTGGTGAAATGAATTGCTTTAACAAAACTTTTAAGTAAAAGTTTTCTTAAAACAGTTCTGTTAAAACAAAAATTCATTGGATTAGAACTCATTAAAAATAAAAGTTAACTTTCCATTTGAAGCAACTAAACATCTGGCAAATACATTGTCGGTATATTCCAAAAAGTCATTAAGTAAAATTAAATCATTAAGTAATTTGAAGTATTTTCTCTCCATTAAATCAGAACATTTAATATATTCGTATGGACTTGTCTTATTTTGATGCAGTGAATATGTCTTGGCAGAGAAAAATATGAGAGAAATTCATAGCTATGAACATAAATGTTTAGCTCCATTAGAAGTGAACTTAATGACTTTTTGCAATAAACAGACGCTATGGTCCAAGAAAATCAAATTTTTATTTATAATTTTTTCACCTTTAAATAATAAAAACTAAATAATTTTTTTTTGTTAAAACAATATAGCAAAGACAGAATTTTTGTTAATCATTTGGGTAACAGATTAAAACAATGAAATATTAAATAGATATATTTTTAATAAAATTTATATAAGCGAGGTGTTTACACTGAAGAATTTATTTACAGTTAAATAATGAGTGCATTTTTACACCTATAAAATTCTGTATCTTGGTTGGCTTTATTTCAGAGGATATCAGTCTCTTAGTGGCAGTATTACGTAAATTTTAATAGTTATCTGAAAAAAAAAAAAACTTCAATTAATTAATACAACGCTAATTAACCTAGATGACATATAATAACAGAGTAGCTTTCTCAATAAGGAATGAATCTGAAATTAAGATTAATTATTTGGTGTTTATCCTTGTTATATTGTAACATCTCTCTTATATTTTACAAATAATAATAACATAACCATAATAATAATTAATAATAATAAAAATCATAAAAATAGACAATAAAGAAGACTTTTAGGGCTGAAAAAGTGTAATAAAGAAAAGAGTCTCAACTTTATTTGTTTTTAATATGTAGTCTTACCACTGTACTTCTTACTGATGAAATTTCGATCTCAAAAACCTTGTCCTTTTTCAAATATGAATTTTCAAAAACGCTCAAGTCGTTTGCAGCCATTTTTTATGTTATATATCACAAAAGGGACTTAGTGAAAAATTATGAAATTGACACAGTTTATACATCTTAATGATAGGAATGTGAAATACGAATTTGATCATTGAGACTCAACTCGTTCTATTAGTTATAGCTCAACAAATATGGGTGTCTAGTGTGAGTTAGTATCAGTATATTCTACCTACTCTAACTGCGGCGTTTTGCAGATATCAAAACAAAACAAAAACTAAAATTATTATGATGTTTTACTCTAAATTTTTTGTCCTCCCAATATATCTCATAAGTAGTGAGAAAAGTTGTTAAAAAATTGACTACAAAACTAAAACTAACATAAAACGAGACATTTAGCGCAGCAATGCTGTGATAATGAAAAGAGTCTCAACTTTAATTTTTTTTCATATGTCGTTCAATCAGTGTACTACTTGTTGATGAAATTTCAATCTTGATAATCTTGTCCTTTTTTAGATATGAATTTTTATAAACGGCCAAAAGTAATTTTTGACGAGATTTGAATTTCATAAAAGGGACTGAGTGGAAAATGATGAAACTTGTACATTTCATAACACTTTTTAATAAGGACATATAAAACAAATTTAGTGACTGAGATTTAATCAGCTCCAGAGTTATATCATATCAAATATGTCTGGAAATTGCATTATTTAAACGATAAATCAGCAGATGAAATTGAGGCACTGAATTGAATTATAGTTAATCATTATACAAATTCTATGGTAAGTATATAATTTCTTGCTTCATTGACAGCTACTATCACATCAACTGATAAATGTAACAGCCTCAACAGTGAACTGTCACCTTAAGAACTGTATTTGTGATTGGAGGAGGGTGGGGGGAACACTGTTTTAAAAATCATTAATATGGATATTTAATGTGTAATAATATGTGGAATTAGAAGAACCGATACCTTCAAACTGGTTTCATTGATGAATGTCACTCAATTTTTTTTCTTTCGGTTATAAAAATTTCCAACAAATCCTCTAATTCAACATATTTTATCAATCCTTCAACTGCTTTATATGTTTGACTGAAAAATAAGATAAAACATTATATTTGGTGTCTTCAAGGATCGAAAGATAAGATTAAAACAAATCATAATGTATTACTTATCAACATAAATGACAGAGTTTTTTATTTTATGATTTTGATTGGAAATAAATTATGTAACACCTAAATAATTATGATATTAAATCAGGGAGAACTACATAAAGATAAAAAGGATTCAAAGAAATTGCTTCTTTATTTTAATAGAACCCTTAAATAAGGCTATTTCCAAAAAACTTTGGAGCCAGAAAAGAGTTCTATAGTACATACCTTTCTTCAAGAACTGATATTATATAATGGATTGTTGAACTAAATAAGCCATTTTATTATCAAATATTTGCCATCAGGGATATAAGACTGATATGCAATGATGAAGTCTTGGAAAAATTAGATAATACTTGTGCATAGAAATAGGAATAAAAAAAAAAAAAAAAATGAGACTGGTAGCCAAGAATATTAAAGCATTGCCTGCATAAACATCATAGTCTAATGGTGCTGGTTCGAATTCAGTCTAAGAAGGTTGAAGTTTATTTCACGTTGGTTCCACATAATGAATTTCAACATTCCCATTCTGACTAGAATACGTTAGGTTGGACCTCTAAATCCATATTCAAACAAAAGCTTGATAAACTTTGCATTTATTCCATGTTGTATAAGCCAATACACTGTCAACAAGATGTGAGTGTTGTGAACTAGTTGTCAATATTTAAGGGACATTACAAAATAAATTATCTATTTAAATGTATAATAACCTTGCTTTGAATTTAACACAGGTTCCTCTAAATCATCTTCACTTTTAATATTTTGAATACTAGACTCTGAAGTTTGTTCAAGTGTCTTGTGGCCACTTTTAAAATTTGATTGCTTTTTATGAATGATATAATTCTCTGGTATTTCTTCATCAGACAGGTGATTCATTTGATCACACTTACTTCTTTTGGAATTTTCATTCGTAGGCAGAACTTCAAGTTTACGTTTTGAAGAAGTTTCAGGAATAATGCAGGATAACTTTTCTAAATCCAACATACTAATTTTCTTCGATTCACATATAGACTTATGTTCCAAATGTTCTGTATTATTAAGATAGGCACTATCAATTTGATTAGAAATTGCACTTGACATACCGGGCATACAGTTTATATTAATCCATTCATCTTCAATTTTCTTAGATGATTTGTTAACTGAATTACGGCTTTTATTTTTATTCCTAATAGTTTCATTTTTTAAATCTGATAAAGCTTCTTGTTCTAAAACAAATAATTTTTCTAGACAATCTTCTAAAAAGTGACTGGCTTTATGAAGTAGTCTAACAGTTCTGCAGTTTCCTTCTTCAAAAAACATTGTAAAAAAATAAACAAAATAAAGTGTCACTTAGTTTAAAATTGATTAAGCAAGAAAATATCCAATGAATCCAACAAAAATTGGATGTAAATAGAAACTAATATTACCAACGAGGTTCATTTGCGACTATATTAAATATTTTTGAATATTGGTAAGTTAATAAAGACTATGACGAAACCAGGGAATTCATTGTTGGAAAAAAAATTTTATATCAACTTTTATAAAATAAGTCAAGAATATTTAATGTAAAAAAACACAAGCCCAAAAAAAGAAAACCGTGATGAAGAACAGATATATTGAAGTATCAAAAGTTATATAAAAACTTACGAAAAATCCATATTTGTGTATTTACTTGTAAAATATAAGCTCGGGCTGTGTAAAGATAACGGTAACAATGGATCTGATCTCACTCCGAATTATTTTGAAAAAAAAAAGCAAAGATTACCACATTCCTAAGCATCACTTATTTCTGGATATCAAAGCTGCTTATGACAGTGTACCACGTAAACTTTTTCATCAAGCTCTGATAGAATTGAACATCATAGAGAAAGGAATTTAATTGATCAATTGATTGATTGAATTGAACAAGGCGGAATCCAGTTTGTAGTGCGTGTGCAGGTCGAAATGTAAGTCTTACAAGAATGGCGTTAAGAAGACGCGTGTCTGCTTTTCAACATTGGATTGGAAAAAGCGGTACGAAGTGCAGATAGAGCCAGTGGGGCTGCTTCTGCGTGTGTAAAATACGCCTTGCTTGGAAACCTGATCAACCAAAGATATCAAATCCCGGTGTCGAGGGAACTTTTAACTCTGATAGCCGGAGAGGAGAGGAATGGAAGAAGAAAACAGGGAAAAAAAATTAAGAGATACCCGGATTCAGACAAGTGTTAATTCGTATAGTTCACGCTTTGATTATTATTGGAAGATCACAGGGTGCATTATTAAGAGATGCCTTCCTTGCTCTTGAAGCAACCTTTCGAAATCCTTTACAATGGGTTGGATTATGTTTTAATGCAACGAAAACCAAGAATATGACTAAATATTTCCTTGTCTTATTTAGCTTAGACTTAAATATTAGAAATCTTTACAGTTTCTTACATGATAATTGACCCGGGGTATGCTTATATCCCTATTTCCTTCACTTCACCTTCTTTTCTATCTGGTAGTTTCATTTTATACTCTATCCGGCTATCGGCCATGATTGTTCCTGTGTGTACTCCAGACTTCACCTATAGTTCCAATAAATTTCACAGTATTTCCTGACTTGACTTTTTATTTTGTTTATAGCTAGAAGTTCACGCCTCCCTTGTTTTATTCTGTAGTTCTTCTCTCCCTCCCTACACAAGGGATGTGGTAGCACGTAAATTGCTGATAATTTTGACCGAAATTCCGTTTACAGAGGATACGAAGAGTACGCGATCCAACACACGTAATTTTCTGTAATATTTTTACTGTATTAGAATCGTTTAGCATGAGAATGTCTTAGAGAAATGCTAGATTTTGAAATATTTTTAATTTGATATTAAGCTTTGATATCTAAGTGTAAATATATAAGGTATCATGGATATACCTCATAAGGTTCTTCTGAACCCAGAGTCTATTCTCTGCTGATGGAACAAAATATCAATTTTCTGCAATAAGCCATGTTCGGATTTTGTTATGGGAATGAAAAGAATCCAGTTATTACTAAATTATATTACTATATTCTTTACTGTAGTATTTCAATATCAAATTTTCTTTTTTCTGACTTTTGTTAGATTCATTTAATAATTCATAATAAATAATGATAAACATTGTGTTTTAATCTAAGATCGAAAATATTTTATAGGATTGGACTTATTTAGAATTCTATTTTTTAAATATAATCTTGTTTATTTAAAAAACTTATACATAGGTTGCCGCAACTTTATACCTACATTGAGAAAGGTATGAATTAAAAGATTCGTACTGTTTGATTTTCGTTTTTATAGTAATATATTCATTAATGATTTAATAATAATACGATATATATGAATTTACAACAATACTTTTAATAAATAAATGCATTTTTGTTCCACAGCCTCTAGAAAAGAATAAATACAACCTCGTGGTGGAAGATACGTTTTGGAGGGAGATTATAGGTTTCAGAGTGACCGTTAACGTATTTTGATAATAGAAGGTGATCTATGTTCGTCCAAAGGTCTCGTCGAAATTTAGGATTACCCGGTTAAAATATTTTGCGTCCTTTTTATTTTAATAACTAATTTTAGTCAGGTAAGTCTTTTACAAGAAGTTTTCAAGAATCAATTTCTTTTTACGCCTCAAGTTGATTTTGTTGATTTTTTATTTTGACACTTAAATTTCGGTTCTTAGTTTGTATTGGATATATTTTAAACGATGTATTCATACGTTAAAGTGACAGAATTACATAGATTATATATTGAAATAAAAAATGAATTAATAAAATTCATCATAATTATTATTGGAATTTTGCTGACATAGTTAATCCCCTAAGACTGGCTCTGCAAGTTATAACACACCTATTTGATTAATCTGGATCAATTAAGATTTTTTTCTTTGTAATTTCTAGCTCTATTTAGGTAATCATTACACATTTAATTTTTAGAGGAAGTATTTTCACTGATTTTTTAAATGTACAATTTGAATTTTTTACAGTTTTAAAATTTATTGAACTTTTTAATTTGTTTTTTTTTTAGGCGGTTCATACCTCATTTTCTTAAGGAATAGAACTTTATTGTGCTGTTATTAATTTTATTTTAATACATTTTTTGTTACCTGCAGAAATATGTTAATAAAAATAACTTGTGATAAAATTTCTTAAACCTTTGATATTTTTAGTGTCATAAAAATTATAAATTTAATTATGTTCTCTAATATTTGAAAACCAGATGAAATTCCTTAAGCTCATACGATATATCTAGATCAGCTCTGCTTTAAATTATTAATTTAAGTAGCCTTAAGGTAAACATGGTACTTAACATGTATATTTAGAATGTAAGTGAATAGTAAATATGAAGTGATATTGATCAAATCTAATTTAATCTTACTGATTTTCACAATTAAAGCTTTATTAGTATTGATTATTTTAAAACAAATATACTTAAATTCACATTTATAATTTTTCTTTTAGCCCATGTGTCGACTCATGATTCCAATATAAGGTCCTCAGGTGTTTTTTCAAAAAATGTAGTTAGTAAAGTATTAAGACAAAAATAAGTTGCGGCTATATCAAGATATTTGGAGGATTAATAAATGTGAAATTTTTAACAGGTTCCATCAATCTAGTTGTAAATATAGTTGAAAATTCCATCTCAAATAATGGATATATTCTTTGTTTAGTTAAAAATAAAAATAGAAAATTAGTAGAATATAATTTAATAAGGAATCTAGTCATATTTAAATATATTTTGCACTGAATTATTACTTTTTTGTTAGTGATTTTGAATGATCAGGATGAATGTTTTAAAAACCTAAATGTAGATTATATAATAGATTGCTTATCTTTATTTATACTAATATGTGTACGATGTTTTTAGAATTGCTTGAAATAAAATGGAGGACTCTCAACCGCTGAGAAGATCTACTAGAAACAGTGTCGTTTTGAAAAATGAGGAACTTACTCCCAAGAAAAGAAAAGTCTCCACTCCTGTTAAAGTTGAGCCTAGTACTCCTAGTAGGAGAACAAGAGCTTCGTCAGCTACACCGAAAAAAAACTTGATCGAAGTCTTGAACACCCCTAAGAAGACTCTTCCTGTTGTAAATGAAGAAGAAAATCCTTCCACTAGTACTCGTACTCCTGTTAAAAAAAGTAAAGAAATTAGTCCGAAAACACCCAGTAGAAGAAGATTAGTAAGAGAGAGTGTATCTACTCCTAAAAGTACAAAGAAATCCGTTGAGACAACAGAAGAAATAAATGTAAGTATTTATTGTATTACTGTGCTTATAATTGTATCCCTTATTGTTCTTTGTATTTTTTTGGGATATGACTTGAAGAGTATTATCAATTTTTACCCTGTCAACCAATGTTTCAAATTTCTACTTGCTTATTTTTCTAGTGATTGGAGCACTAATTATATTAGATTTTTTCAGTTTGAATTTAGTTCTTCAAATTAGTTAAATCTAGTTTAGTTTTTTTCTAAGATTTTTTTTATGAGGATGGTCATAAATATAATCAAGAGTTGCAGTCTAGATCATTTTATTTGGTACGAATGATGAAGAATTTGCTGAATAGTGTTATGGCAAGGGATGTATAAATCAATAGGTTGAGAAGATGGTATTAAGAGAATGGATAATGGAACATAGAGTAAGGAGTTGTAGGATGTAGGGAGAATTTTTGGTTCTTAGTACTTGGAAAAGGAAAACACCAAAAAGGAATTGTTGTCGGGAAGTAGAGCCACTTCAACTCTGTGTACCAGCAGGAAACATGAGAATGCCTGGGAATTCCAAAGATAAATCTTATGACTTCTTACTACATGGATTAAATTTAAAATGGCAGTGGTTGAATACAACAATACTTGGAATGATCAACCTAAAGCTTCTTAGTTGAAGATGATATGATGTTTAGCTTTGTGCATAATTTGATAATTATCTAAAGCAGAAATAAGAGATTGTAAAGGAGAATAGTTGTAATAGAGGGATCAATGAAATATGTGTGTGCTCAAGTTCGCCCAAAAGATTAGAACAGGCTTCCATAAGTAACATGAGCTTAATATAATATGGACTCAGACAATATTACGTACATATACTACGTATTGGTATTAGTTAATATTTAATTGTGTAGATTACAGCGGTATAAAAATTAGAATTTGTATAAATACCGGTACTTAAGCAAATAAAAATATCCACAATGAAATATAAATAAATATAGGGGCATTTTTTATCAGTGGAAATCTTGTCTGATTAAAAATATATTGTGACACTTAATTATTTATTATTATCAAATAAATAATTGAAATACACAGTCTTGAAAGGAAATTGCTAGTGTCCAACAAAATAAATATAGTTTTACATTAGACGGCTATGAAAAAGATATGGTAATTGATTGTTTTAAACAGGGTAACACTGCTGGCTTTTGCTCGAGAACACAGCCATTGGACTATGGACGGATGGAGTGCTGTACTTTTTACAGATGAGTCAAGATTCGCTCTTCGATCTCCAGACGGGCGTGAAAGGGTGTGGAGAAGAAGAAACGAAACATATGCAGCCTGTAATTCCATAGTCCAATGGCTGTGTTCTCTAGCAAAAGCCAGCCGTGTTACTCTGTGAGTTCTGGTCAACTTTGGTCCTCTTATTGGACGAAAAGCCATTAATCCATACTCATTTAATCTTCTCCGAGGGGTACGCTCAGAAATTCGCACACCTCGAACTTCTCCGAGCTGATGAATCGCTTGAACAACGGTAAGGTGCCGGTTTCGTAAAATTCTCAAAGTCAAAAACCGGTCATCCCGTAGTTCTGTTACCCTAGGCCGTCCAGAACCAGGCCTTCTATTGTAAGAATCAGTTTCCCGAAAACGCCTGATGGCATCTCGTAAAGTTTCATATGGAACTCCATTAGCGGCATATCTAATGGAACGTCCATCATCAATAAGTACCATACCACACGCAACATCCTCAGCACTAAGAGGCATTTTTAAACTTAATATTGAAAAAATTAAAAGCCGGAGACTAAGATATGTGCTGCAAGAAACGACACTGAACTAATGATACTAAATAAACATTTTGATTCCATAGAAAGTAAATATTGGAATCTAGAATCATTTCATTGAATTAAGGATTAAGGGTTATTGTCCTCTATATTAACATTCCTAATTGAAAACAAACAAAAAGATTACCTATTTATTCATTAAAAACAATAGACCAATCCAAAGCAGAAATATCTTTAGATGAAAACATGAAAAAATCAAGTGGGTGGAAGTTTTTGCCTGCATTTTTGCAGTGTATTTGTTTTAAAAATCGCGCCATTCAACTATTCATTTTAGAAGTCTTAGCATCAGCTGGAGAGAACTATTTGACCGTTGTTATTAAAATAGAAATTCTTTTCAAATTGAAAGAATATACTGTGATGTTCATGAGGTTATCAATATCTATGTATCAGTGGACATTTCTTGTTCTATTTATGTTGAAAAAACTCCAAGGCTAACAAGCAAAACATGTTAGTATATTGTAAATATTTTAAAAGAATATTTGATATTATTATTTCAAATTGTCAAACATACTTTCTGAGAGAGATATGGTTGTTTTTAAGAATATATCGTCGGTTTGTTGCAAAAATTCACTATGTACATTTTTGATGAAGTATGAATTTCTAGTATGCTTTCGTGAATTTTTATCTGTTAAAAAATACTAAATGCGTTAAAATGACACAGACACTTAATTACGATATTTGTCGTCATAGTTACACTACACTAAGAGCACAGTTTTCTGATTTCACTAAGGATAAATTCATTAAATTTCTTAGTTATTTGAGTTTATGAAATGTCGCTTAATGACTTTTTGCAATAAACCGACAATATACTCATTAATAGACAATGACATTCATGAGATTTACATTTATCATTGCAGATTGTTAATGAATCAATTACATATAAAAAACCTGTACCACAACAACCCATGAAGGGTTTTGGGTTCAGTACTATTAAAAGAAAGTACTGTTTCAAGGCCCAACAGTTGTGCAGGGAGCAGATTGGGTCAGGATCACACTCAGCTGCCAGGCTTTCCCCCTTAATCAATTTTTTAATTAAGGGTACCCACTTTATAGAGGCTGGGTTTTTTCCCAGTAAGGTCTCCCTATCCAAGGGTCGCCCATCAGCCAATGAAACAGAATAAATAATTTTTCTGCCATGTGCCGGGATTCGAACCTGGGACTTTTAGCATTAGAAACTCAGTGCCATACCTCTGAGCCATACCCCACTCCCTGTCAATTACATATTGGTCAAAAAAATTATTATTTTGTATCATGTTTTTTATTGTTTTTAAATTAGCAGCAAATATGAACGAAAGAGATGTATCACATTTTTGATAAATTTGTCCTGTTGAGAGCTATGAAGTATGTCATAAAATAAACATTTTTTTTTTAAGTGACCCACAATCGATAGATATATAACTATGTTTTATGCTGTATTATACTTTGTTTCAGGTAACTGCTAACCGACCATTAACTAGGGCTAAAAGGAAAACTATGGGTGGAGTTCAGATTGCAGAAGTTACCAACATATCGGAATCAGAAAATGTTATTCGAAATAAAAAAGACAAATCAGAATCAGTTAAGAGTATTAAAAATAAAAAAGATAAAACAACTGCTGCTAATATTGATGATAACACTATTAACTCATCTGACGGTAAATCTAATAACAAAGATGATGAAAGCAGCTCTGCTGTGGTTCCAAGAGTTGTCCTTTCAGACATTAAGAAGCAACCGTTAAAAAAAGCAAATAATACTGAAAAAGGAGAAGATATTGAATGTGGCACATTCACTTCTAAAAGTCCTGTAAAAGCTGAAGATGTGGCCATAAACAGTCCGAGGAAGGTTCCAGATAATTGTAAAAGTAACACAGAAGCCTCATTAAAGAGTGATTCAGAATATATCAAGTTACGTACTCAAGAAATTGCAATGGATCCTGCAAATCTTATTAGTTCTGTAGGAAACACTGATTTGAATTCTATAGGAAACACAGAGATAAGCTCTGTTGAACAGATGAATTCTAATAGTTCTATTAATACCAACTCTGTTCCGGATATTACTGTTACGTCTCCGCAAAAAGTCATTGCTTTGAAAGATAATAACATTCTTTCCACTTCTCCACAAAAAGTCAATGATATTCAAAATATCGTTACCACTTCTCCACAAAAAACCATCGATTCAAAAGATAACGATGTTCATAGTATTGTTACTACTTTTACACAAACACAAGAAGTCATTGATTCAAAAGATAACAATGTTAAAAATATTGTTACAGATTCTCCACAGAAAGTCATCGATTCAAAAAAATTTGAGGTTCCAAATATTGTTGTCACATGTCCATCTCCAAAAAAGGTTCCAGATTCAAAAGATATTGATATTCCAAACATTGTTATCACATCTCCATCACCACAAAAAGCCACTGATTCAAAAGATAACAAAAATGGTCCCGATAGCTCTTCAATCTCTGAAAAAAACACAAGCCCAAGTAAAGATAAAACAAATTCTTCCATCATTGTTTCTGCTGTCGAAGAAAAAGATATAAATAAACCATTGAATGCAGAGACCATAAAATCTGTTGATGTAATTACTGAAATTTCGGATGAACCAGATGAGGAAAAGTCGATAAAACTCGAAAACGAACCAAGTTCTTCAGAAAAAAATAATGAAAATAGTAAATTTAGCATAGAACAAGAAATTAAAGTTTCTGAAAACCCTCAAATTAAGAATAATGAGAAATTCAGCATTGAAGGAATGGACGAAAACAGCAAACAAATTATCCAAGGTGATGTAGGCAATGGAAGTCCAGCTAGACCTGATTTTCAGAATAACGATAAAAATGAAATCAAATTGATCTCACCTGCTGGTGGCAAGGCAATCCCAGGAGGTGTAGGTGATTGTCCTGAAAAAGTTGATCCTCTTGAAAATGGAACTTGTGTCAGTACAGATGATGTCAATGAAGAAAATTCAGTTGAGACCGTCATGCAAGTCTCATCCGTTGAAATCATGGATACAGATGCAGAAAAGACTGACATTGAAAATAAGGACAGTAATGAATTAAATAAAACTTTTGACAAAGTCGAACCAAATAAACAGATTTCTGATAGTGATGAATGCATTGTTGCAAAAAATGGCTGTGCCAGCAAATCAGCTGAATCAGTTTCCCAAGTTTTAATAGATAAGAATAATGTGTCCAGTATTGTTACTGATGTAAATGAAGCCGTTACGAAAGGCGATGTGGCTTCGATTGAGAATGAAAATGACAGGGAAGCAAACAAACTAAAATCGATTAACTCTGTAGATGAGACATTCAAAATGGATTCATCATCTCTTACTGAAAGCAGTGTTGAACATAAAACTGAGAAAGTTGATGCAAGTAGTGTCGTAAAAGAACCAGTGATGAATGCGGAAATAACTTCTGTCGAAAATGAAGAAAGTGAAAAAGATGAGAAATTGATTGCTGATGAGACAAACACCTCCAGTCCTAATAACACAGCGTGCTTGAACAAAGTTATTAGTAATGAGCTTATCTCTACCGAGGGGAGTCCATCTAAAGATAAAGATAAAAAGGAAAGTGAATTGGATCCAGAAGGGGAAGAAATTGATGTGGTTAATTGCAGTAGAGAAGAAATTAATGAATCGATAAAAGATGCTGTATTGGAATCTGTTAGACCTGAGTCTTCTCCAGATTCAGTTAAAAATGAAATAGCTGCTGAACAGAACGCTGAAATTGATGGATTCGGAATAGTTGGTCGGCCATGCCATATCGAGAGTTGTGATTCATCTAGTCCCGTATTCTATATGAAGTGTGATTGCGACACATCTGATGATTCCGGAGATTCAGGGATACAGAATGAAGACAATGTAATAATATTCAAAATGTCTTCTCAATGCAAAAAACATATTACAGTTGAAGAAAATCCACTAGCAGACATGCCAGAACAAGGCCCTGCTTTAATAAACCAAAATCTTGATCTTAATGGTTCCATGGAGCTCCTTCCTCAAGAAGGTGAAGCAGCAAATCAGAATAGCAGCAAATCGGAAAGCGATTCATCTGATATAGTAGTTATACTTAGAAATTTTGATGAAAAACCTGAAAAATCTCATGAAAATCTTTCTCCTGGAAAATCTGAAGGAAAAGCTGATGAAAAACTTTCTCCTGGAAAATTGGATGTAAAAATTTCTACTAAAAAATCTGACCTAAGCTCAGGTTCTAATGTTCCTTCATCTGTTGAAGATAAGACAGAAACAATAGCTGAAAACTTTTCCGAGAGTTTGGAATTAAGTGGAGGTCATAAAATTACTGGATTAGATGAAATTCTTATGTCTCCTAAAGACTTTCTTAACTCCGATGAAGAAAGTAATTTGGATTGTGAAAAAGATTCGCAATCTGAAAATGGGAAAGAATCTTCCAGTAAAAAGAAACCTTCAGAAAAGTCATATAAGGAGAAAGACAGTATTAGTTCGAATACCACCCCAACTAATGACCATAGCTCCGAATGTAGTACGACTAAGGTTGATGAAAAACAAGATGGTTGTAATGTGAATGATAAATCAGCTGTTGGTGTAGTTGAGACTGTTGAGAATGTTAGTAAAGCTATTCTTTGCGATAGTAAAAGTGAAATCAGTTCACTCGATTCCGAAAAAACTGTTGAAATTAAAGATATTTGTGTAGATCAAGAAAAGAAAGAAATCTCCTCGCAAAAATATTCTGAGGAGAAAAATAAGCAAAGCAAAAGCTCTTCAAGTAATTCATCTGAAGATAATCAAATTAGTGAAAATAAAATAAAATCTCCTAGCAGGGATGATATTTTAGAAAAAACAAATTCCTTACAGTCTAGTAATTCTATTGAAGAGAATGAAAGTGAAACGAATCTTCTAGATAATGTTATCAGTTCTCAAACTATTGGCTCACCTAAAGTAGAAGTGGAAAAATCTTTTGAAGATGAAAAATCGACAAATGAATCTGAATCAAATCTTGAGGATTCTGTCAAAATGTCGGAGTGGAGTGAAGCAGATGATAAAAAAGATATAGGAACCGATCCTGCATGTGTCAAGAAAAATACTAAAAATATTAAGAATCGGAGGAAAAATGTCAAAACGTTGGATTCTGAAACTGAAAGTTCTGAAACTGAAAGTTCTGAATCTGAAAGTTCTGAAACTGAAAGTTCTGAATATGATGACGATTCTGATCTGAGTAACAGTCCGCCATCCAATGTTGCCACTGTAGGCAGCAGCGATGGCCCATTAACTGGAAAGGACTTCATTGATTTCGAAGCCGAGGAAGGAGAGGAAACTTCGGAAGACGATTCTTTCATAGCACCATCTGGAGAGAGCTCTGCATCAGGTTCGCCTACTTTTGCTATGAAGCTAAGGAAAAGAAAAAGAATTTTGGATAATGAAAGTTCTGACAGCTGCAGTTATTTAGAGTCTGTACAGAGGTTATTCGATAGCTCCAAAGAGATATTGAAAGATGAAATGCAACAAGATTGCCCTGTTCTAGATAAAAAACAAAAATTAGAAAAAGTCAGAACTGTTAATAAAAAAAACAAAAGACCTAAATCGATCTTGAAAAATAAACGTACAATTGTCGAATCTGAAGGAAATAGAAATAAAATTAAGACTGAAAATAAAGTTACTAAAGAATTTTCCAAAACAGGCATATTTTTCGTTTCTAGTGTCAACCAGCATTTTGAAGAACCAAAATTAAACCGGAATAGTTCTAAAAGAAGTTCAAAATTACGTATGGAACAGCAAAACTTAGAGATTAGCGAAGATGACCGTGTTCCAAAGAGTGATGTTGATGAGAACATGGTGGATGATGCCGCTCACAGAGGTTTTGTTGTTTCATACGATGATTCTTATCTTGTTAGTAAGAAGCCTAAAAAAGCAGCCATTAGTTCGGAATTAGTCAACAAGAAGAAAAAGATAAAAGAGGGCAAAAACAATAAGAAGGCTGTCAAAAAATCTACCAATTCTGAGTCAAAAGGAGGAAATAAAAACGAAACAGTTTCTCCGTTTGTAGTAACTCTCATATTACCTTATAGGTAAGTTATAAGTGCTACTTTGTAAGTTTTTGATTGAAAATTATTTATCTTTTTCTCTTGTTAAAAATTGATTATTTTTAATTTGACTAAATTACTATTCATCGTTGAAGATTAGATTTTAAGCAACTTACAACAAAGTTATAACCAAGGCCTGGATTTTTATGCAATTAGATAATTTGTTTGATAATTTAAAGATTTAATATGAGAAAGAGTTAGTCGGGGATGCGGTCAAATAAATACTAAATTAAAATATATTAATTATTTTAATTTTTGCCGACGTTTCGACCCACTTTGCAGGTCGTCTTCAGGGCTACAAAAGATACAAAACATGTTGAAAATAAAAATAAATATGAGTAGATATAAAATAAGAAGAAGTTGTCAGATACAGAAATAAAAGATGGTATCAGAGATATAGTGGGTGACAATGTAGTTAAATATTAAATATTATATATATAGAAGATACAAATAAATGGAAAATAAGTATGAATAAAAATAAAAATAAAGGAGAATATAGCATGTAAGTTAAAAGTAAACAGATTGCGATAAAAGATAAGGAATAAGTATATAACAAACTATAATTAATATATAATAAATATAAATAATTAATAAGATAAATAATTAATATATTTTAATTAATTTAGTTATTTATATGATATTTACAACTGTATACAAAAAAAATACATCTGGTAAATTCGCACATGGATATAATGACATGGAACACATGTTGAGAAACTACCCATTGGTAGCACTCTAAGATATATTAATTTAATATAGTTTGTTGTAGCTTGGCCAAAAGCTTAGAGTAGGTTTGCATTCTTACAAAACTATTTTATTTCTAGCCTTGAATATGAGGCTAGAAATGAAATAATTTTGCCAATATCTTATTTATGACCGCCACCCCAGACCATCTCCTTCCTCCAAAATACAACAGCTAAGTATTCAATATGATTAAAAAACAACAGTGCCAACAACGACAAGATACAAACTCAGCACCTCAGGGCTTCAAATATAATAGTTTTGCCACTATCTTAATAGTATTTTTACTTTCTCTTACCTATATATGAAATATATAGTAAGTGAAAGTCCTGAGTCCAAATAACCAAATCCCCTAAAACGGTATATGTTTGTTATGTATAAACATACGGTTATGTATAAATTTTTACTGCCAAGATTAAACATGAAAATTATCAGACTTATAAGAAAAGTAACACTTATTATCAGGTGATCCCATGCATAATGTCAGTATTTAATAGCATGTGATTAGGAGCAGCATAAAATTAATGAAACATGTTCAATCAAAAATGTATTTACCATCTTGTTCTATAAAAGTTTGCCATCTTGAAACCAAATTTTGTAGACCTTTTCTAAAATAATTCTTTGGTTTTGAATTAAAGAAAGCCAACACCTCGCTTATTACTTCATCGACTGAATTCCTATTCCTGCCGCTGAGTAAGTCTTGGAAACTGCGAAAAAGGTGATAATCCAAAGGCGCTAAGTCAGGAGAATATGGAAAAAGTCAGATCTAGGAATTCATGATGGAGGGTTCTTTCCATATCCCACCGAACAGGCATCATTACTTTTTTCCAATGAAGTCTTTCTCTCACTGCGATTCTAGATTTTCTCCATATATTTCAGCAAGTTTCCAATAAGTTGAAGCAGCATTTTCTTCTTTATTGAATTCACAAAGCACAATTAACAATGGTGTAAGCAATTTTTGGAGAGATTTATTTTAATTGAAATTTAAGCTCAGAATAACTAACTCTCTCCTGTATGTTAACACAATTCAATTGTATAGGAGGGATTAGTTATATCAACATAAACGGATTTTTAAAAACTGACATTACTTATGAGATAACCTGTTTATATTTAAGATTTTTAAATTTTTATTTTCATAATTAATTTATTTCATTATGATCACTTTCTGATTATTTTCTTTTATTTTTCAGTATGACTGTTCGCTCTATTTCTTGCGTTCTGACAGATCTGGGGTTGAGCAGTATTTCTTCTATTACTTTTCCCAGGCCTAAAGTTGCCATTGTAGAGTTTTCCGATAAAAAATCTCATGAGGTTGGTATTTAATTAATTTTCCTAATCTATCTCTGGTATAAATTAATTGCTTTTTATTTGAGAAAAATAAGCAGGATTAAAGAAAGAGAAAAATAGTTATTTATTGTTTTTAAAAATTAAATTAGTTTTTGAGTTCAACATCCTCTGCTTCTCTTGATTTAGATTGAGACTTAAATTTATTATTGGTGCATGGTAAATTTTTTATTTTGTAATTATTTTTATTTAAGATTGTATTTATTCTTTTTGTTTTTCTGCAGAAAATACTAAAACTGTATGGAGAATTAAAAATCAACAACAAGCCTATTTATATCCTTGAAGGTTGTTCTCTTGTATAATTTTCTAGTCCTGAGATGAATGAGGTGAGATATTTGTATATAATTGAATTTATACACTGAATATCATTTATAACGATATCGGTTATAGCTACTAATATTTTCGGATGCATGAATTTCAAAACAGTAGCTATGTGTTTTTTATTGAATATAGCAACGTTCATTTCTATTGTGTGTAGTTCAATAATCTCTAAAACAAAACTTAGTTAGAAGAAGTTAGTTATTTGTTTGCTGCCTTGAAAATTTTGAGATGTTACATCACATTAGTTTAAAAACTAGACGTAAGTCACACTATTATATCGTCAATTTGGAAAGATACACTATTGATTCAAGATCTTATAGAAAAGAGGATTCCTTAAAATTAAAGAAATATCAATCTACCCATGAAGAAATTGATGAAAAGCTTAAATTCAATATTCCTCTCTGTCTCTTTGACTGGTTACCCAAAGCACAAAAAAATTTTGTTGAGGATTGCTATTTTGTGCCAATGTTTTGGCCTTAGTTCTAGGCCTTCATCAGGGCTGAAAAAAGATAACCAAAATTATTATAAACTATTATAAAAGGACATGAAAACAAAAATATGTTATCTGCTCATAAGTAGTGAATACAAACCAAAATATTTAAATATTATATTATAAATACTAGAACCTTGCTGTCCATCGACTCGAAAAGCAAGGTCCTAGTTATTTCGCATAACAAAGAAGAAAATGCTATGTAACGGCTATACCCTAGAGGAAGTAAATGAATTCAATTACCTGGAATCATCATGGATAGCTCTGGCAGGATTGTCCAACAGATAGCAAACAGGATTTCTAAAGCGAACCAGTTGTACTACCAGATCAACAATAGCATAATAGGACAGTGTGATGTTAATATACACATGTAGGTAGAGATGTTAATATACACATATAAGGATATATACCTACCATTTTTTACATATGGCGGCGATAACTGGGTTATACTCGACAGGCATGTCAGCCAGATCACTGGCGCTGAGATGAAGTTCATGCGTAGAGCAGCAGGAAAGACAAGGCAAGAATGGGTTAGAAACAATCGAATTACAGAGCGATTTGTGGTGCCTCTATTGAAGGCAGTCATGGAAAACAGAGTTATAATAGTTTGGACATGTTTGTTAAATGGATGAGAGAGAACTCAGGACAATGGAAACTAGACTTACAGGTAGAAGACCATGTGGCCGGCCTGGAATTTCCTATCAGGAATATTTCTGTAGGATTAGTGGTAACAGAGGCAAGACCCTTAGAGAAATGAAACAGCTGAGTAGCGACCAGGAAAACTAGCAGCGCTGGATCAAGATCTCTCTACTCCAATAGGCTCGGAGAGGAAGATAAAGAAGAATAAGATTATATAGAGTATTCACTTCTTAAAATTAACTTATGAGCAGATAACATATTTTTGTTATTTTGCAGAATAAAATAAAAATCTTTTATTTTTAATGTGTTCTTTATGACTGCATCCCCCAACTCACTTCCTAACAATATTGTCTACAGTCAACAATTTCTTCACCACCATAAAACAATTAGTGTGTTAATAATATTTTTTTTTTAATTCTTGCCTTGTCTCTTAGAAGTTGTTATAAATGATATCCAGTGTATATGACTAATTAATAATCATAATAAAATTTATTCATACTTTTTTTTTTCTTTTTCAGTTCCTTATGGTATCAAAATGTGATTATATCAGCTGTATCGAGGATATTATTAAATATTGTTATTTTATTGCATCCAATTAAGATAAGTGACCTGTTGTCAGTTTATGAAGATTTATAAAAACAAAAATGTATTGTCATTTTTCTTCAAAGTTTTTATATATTGTTGAATTTGTTGTTATTTTTATATTGGACTTCAAGAGTGCCTTTGATTGATTTCTTTGTTAGTTTTTTATTGACCTTTGCAAGCGTCATTGATCTTGTTAATTTTGTATGGAACATTGAATGTATCATATTTAATAAGGAATGCAAACATTTTTCAATACAGATTTATTTTTTAATTTTTTGAAATTTTTATTTTATTTCCTAATATGATATACCAGCTTTAATGCTTTAGGTTATTTAATTATAGGTATTGGACTTCGAAGTTCTTTAGAAAAATTTAATATACATGGGGAAATTAAAATTTTAGTGGAAAGATTTCCAGAGCGCCTGATCCAAAACGTTTTCCGTTTGTTTCCTGCCTAGGTCTGTTAATTACTTTCATTTACGTACATATGTAATATATAGTAAGGGTAAGTATTGCGATCGTGAAAATTTTCGAGTCTCAGTTTTCAACGGAAATACACGTTTTGAGGTCCCCTGAGTTCAATAACCAAGTGTCGCAGAATGGTCTGTGTGTCCGTGTGTATGCCTGTTAACAGTCTAGCTCATAAACAAAAAGTAGTAGTAAAGTAATCGGCTAACTGGAAGTGCCACTTTATATGAACGCTGAAACACATTTTTACAATTTTCTCAAAAACGGCTGTAACGATTTCGATAAAACTCGGTGTATCATTGTATAATTAAGTGGTCTTTAATATCATTTAAGTCTTATCCCCGTTAGTGTCACTTTACAAGGCTTAAATGTCCAATGTTCATATATGTCTTCCTCTAAAGTACCTTTAATGTGGTTTCTTTTAAAAAATTAACCATTTCACATTATTCAGAGTTACGAAAAAATGCTACATATAACTTTTGAAAGAATTTGGTAAGTTAATAAGAGAAAAAAAAAGAAAAATGCAGAAAAAACTGTGTTGCTATAGACTGAAGCACCTAAATGAATGTATCGATTTCAATGAAACTCCGCTAAAGTAATTTTCTCGATACCCTTTAAATTTATCTTATTTATTTATTTATTTATATACCATACTCCAACAAAAAGAAGCTGGAAAAAAAGTAACGAGAGATGTTAAAATTAAATTCCAAATAACTAAAAAAGTATATGCTTTTTTGATATGGTTTTTTAAAAGTTTATGGACTTTCCTAGAAAAAAAAAAAAGATTGTTAAAATCGGACAATTAGGAGGAAAGATATGGTTCTAAAGTTTTTTTCCCAGAAGAGGCGAAAATTTGGATAAATTTAAAATATATTTTTTTAATTGTTGAGAACAAAAAAAAATTTTTTCTATAGATATTTAATAAAGCGTCTTTCCTAAGAACATCTTTCATATGAAATAATTACCTAAATTTATACCTTTATTCTCAGTTCTATATTTCAACACTGCAATCACCACCTCCGGAATCAACTTACTCATTGTCTGCATAGATAACTTTTTCAACTAAAAACCATCACTCAAAAATGTTTAAATTGGAGTTAGTCATTCTGTGGTTTATAAAAGTAAAGAAGGTTGTGTGGTTTATAAAAGCAGATGGAGTGACTAGATTTTTATTGCTTGTCGTCGATATAGTAAATAGACATTTTGTAATTACAATGGTCTTACTGACTTGTTATCTGTAAGCTTTCAGCTTTAGCTCCGTTTAAAATGCACTTCAAAAAATTGTATAATAGCCCAGCATTGTCAGAAAATAATTTCTATTCAAAGTAGATCGGTAAGTGAAAGTTGTGTGTTGCGCGCACCAGATTTTTTTTATTTCTCGGAGGCCTCAAGAAATGAATCTTGACGCTCTCACTCTGGTTTAATATGGAGCAGCAACCATTAGGTAGGCGTCATAGATTGACAAAACGTTCTTTTCACCAGTAATGCTTGTTGATAAATTTTTCAGATATGTGTTTGATGTAAAAGATGATAATGAAAAAGAAGAAATATGTAGTACCGATTATTTCAAGTACTACTATTAAGTCAATTTTAACGAAACAGTTGAGGTATTGAAAAAGAGATGAACAATAGGAACGCTATAGTGGCTCAGTTTGTTTTTTATTACATAATGACCCTATATTAGATACCATACAAATATGAATTAAAAAATAATGATACTTCTGATTTCCCCGTTTATTTTAAATGTAATGTAAAAAATACTTTTCTCTTTAATTACATGAACAATAATATTTAGGGATAAAATTTTAATATTTTTTCTTGGCACATGCTAATATTTAACAGTAGCAACTATCTGCGGTATATTTAAAAAAGATAACATTGTGATTGTTTAAATTTTTAGTTCATCCAATGCTCAAGGTCCTGGGTTTGAGTTCAGCTGATAGGTAATTCTTTATCAGCTATGGATCGATCCTAGGGCACACTCAGCCTTTATAAAGTGGGCAATCTTAATTAAGGTGGAAACCTCTCTGCACAACGTTGGCCTTAAAACAGTTCTTCCTTACACAGTACTGAACCCAAACTCTTTCGGGTTGTGGTGGTAATGGTATTTTTTTGTTTAATATTTGATTCATATATTGGTAGAAGACGCACTTACAAAAACTACATTCATTTCAATCCAAAATTTTACAACTTACTGTACTCAAACTAGAGGACACAACAACAGACTTATATGTAGTCCTGTCATAAATATTGTTACAAGGAAATATATACAGATTTAAACAGAAAAATTAATTTTTTCAAAAACTTTATTAGAAAATAAAATGTGTATCTATAGAGAGTAAAACAAAACAGAAATTACTGAAAATGTCCCCTTTTGCCTTGACACAGGCATTTATTCGACCTCTTTCCACTCTTCCAATGGCTTTCTGGGTTTCTGTAGAGCTGTGTGCGCACGCACGATCATTTTGGCTGTTAAATTTTTCTTCAATTGTAAAAATTTTCTCATCGCTAAATATAATCTTTCGATGAAGACCTTGGTATAACAGCCAAGGAGCACTTTGCATCTATCCACTCTAATTTTTTTTTAGGTAAGTGGTTAGACTTTGTCGTGTCATTCTAGGAAATGCACCCATTCTAAGGTCACTTTTTATTATGCGAGACATTGATCTAGATTCCCATTTCCTGAGACATGATCTGTTGTTTTCGAATGGGATTTCTTCTGATTCGAGCAGCCAATGCTCTCACTGCATTTGCCGTTCTCACAGTGCGGGGACGGCCTGGTCGAGTCTGTTACATACAGATAGGGTCTCATCATATCTATTTATAGTGCGGTACACGAACATAGGGCTGATAACCAAAGGTTACAAAGTGTTGAACATCTCTGATCTACATTTTCCAACTTTGTGTAAGGCGATCACAGCTATTCTGTTTTCTTTATCACCCCACTCCATGTTAACTGAGCGAAAGAAAAATAAAAACTAATTGGGATTATTATCTTGACATGTAAAGAAAATAACCTGATAGAGTTAAGGATTATGAGTATCTAAATCATACCCAAGGATGTAAACAAAGTTCAACTTTTGTAACAGTATTTATGCCAGAACTAGGTAATCGACATGCCTATCAGGAGGAGACTAAAAAGGAGCTGGATGAGAGATCTCATCTAAATCAAAGAAGTAAATAATGACCATGAAGAGGTGCTGCTGGGTGCTATCTTTTCTCATGCCTATAACACCCATCATTATTTATCACAACAGATCTGCTGATTGTCACCCTCAATGAATATCCAATGGTCGGAAATAGACCAGCGTATAACTAGCTCAAACCGAACCCTATTCTTCCTTCCAAAGGTATTGGAATCCTGAAAAATGTTAAGAAATCTCTTATTAAGGGTGTACAATGTAATGGTAATGAGAATTCTTATATACAGCCGTGAGACCTGTAGACTAACCAGCACTCAACTAACATATGGAAAATAAATATCAATAAAGGACTGCTGATAGAAACTGGTTAATAAAATGGACAGGACTTACAGCTCGGAGCACTCCCTCAGGAAGCCCATAAGCAACAAGGAATGGGTCGATAACGACAAGAGATGGAAGGCCAAAGACTAGATGGATGGATGCAATCAACAAAGACGCAATAGAGCTGCATATAGACAAATAGAAAGAAATAGCCCAAGATAAGGAGAGGTGGAGGAGGCACTATACAAACTAGATTTGTAATCCCAATAGAAAAATTGGTTCATATGATGTAATATATTAATTGCCTGAATTGTTGAAATTTTTGTGGTTAGATGGGAAATTGAGCAATAAATTGACATAAAAAAACGGAACACTTTGCATTAATTCGTCAAAACTAATAGAAGACATGAATAAAATAAATATTGATTCAATTGCTTGAGTCAACAAATCAAACAAGTACTAAGCAAACATCCAATTAGAGATTATACATAGTTGTTGGTAAATACAGAATACAAATGAGTTGACTAAATTTAAGTGCATTTAATCATAAAAATAAATTATTTAAAAAAAATCATATAACGAAAATTATCCTATCCGCCACGGGGGACGGAAAGTGCTAGGATATCTAAACATTTTAGTTTTCAATGAAGATTAGTAGTCCTTTGTTCCTGATAGTGTGGTGTTTATGTAGAGGAATAAAAATTTTTTGTGTATTTGTGTTATAAAGTTTTTTAACAAAGCCTCATTTGTTTCCTGGAGTGATTTCCTGACATCGCATAGTGGCATCCCTTGTGGGGAAATTAAAAATAATGAGTGCTGAAGAGTTGAGAACTGCCAAATAGTTAACAGAGCCTCATTTGTTTCCTGAAGTTATTGCCTAAAATTAAATAGTGGCATATCTCTTGTGTGTTGGAAATTAAGAAAATGAGTGCTGAAGAGTTGAGAACTGCCAAATTAGAGAGAGCTCAGTGGAGAAATTAATTTACAACTTTAGCTACTTAGGTTGAAAAGAAAATTTCTGAAAATGATCCTGACTTCAAAAAGATATTGAAATTTAGTTCAGAAGTTGGCTGCGGTTCACTACACGTTATGGCTTCTTGCCGATATTCCGATACCAAACATCTGTTTTGTTAACTGCATCTGTACGTAGAAACATATAGTTTGTAAATTAATATATTATTTGAAGAGTTTTGAATTTCTATCGGGTGTGTAAGGCCTCCGATTGCAATGCCAAGTTTCCTTATTCTTAGGCGTCAACTTCACAAGCCCCCACCGATTTGTTAAATTCTATCACTCAGAACGGATTGAATTTGAAGATAGGATTATTAACTTCCGTAGTTTAAATTTATTTTTTATAGTTTTTAGAATGTTGACAAATTAAATTTTATCTTTTTTTACATAAAGTTGTCCGCTTGTTGGATTTGGCTGGGACAACACTCGTGCTTGCCTATGCGAATGACCTGGCTCTGTTAAGCGAAGACACGGAAACTATAAAACTAAATACAAAAACGTTAATGGAAGTTTAGGTATCTAGGTTCTACGATAACTAGAAAAAACGAAATTCAAGAAAAGGTTAAAGTTAGGCTGAAGACGGGAAATGGTTGTTATTTTTATTATGCTCTTGTCTCGGAACTTAAAAACTAGAATCTATAAAATCATTATCTTACCTACAATTCTTTATGGATGCGAAACGTGGCCGCTTACATTAAGGGATGAGCAACGTTTTAAGGTTTTTGAAAATAAAGTATTAAGTAGAATATTCGGACCGAAGAAGGATGAGTTAACCGGAGAGTTTAGCCGGTTACACAACGCCGAATTGAGGTGATTACATCGCGACGAATTAAATGGGCTTGGTGACGAGAGAATTCCTAAAAGGTTAATATTTGCTCTACAGAATGGTAAACGTCCGAGGGGTAGACCGAAGTGAAGGTGGGGTAGATTACGTTAAAGCCGATCTAATGGGACTGGTTGGAAGGAGGTGTGTAATAAGTGATTGGTGATGTCGGCATCGAATTTTCGAGCTAAGATTTTATTATTATTATAAGCGTAAGTATTTATAAGCTCCATGTCATATCAGTTAAGACTGATTGAATCCAAGATCATTGTTTAAGCTTTGAATCAAGGAAGTTATTTTTACGAGTGATTAGTCCATTAAAAGAGGTTCCGTGTAAGTTCGGAACAACAGTGTCCAGTGTTACCTACCTCTCGTTCGTTCACCGAACCACCCATCCACAGGGATTGGTTACTGCCACCTTTGGCTGGTTTGCTCATTTTGATAGGGTTCACCGCGCACTTGTAAGAGAGGAGTTATGGTGGAGAGGCTAAATGGTATTGCTATGTTCCTGGCCTCGCGTTTCTACGGCGAGTAGGGGGTTCCAGGAACCGCATTTATTTGTATTGAAATGTTAGATACCACAGACCCCCTACTGTAGTATCCTAGATTGAACCATATAATTTTGATTGGATTTCTTTTCTAGAGGTATCGTGTTTTTAAATTTACTATTTGTTCTATATCTAATTGGTGGCATGCAGGGTAGATGGTAAAAGTACTAAGGTGGTTTACTAACTAATATATTTACAAATTTAAATAACCAAAACATATATACAATGTACAGAGAATCAGACTAGAGGAGAATGCTTGATGTTTGATTAAAGTTACAAGTATTCTATCGATTCTATTAATTAACGATTTATGGTTGCCAACACAAGTTTACATCGCTATTACTAAATGAGGGTTATTACCTAGCTGGTTCTTCATCATCTTCGAGCCTCCTTCCATGTCGCTCTCCTCAGCCTCCGTCTTCCTCCCAGTGTTCAACCGTCCTCGCTTGACCCTCAGCAGAGTCCCAGCTATCAGTCCATATCTTGCTCTCTCCGCCTCTCCTGATCAAGTGTCCTAGCCTGAGTCCTCAAATTCTCTATTTCCCACCTTTCTTCATCCCCCTCTCTTTTGGTAGTCTTTTCTGATTGGCTGAATATTCCTAGCCTAAGGGATGACCACGCCCTCTCCCCCAGGCCAAGGTAAAGCAGCAGGTACAGATTTACGTATTTCTGGTGGAAGGTGTGAAAGGTCTTTCGGGATCCTGTTTAAACACTCAGTTGTCGGTCTTGGTCGGTGGTTCTTAAGGGTTTTTATTACCACTTACAAAAGGTTGGCCTCGTGGGTCGTTACCCTAGCTCAGGTACCGCCAGATGTGAGCACTTACGATATTTATTTATTTATACCTTTAAAATAATTAAATGAATTCCACCGGCGGTCTTTACAATACATAGCAGTATCTTATAAGTACCATATATTGGGCAGCACAACACTTTGAACCCTAGGTATCAATCTTATTTGAGAAAAACCTTTCCGAATAGGAAGCTTCTGGGCACGTAAAATCTAGGTTTTGGACATGACTCTACGAGGATAAGCAGAGCTTTGTGTCAATGAAATTGGTTGATATTTGATGATGAAAAGAATCCATCTTCGCTGAAAGGACCGATGTTTGGCAAGGCCCGATCTCAACTAAAATGGTCCTATCGGAAAATTGTTTTTGTCTTAGGTGAGCGTAACGAGAAAAAAACCAATCGCCGTCAATCTAAGAAAAGCAGTACCATTTTAATAATCAATAATAATTACAAATGTCACCAATTCATGCATATATATGGACGTACTACAAATGATTTTATTGTTGATCGGCCATTTCAACCAATTATAGAAAGTAATGACCTCAACTGTTAGGCCAGCCGTATCAAAATTTATTTCTCAAGGCCAGTAAATAAATATTACTGGACTCAGGTGGGAATCGAACCCACAACGTTGTGGAGTGTGTACTTTGGGATCCTCGTTCCAGCTTCCTCAGCCATCACGTCCTCCAAATGGTGCTGGAGCTTCTGTCCATGCAATTTCAGTGGTTGAGAGGGAGCTTCAGTTGTCCAGTTGGAATATAACTGGACTATTTCAAACACAATGCCTCAAGTCCATAAAATCCATATAAAGAAATTAAGTGTTAATTGTTTACTGATATTTTAGATAATCAAAGCATGGCAATCTTTTAAGTTATTATGGGATCGTGGAATATTAAAAGAAAACAGACAAGATTAAAAGTCACTCTAATGTATGCCACTGCTGGTCTGAACCAGGGTTGCTAACTTTTATTGTTATATTTATTTATGAATTACAAACTATTTACAATAATAAAATATACATTTCATTTATACAATTAATAAATAACAAATTATAAAGTAATTTTACACAACAGGTATATCCTAAAAATTAATAATGATTCAAAACTATTATTTTACAGCACCGTAAAAAATGTCTCTTACAATACATACAATACAATACTTAAAATACACGAAGGTAAAAAAATGGTTGACTGTTTATACTTAGTCTTGTGACTTTACTTTAGTCAGTAGGAGGTGTTGATTAAAGGTTAAAGTCAATGAAGAACACAAATCAATGTTCTGACAAAAATCCAAAAACATAAAAAGGAATATTGTGTTCTACGATACCACAACCAACTTACTACATATTAAGATACATAATGTTACAGAAATAATTAAATTCGGACTAATAAACAAAATGTAAACATTTGTTGTCTTTATTAAATAGAAAAATATTAAAGCGGTTTGTCCAACTTATCGTGCTGTTGCTAGAGTTGGGGTTGATGGAGCTTCAGGTTATGCTGATGCATCAATTGTGCTTGATGGAGTTCCAGGTTAAGATGGTGGAGCTGGGTTTGAAGGAGTTTCAGGTAGGGCTGGTGCTGGAATTGGGTTTGATAGAGCTTAAGGTTGATTTGCTGAACCTTCTGATTGGGGTCTGGAGCTGTGGGTGGTGGAGCTATGGTTGCTGGAACTTCAGGTTGTGGTGTTGGAGCTAGCGATGAAACTTCAGACAGAGCTGCTGGAGCTGAGGTCGATGGATCTTCAGATTGTGGAACTGCAACTGAAGTTAAGGTAGTTTCAGGTTCGCCTGCTGGAACTGTCGTTGAAGCTACTTTAGGTTGTGGATCCACGTCCACAACCACAGGTAGTAGAGTCGCTGAAGCTTCAGGATGAGCTGCTTGATCTGCCATTACTGGAGCTTCAGGTTCTGGATCCTCATCCAGCACTACAGGGAGTAGGGTCGATGGAGTTTCATGTTGGACTCCTGCAGCTGCCATTGAAGGAGCTTCAGGTTGAGGTACTGAAACTTGGGTCGATGGCATTTCAGATGATGCTGCTGCAGCTGAGGTTGATGGAACTTTAGGTTGTGGTACTGAAACTGAAGTTAAGGTAGTTTCAGGTACATATAATAGAGCTGCGGTTGAAGAAGCATTATATTGTGGATCCATCTCCACAACCACAGAAAGTAGGGTCGCTGGAGCTTCAGATTGGGTTGTTGGAGTCGCCATTACTGGAGCTTCAGGTTCTGGATCCTCATCCAGCACTACAGGAAGTAGGGTCGATAGAGTTTCCAGTTGGGCTGCTACAGCTGCCATTGAAGGAGCTTCAGGTTGAGGTGCTGGAACTAGAGTCGCTGGAGCTACAGATTGTGGTATTGAAACTGAACTTAAGGTAGTTTCAGGTTCACATGATAGAGCTGCGGTTGAAGAAGCTTTATATTGTGGATCCACCTCCACAACCACAGACAATAGGGTCGCTGGAGCTTCAGATTGGGCTGTTGGAGCTGCCAGTACTGGAGCTTCAGTTTCTGGAGCTTCAGGTTCTGGATCCTCATCCAGCACTACAGGAAGTAGGGTCGATGGAGTTTCCAGTTGGGCTGCTACAGCTGCCTTTGAAGGAGCTTCAAGTTGAGGTGCTGGAACTAGAGTCGATGGAGCTGCTGCAGTTGAGGTTGATGGAACCTCAGGTTGTGGTACTGGATTTGAAGTTAAGGTAGTTTCAGGTTCATATGATAGAGTTGCGGTTGAAGAAGCTTTATATTGTGAATCCACCTCCACAACCACAGAAAGTAGGGTCGCTGGAGCTTCAGATTGGGCTGCTGGAGCTGCCATTACTGGAGCTTCAGGTTCTGGAGCTTCAGGTTCTGGATCCTCATCCAGCTCAACAGGAAGTAGGGTCGATGGAGTTTCCAGTTGGGCTGCTACAGCTGCCATTGATGGAGCTTCAGGTTGAGGTGCATGAACTAGGGTCGCTAAGGCTTCAGATGGGGCTGCTGGAGCTGCCATTACTGGAGCTTCAGGTTCTGGATCCTCATCCAGCACCACAGGAAATAAAGCCGATGGGGCTTCAGATTGGGCTGTTGCATCTGCCACTGAAGGATCTTGAGGTTGTGGTGCCGGAATTAGGATCGATGGAGCAGAGGTTGATGGTACTTCAGGTTGTGGTATTGGATCTGAAATTGAGTCTGATTCAGGTTCATATACTGGAGCTGCCATTGAAGCAGGTTTAGATTGTGTATCAACCTCCAGAACCACCGGAAGTAGGGTCGATAGAGCTTCCGGTTGGGCTGCTGGAGCTGCCGTTGAAGCAACTTCAGGTTCTGTTGCTGGAACTAGGGCCGATGAAACTTCAGGTACGTCTTCTGGAGCTGAGATTGATGGAACTGCAGGTTGTTGTACTGGGATTGAAGCTGAGGTAGTTTTAGATTCATCTGCTGGAGCTGCCGTTAAAACGACATCCAGCACTACAGGAAGTAGGTTCGATAGAGCTTCCGGTTGGGCTGCTGGAGCTGCCGTTGAAGCAACTTCAGGTTCTGTTGCTGGAACTAGGGACGATGAAACTTCAGGTACGTCTTCTGGAGCTGAGATTGATGGAACTGCAGGTTGTTGTACTGGGATTGAAGCTGAGGTAGTTTCAGGTTCATCTGCTGGAGCTGTCGTTAAAAGGACATCCAGCACTACAGGAAGTAGGTTCGATGGAACTACAGGTCGGACTGCTGGAGCTGACATTATTGGAGCTTCAGGTTGAGTTGAGGAAATGCCAAGTTCTGGTGCTGGAGCTGCAGTTGATGAAGCATCATATTGTGGTTCTGGACCTATGGTTGATGGAGCGTCAGGTTGTTGTGGTTGACCTAAGATCCCTGGAGCTTCAGATTGGTCCGATGGAGATGTTTTTGAAGACGTTAGAGGTTCTGGGGCTGAAGCTGAGGTTGATTGAACTTCTGGTTCTGCTAGTGTTGGAATTGACGGATTTTCAGGTTGTGGCGGAACTTGAACTGAAGTTAAGGTAGTTTCAGGATCAGGTGCCGGAACTGCCGTTGAAGGAGATTCAGCTTCTGAAGGTGGAGTTGATGAATCATCAAGTTGCGGTACAGGAAATGAAGTTAAGTTCTTTCCAGATTGTGGTGCTGGACCTGGAGTTAAGGAAACATTAGGTTGTTGTACTGAAGCTATAATTGAAGTAGTTTCAGATTCAGGTGCTAATGCAGCCGTTGTTGGAATCTCAGTTTGTCGTAATGGAACTAAAGTTGAGATAGTTTCAGGTTGAGGTACTGAAACTGAACTTGAGGTAGTTTCAGACTGATGTGTTGCAGCTGCCGTTGATGGAACTTCAGGTTGCGGTAATGGAACTAAAGTTGAGGTAGTTTCAGGTTCAGGTACTGGAGCTGGAGTTGATGACGCATCAGGTTGTGGTCCTGGAGCAATGGTTGATGGAACATCAAGTTGTGTTGCTGGAACTGCCGTTGAAGGAGCTTCAGATTGAGTTGCTGGAGCTGAGGTTGATAGAACTTCAGGTTGACCCAGTGGAACTAATGTTGAGGTAGTTTTAGATTTATCTACAGGAACTGAAGTTGAGGTAGTTACAGGTTCAGCCGCTGGAGCCGTCGTTGAAGGAGCTTCAGATTGTGGTGCTGAAACTAGGATTGATGGACCTTCAGATGAGGCTGCTGGAATTCCTGTTGAAGGAGTTTCAGGTTGTGGTGTTGAAACTAAGGTTGATGTAGTTTTAGGTTCAGTTGCTGGAGCTGAAGCTGTCGTTGAAGGAGTTTTAGACTGAGATACTTGATTTTCTGTGGAGGATGTTCGTGCTGGAGCTGATGTCGAAGGAATCTCAAGTCGAGCTTTGGTTGGTGACGCTGCTGCTGGATGTTCAGTCGAAGAAAGTTCAGGTTGGCTTGCTGAATCTTCCTCCTCCCCATCATCATCGTCATCATCATAACAATCATCATAATAATAAACAAGTTCATATTCTAATTCTTCATTATCGCTTTGTTCAGGTTCTGTTTTTTCAACTTCAGTTACTTCATCATAAATTGGTTCGGAATCGGGTTCTTCATCATCAGTTTGTGTCGATATAGTTGGAGAATAAAGTGACGTAAGACCCTGTTAAAAAAAAAAAAATATTGAATTGTTACTGAAATTAGATCTGGAGAAACAATTATTTTTATCTAGCATTCTTGTTTCAGAGCTGGAAAGACCAAACGTTAATGAAAACGAAAGATTATGCAGAGGCCTTAGGAATAGGATTAATTGAAAATCCAGCGAAAAAAAGGAATTCTAATGGTTTGAGCATTTTATAGTGAAAAACAAGATGGTTACTTTAAGCTCATTTCGTGTGCATAAAGTAGAATGATGAGTAGGCAATAAATTTTAGTTGGTTTGATTGTTAACTAAGACTAATCATATAATATAATACGACTATTTGATTTAAATTTTGATATGTATTTATGAAACAAGCACTTTACTTACATCAGGAACTTTTACCACCTTTTTCACTTGATGAGATTTGTCTACTCTATGAATGGGAATCCTGAACCCTCGAGCAATGGCTAAGAAACTCAACAAAACAAGAACAGCCTTCATTTTGCTTTGTTGACAGAAATCATCAGCCATTTTGTTTAGATAGTAATCGTAAGCTAATTAATCAGTTACATCAACATTAAATGATTAGGCGTAATATATGGACTATTAATTTTCGCATGAGAACTTTTAGTTTCATATTAATGGAATGATGCAATGTTGGATTAGTAATTGGTAATACAAACATCAAACACTCCGCTAAAATATTTTATTGACATTTAGTTAGCACGAGAATGCATCTGAGATCATTTATTATTAATTTTAATTTTAATATCATTGAGATCAATTATTTAGTAAAATTAATTTATATTAAATTGTATGATAATAAATACATTGTGAATATTCTACCACTATTGTTATTTAATTCCCTAATTTCTTATCATTGTTATCCATCTTTAGTTATTTGTTTATTATATTCAATATTATTATTTTATTTTATTCTTCCTTTTCCTCTCGGCAATACAGATTTTTGGTAGAAGTAGTTGAAACTTTTACCACTTATCTTCTGGTTTTTCAGTCTACGTTAGCGGAGGTTGAAGTGATCATCCCTGACTTACTAGCTGAGGGAAATAGTCCTCCGTAGAGTCCGGTTTCTCTCAGTAGTTTGGCCCTTATTGCTTCAAAAGGGACAAACTACTGAGAGAAATATTCAATTATTATTATAATCAATAACTTTTCTTATTTTATAATTTTATTCATTTGCATTTTATTTTTTTATAATTATTGAAATCTATAAATCGACAGCCACACTGCAAAAGCCTGTAAGTGTAAAACACAAAATTATTTATAAGATGAAATAAGGAGCGTATTTCTTATTTTATGAAGTCGATTTTCCGATCAATTTTTATTGCATGCTTAAGACGAAGATGCAATGTTCTAAATTACGTAATTAGTTTTAGCCCGTGATACAGACCCATTTTTATTAAATTATTAACATCCGCCTGAAACTTCGTAAATAGTTTCATCTCATCGTAACCTACAACTATTTTATTTACGAAAAATATTGGCATTGGGGCGTTTTCAATCTGGAGGGGAACAAACTTTGTCTATTTAATTAGGTACTAAAACTAATAAATACCCATTTCCTTTCTACTTGGATCGTAAGATGATTTGATTACAAAATAGGCCTTGAAAGCCATTTGGCATGACCTACACCCCCAAAATTTCCAAATAACGAGGTTATACAGGACAAACGGCACAATATTTTTGAAGTCCACCTTTTTTATCGATTTTGTGATAAAATTATGTTAAGAACAAATAGAAAGGAAATAGGTATTTACGAGCTTTTAGAACCTAATTGAATGGACAAAGTTTGTCCCTAATTCCAATATTTTTCGTAAATAAAATAGTTGTAGGTTACGATGAGATGAAACTATTTACGAAGTTTCAGGCGGATGTTAATAATTCAATAAAAAGGGGACTACGGATTACAACTTTTTTATCTACAAAAATTCTCATAACTTTTCTCTTAGATAAAGATACAAAAAAAAAAAAAAAAAAAAATCATGAATGCCCATTCCCTTTCCTCTTGAATCTTAAGATAATTTGATGAGGAAAGAAAAAAGGTGGCCTATAAATATTTGGGCCTTTTGGCTAATATAATCTTGGTTATTTTCATATTTTAGAAGTAGAGGTTACGCCAAATGTGCCAATATTTTTGTAGACCACATTTTTTCTCGGTTTTGTAATCAAATTATCTTACAATTCAAGTGGAATGCAAATGGATATTTATGAATTTTTAGTACCTCATTAAATAGAAGAAGTTTACTGATCTCCAGATTGAAAACGACCAATTTCCGAGATCTTTTGAAAACAAAAAAAGTTATGGATAACGATATGATGAATCATGAAGTTTAATTATTAGATACAAAGAGTTCAGTACCACGGTTATTTAAAAGTTTAAATTTGTTGACCTGTATATTTAAAAATATTTCATAATAAAGTGACATCTTTTCAAAATTATTATGCGATTACACGACCTTCGGGTTAAATGAAGTTTTATGAAAATTAAAAGTCAATAGATCATATCATTACCTACATTACTTCTAAACATATATTGTTGATCTTACTAATTAATGAACCTAATATCAGTATATATTCTGGACGGCTGGTGATTTCTGTCACATTCGACTGCTTCTAAGCACGATGAAGATTGCTCTTGTTCTGTTGGGTTTCTTGGCCATTTCACAGGGATTCAGGATCCCGATGGTCGACAAGATCTCTAGTGTCTTGGATAAAGGCTTGAGCAAGGTGAAGGGGGCTATTCAGGTAAATTCAACAGTTTGTGTTATATCAGTTGGTTAGAAAGAATGATTGCGAATACGCATACTTAACATCAGCTTGATTGTCCCAAAACTGAGAGTGTTAGATAATACAAGTTTTTCATCAGCTGTAATTTTAAAATTATTTCGATATGTTGTATACCATGTTAACAGGGTCGTTTACCACATTACCGTCCGATTGATGATGTATCAGGATTTGAGCCAATTTATGATGATGATGACGATGATGTAGAAGATGATGATGATGATGACGATGTTGATAATGAGGAGCAGGAAAATCCAGAACCTGAAGCAGTCTCGACAGAAGATCCAGAGCCAGAACCTGAAGCAGTCTCGACAGAAGATCCAGAGCCAGAACCTGAAGCAGTTTCGACAGAAGCTTCAGAGTCAGAACCTGAAGCAGTCTCGACAGAAGCTTCAGAGTTAGAACCTGAAGCAGTCTCGACAGAAGCTCCAGCACCTTCATCTGCTCCAGTAGCTCAACCTGAAGCTCCGTCAACCTCTGCTCCAGTAGCTCAACCTGAAGCTCCGTCAACCTCTGCTCCAGTAGCTCAATCTGAAGCTCCGTCAACCTCTGCTCCAGTAGCTCAACCTGAAGCTCCGTCAACCTCTGCTCCAGTAGCTCAATCTGAAGCTTCGTCAACCTCTGCTCCAGTACCACAACCTGAAGCTCCATCAACCTCTGCTGCAGTAGCTCAACCTGAAGCTCCATCAACCTCTGCTCCAGTAGCTCAATCTGAAGCTCCGTCAACCTCTGCTCCAGTAGCACAACCTGAAGCTCCATCAACCTCTGCTCCAGTAGCTCAACCTGAAGCTCCATCAACCTCTGCTCCAGTAGCTCAACCTGAAGCTCCGTCAACCTCTGCTCCAGTAGCACAAACTGAAGCTCCGTCAACCTCTGCTCCAGTAGCACAACCTGAAGTTTCGTCAACCTCTGCTCCTGTAGCACAAACTGAAGCTCCGTCAACCTCTGCTCCAGTAGCTCAACCTGAAGCTCCGTCAACCTCTGCTCCAGTAGCTCAACCTGAAGCTCCATCAACCTCTGCTCCAGTAGCTCAATCTGAAGCTTCGTCAACCTCTGCTCCAGTAGCACAAACTGAAGCTCCATCAACCTCTGCTCCAGTAGCACAACCTGAAGTTCCGTCAACCTCTGCTCCAGTAGCTCAACCTGAAGCTCCATCAACCTCTGCTCCAGTAGCTCAACCTGAAGCTCCGTCAACCTCTGCTCCAGTAGTACAAACTGAAGCTCCGTCAACCTCTGCTCCAGTAGTACAAACTGAAGCTCCATCAACCTCTGCTCCAGTAGCACAACCTGAAGCTCCATCAACCTCTGCTCCTGTAGCTCAACCTGAAGCTCCGTCAACCTCTGCTCCAGTAGTACAAACTGAAGCTCCGTCAACCTCTGCTCCAGTAGCACAACCTGAAGCTTCGTCAACCTCTGCTCCAGTAGCACAAACTGAAGCTCCATCAACCTCTGCTCCAGTAGCTCAACCTGAAGCTCCGTCAACCTCTGCTCCAGTAGCTCAACCTGAAGCTCCGTCAACCTCTGCTCCAGTAGTACAAACTGAAGCTCCGTCAACCTCTGCTCCAGTAGCACAACCTGAAGCTCCGTCAACCTCAGCTTCAGCAACAGTTTAATAAGTAACTAGTGATTCAACAGAACTTGAACACATCGATTCAACATTTCTAGAGTGAATAAAAAAATAAAATTCTGAAATTGCGTTTATCCTTTCCTACTTAAATATTATGGTGTATCTTTTGTTAAATTTGGAATGGAGGGCTCTATGGGTGATGTTTATATAAATACAATCTGTAAATAGAGGAAGCGATAATATTTTCTGTAAAACATTCAAACCTTCAAGTACCACAGTTATAAAAAAGTTAATGTAAATCCGAGTATCGTTCCATTTCCTGAGTAATGGTCCGAATATAATAATACTATCATGTTTAGAAGGATCAGAAAAAAGTACTTTTTTTTTTTTGTTAAAGCCAGCCAGATATGTAGTTCGTTGAAAATAAGGCAAGCAGGTTTTTGTTTCCATATCATAATGAATGGCAAGTTTACCAATAATATTTCATTGAACAGTAAGGATAAAAAAAAATGCCACACCACACGAAGCTGTTCATTTCTGTTCATTTTTTAATCTAAGTTTGCAACACGTTCTTTGAATGCCCTCCATGCGATGAGTGTAGTGGATTAGTAATGAGTGTGATTTGAGATTCATGTGATTTGTGATGAGTGTAGTGGATTCGTCTACTGTCTTTTAATACTCCACCAATTTCGATACCGATACATCGAAAGTATACAGAAATACCTCATCAGACAAATACTTTTAGTTGTTTACACTTTACAGGTAGAAAACCATAAACATATTTAGGCAAACAGGTAATAGGATTGAAAAATGGGTTAATCATTTTTAGGACTATCTAGAGGAGTCGTCCATAAAAAAGCAGGGATTCCCAGGAGGAGGTGACGTAGCTAAGTTGCGACGTCAAAATGTATGAAGAGGTAACACTAGATAGGAAGGGGGGAGACGTTTTGATAGGGTTACGAATTTTAAATTTAACCATAATTTAAGAGTGCTACCAGTGGGTAGTTTCTCAACAAGCGTGTTTCATGTAATAATATTTCTCTGTACAAATTTACTTGATGTATTCATACTAATACAGTTGTAAATATCATAATAAAAGTTTAAAAAAAAAAAAAAACATAATTTTGTGGAGTGACCTGATGGACAGGCAGTGTTAAAACATATCTTTATATGTACCTTTTTCTTCACATTGCTTCCATGAAATGGGTCTGAAATATTCAGCTCACTATATCAGGGGTCTCCAAACTGTTTTACCCGCAAGCAGCATTGAGACTTCGTCTAGGTACCGCGGGCCGCAATGAGACCTCCGTCCAAGTACATGGCTAGTGATGAAAAAAAATCTTTTATAAATGATACTTCAATGAGCTGTGAACTGAGCTTTCTATGTAAGAAAAAAAAACATGCAATAAATTGTTTGGTACTTGACTAGTATGCGATCGGGATCGACTGCTATCTGCCAGTGTTTATAACCTGAACACTGATAATTCTGATAATCCCTATCGTCTTATTCATATTTATTGTATTATATTCATATAATTTAAATTGTAAACAAAAACAAATGTAATAATAATAAAACAGTTTGATTTGAAATTGAACTAGATAAAAAGAAATGTAATAATTAATAATATTTAGTAATAGTTTCAGCTGTTCTTTGCCCCACTGCATCGTTGTTAAATTATGGGACCACCCATAAATTAATTTTAAAGAAGTTAAAAACGAAATACTCGACCCCTCTAACCACGTTCCTTTCCTTAAAGAAACGTTTTTGTTACAAGTGGTACGAAAAAATCTCTATTTCGTCTTCTTATCTAACTTGATTTGATGACCTTCTTCACACGATTTCACTTTTGGAATTATCCCGGCGTTTTGAAAATATTCGATAGCTTCTTCTTCTGAAGAAAGCACTTTCCACAATTTAATAAAATCCATAATTTGAAGAAAATCACACAAATGGAACAAAAATAAACAATGGAATAACTCACAGCTTACACGAGATAAGAACGGAGGTTATATGAAATAACATTAGATAACAAAGGAGGTTTCGTCCCGATTGGCTACTAGACTAGTGATGGGGTATGACAGAGATTTTCCGTCACAGCTCCGACAGTGACAACTCCCGGGAAATCGCTGTGACAAATCACGGTGATTTGTCACTACAGTGATTTTTTTTCGGTGATAAGTATACAATGACTCCTTGGTGAAAGCGTCACTGACAAGTCGCAGTTTACGTGTTTAAACTTTTATTAAAATAAAAATAATAGATTTTTTTCCAGTGATATATTTTATAATTGACGGGGGGAAATGTCTTTGGGATTCCTTAGTTTCTGGATACAGTCATGCAGAGAATATTTGAATTTATTTATTTTTTTATTTAATTTTGAATTTTGAATTTATTTATTTATTTTATTTTTTACTGACCACCCCAACTATTCTTCTCTTCATTATCCACGACAGTCAACCATTTACCAATTATGAATTTTTTATTTATATTTCAAAAGTTAAATGTAAAAAATTTTGTTAATTATTTCAGACATAACTCATTCAGAAATGTATGGCAATTAATGTTTAATTCATCCAAAGTTCAAAAAGTATTTTTAATAAAATTTGACGAATAACTATTATTTTAGAAATAATTATTCCTTTAAATCATTTATTAAATAAATTATGTCAAGAATGCCCAGATCGCTGGAGCGATAGGAGTGATAAAGCTGTCACTGTTGGGGAGCAGTGATTTCATAGCTGTCACTGTGATTTCGATGCGCCTGTCACTGTGATCACCAGCTCCGAACCCAGTCACAGTGACAGAATCACAGCTCCGCCAATATGAATACTAGACAAGTACCAAATGATTTTAGTAACCTTGTATGTGAATAATTTTAGTTTTTAGAATTTCAAGATTTAATCAAAGAAACTTACGCGGACAGAATCAAAGATTCTTACGTGCCGGAATGTTTTTTTTTTCTCTTAGAAAGCTCATTTCACAACACCAGTTTCATTCATCAGAAGCCGTGACCTGCGGGTCAAAAAGTTTGGACAACCCCTGCTCAATACGAAACTCACTGCTAAAGGTGCGTTTAGACGTTTCACAAACTCTGGGAAACACTATTATCTAATTTAACTAACAGCGAAATCCGCGATAAGCAAACTTTTTAAAATTTTATTTCTCTTGTTACTGACGGAGCAGATAAAAAACATCGAATATACTAGTATAGGAGAAAAAAAAACATATTTAAATATTTGTATTTCCTTTAGTTTGTGAAGGTTTGTTTAGACATTTCACAAAATATGTGGCAAACAAATATATAAATAGTTATTTCACTAAGCAAGTATTTTTGTTTTTTGTTTTTGATATTTTCCATCTGCTGTCGGTATTGAGAGAAATAAAATAAATAGTTTAGTTTAGCAATAATGTGGCTCACTAACGGATCCAGGATTTAATTTTGGAGGGGGGCTTCAGCCTCAAAGATTTTTTTTTTCTATATATATATTATGATAATTACTTCGGAAGAAAGAAAAAAACTAACTACCTGTACGAAACGGTGAGTTAATTTTTTTTTCATAAAAAATAGTTATATTTTACCATTTTGTAAAATTGTCTGTAGATCCGCCTGTGATGTGATTGTTAGTCTAATTAAATAATTGTGTTTCCCATAGTTTGTGAAACGTCTAAATGCACCTTAATGTTATTATGATACTAATTGTAAATACCCTGTCTTTTACATAATGAAAAATAAATTAAAGTATAAGTTTATTTGGATTGTAATATTTTTAATTATATTTTTTTTAATCTTGTAGAAATTTAAAAAAAAAATTAATTACAGCCAATTAATAGTTTATAGAACAATAATAAAGATATTGATAGAAGCAATAATCTTGATCATTTGGAAAATCATTCTAATTAAACGTTAAAGTAAAATATTAATATATTTTTTAATATCAATAAAATTTAAATATTTTTTAAAAATTGTTCTGTTAAAAACTGAATTAATTATTCAAACGTTGGTACTTTCTTCTTCTGAAATACTTTTCTTCAAATAATCAGGTAAAAAAAAAACTTTCTTAATTCGAAAATAATATGAAATGTAACATATTTTTAATAAAGGATTTTGTTTTCAGTTGCCAGGAAGTGGGATAACCAATTGAATTAAAGATAATTAAATTGTAGCCTCAGTACACTGTTTGGAGCCAATTCTTGTTCTAAGCCACCATTTTTTTTTTTAAAAGCTTCTACTTCAAGTAATTCACTGCACTGCTCCTTATTAAAGTTTTAGATTTAGATTAAGATGTTAATTGTTTAATTTTACCATATTTACTTTGGAATACAATCATATTGGTAAGAAAGTATTATTTGCATTAGGCTGTTTAATAAATATCTGTTTAATTTCATGGTACTTTTATGGTATCAACTTGTAACTGATTTATCTCTGTCCATTGGTAAATAAAATTTAATTTAATAGACATATAGTTGTCTCATATTCACATTAATCACATATTTTTTTACGTTCTTAGTTTAATTATGAGACTTAATTTTTATTTGATCGACATAGTTCTGAGATCTACATTATAAAATTTTGACCCTATTATAATTACAGTCAGTGACTTTGTATTCATAATTTTTTAAAAATATTTTAGTTATCTTGATTTATATTTCGTATTCAATATTTTTGTTTTAGTTGTAAAATGAAATTTCACAAAATTGTGTTCAATATTTCGGAAAAAATTATTTCTGATAAAGTAGATAGAATATCTATTGATAAAAAGTATAGAAATTTTTATAAAACACAATCCTAAATATTTAGCTCTCATTTAATCACTTTGAATATTTGCAAGATATACTTCATAAGTAGACAAATTCCTGTATGGGATAATTCCATTTATATTATTTTTTGAAGTTTGAGAATAATAATTTACACATTTCTGACAAGTAGAAAAATATGAGACTGATGATACAGTGGTGCGTTTCAAATCGTTACTCTCAGATGTTGGCTAGTTTCATGATCACATTAAGCACACTGTAAATATAATCTAGAGAAGTGGTGAAAGTAACATAATTTTGATAATCACATACAATGTTACACGTTTTATATAAATTTAAATCAGGTGCGAATTGATCCAGATAGTTTTCT